ATCAAACAGCTCTTTGTTCTTATTCCTAAAATGTTGTCCTGCACCATCCGGAAAAGACACGGGCAACAAACAATCGAATCCATATCACAACCAATACACACCCCTCGGCACATTATTGGCAGTGATCATGGACACCAATACACTGTGTTCACAGATGTCCGAAGAAGTCTGACCTAATCCAGTTAATAGGACATGATATCTCTGGTACAGCTGCATCCACAGCTCTGCCATGTGACAGCAGGCCCACAGCGATCCTAATTTAAGAGCATGAACAGAAAGGAAACATGAGCTCTGAATGTAAGTGTCTCTGCATGTGTGAAACAGTGTGTGCAGGATTTACTGATTTGTTAGATCATTTATTACTAATTAGGATTAGCAAAGAATTAGATATAATTCAGAGTTGTTTATGACAAGATAGCCACTAGCATCAAAGTCAATATTTCATTATGTATTGTAGTAAAGCTGTTGGCAACTTTTCAGGTGCATTTAATTCTTCCGTTACAGCTTCTAATCCATCCAGTGCCACATTCTCATCTTTTCAGGGCAAAATGTAGGTGTTTGTGTTTGTTAACAAGATTTTGGATCGACATAGGTCACAATTGAGCTACGACCCAAAAAAGCCAATTATTATTCCCATAATTAAATGGATTACTGCGGCACAAAAACATACTTATGTCCATATTAACCCTCATCTGGCAATATCCCTACATTATAGAGAGAAAGCATGTTAGTGTCCATTTTGACAATCTGCAATCTTTGATTCAGACAAAAAGGAAGGGGGCAACAGATGGCCGCACTTTTTATTTTTTATTTTTTGGACAAATTTCATCTGTGGGTGGAACATCACAGGTGAACAGATACGCTCTGTAAAACGGCTTATACTCAGGATAGTCAATCACGTAGTACCAGAGGCGTGCATGAACAGCTTAATCCAGATAAGTCCTTCACTGCAGAGTGGCCAATAGCCACGTCACTACTTGCATGCAAATGTAGCCACTGTTGTGCACAGACACACAACCTGCCGTCTCCTCTCTTTATAAAACAGAACGATTGTGAGATTTGTTCATGTAACCTGCAGAGTTGCAGTTTCAAACTAAAAAAACACTGGTTCTCTTCTCGTCTTTGAGATCGAGCCTTCTTGTTTACTGCCATGACAACCAGTGACAGTCAGTGGGAAGACAAAGCAGCGCTGTTACAAAGTCTATTCATTAAGAATAAGAATTCAAGGCTCTGTCACTTGGGAGGCTTGAAGAATAATAATAAAAAATACTGATGATTAGTAAATTTACACAAGTTTAGTGACTTACATGCTGTGGCTCATCTTCTGCAGACATGGCATTATTCACACACAGAGCCTCCAGAAACTTCTGCTTGAGGACAATGTAACGAAACCTGAGGACATCACAGACACAGAAAGAAGCTATTTAAATGTTGGTGCTGTTTGACGATGCTAACATCAACCTCTGGGAGTCAACATACTACAGACAACACACTGACACACAGTCAACACACCTTTTTCTGTCAAACTTATCCATGCACTCCAAAGGCTGAATGAACTGCAAGACCTCATCCCACTGGCCATCAAGCACCAGTTGCCTGAAACAAGAACAGTTCGTTTTTAATACACAGGTAACACATTGAATCCTGTCCTTTAATTTTAAATGTCCCACCAATGTGTAAACGCAAATGTTTTTTTTTCATTGTAACGTGGCCACATAACAGAAAAACTTTCTTAATAAAGGTGTAACATAACAAGATGAGACTATTAACGGACCCTTCACACTAGAAGGTGAAATGTATTTAATACTCAGCTTGAGTGGAATTACAGACAATACGCACGGTTGGCTCACTTTCAAGGGAGCACTCACATCTACAGCGGCGGTGCAGTGTTACTCTATCTCCACAGAAGAGGACATAATCAGAAACCATAAACTTAAGACTGGATTGGTTGCCTGTTGTGTCTGCCTCATAGTACGCAGCTTTTTTTGGAGCTGCAACCTGAGACAACAGTATCCAAACTGTGTGGCTGTTGCTGTCGAGTTCATCTACCTGAGGAAGAGCATGTCGTCTGAGTAGAGGCCATTGATGACGCCACTCTCCTTCTCCAGAGCCAGCATGCTGATGTGCAACTTCCTGGCGTTGAGGAAGTCCAGGATCACCTTGATGATCTCCACCTCCTTCACATTTATCGTTTCTTCCGCTGTCATGGTGACGACGGTCTGCCAATGACAAGGGCAATGAAGCAAAGTATTAACACTACTACTACTACACACACATGCTACAGGCGAACATAACCATGACCACAATGAGAAAATGTGGGTGGCAAGTAGGACAATCATCATTAATATCATCAGCAGAACCACACTGCGATGATATAATCTTAGTTTAGTTATCATTCTACAGATATCGGTTTCCCAAAGTAATCATTCCAAGCAAGCTGTTATTAAAAACTTACAGATCTGTAATTGAAGTGGAAGTGTATGAAACTAATAGTGCCTCATTTTGCAGGATGAACACAAATGTACAGATCTTCTCCTCAGTCTGCAGTCCCATCAAATGTCATCTAACAGGCATGCAACTCATTTTAACATCTATTACCTATAAAGACTGCAAGGTAATGAATCTCCCATTACTCCTCCTACTCTGTAAAGTTTAACTTTTAAAGATCAAAGCTGTATAACCACACAGCAGTGCAATCTGTTGTGATTTGCAACTCAATTCCTTTCATGTTCATCTCAGCTTTAAGGTTACTCAAGCAAATTAGTGGTGTTATCCAGATATTTGAATGCTCTTCAGCATTTGACTGCCATAGTGAGGGCAGTCTCTGCAATATGTTAGTCCTTCATCATCACAAACGTATTTGATCTTACAGAGGAAACAGATCGAGACAGTAACTGCTGGATTTAACTTAGCTAGAAAGGATGCACACTCCTCCACATGTTGGGTTTACAGAGGAGAGAAAACCCTCTTATATTACTGTCATGACAGTTAAGTAGCCTCTAACACATTACTGGTTGAGCTTCAACTATTTACACATCGGCAGCTACAAAACTAGCAAGAAAGCTTCTCTCTTTTTTTTTTTTTTTTTTTGCCTATCACACTGCAGCCCTGCTAAGCTAGCATGAGAGATGGTTAGCTAATAACACTGGCTCTGAGCCACAAGTCAAACAGTATAAGAAGCTTAGGCTACTTGTTAGCTGTACATGGCTACTGAATATAGCGAGCGGATTACTGATGAAAACCAACAAATAGCTAGTTACCGTTAGAGCTCCTATAAAGGCTAATTTACCCGGCGGCAGGAGGGGAGGAGGAGGGGGACTGTTAGCTAGCCAGGCCGAGGGGAGAGAGAGGCATCATCCGCTAGTTAGCTGGGCGGGCGGGGTGCGCACTGACAGCTCTCCCGACAACAACACAAATCTGCCCGTGTGCTGCGGTCGATGCTCACCTGTGTCTAAAAATACATGAAAACGCAGTCTCCCTCCTTGGTGTTTCCTTGCGGTTGTCAGGCGCTGTCACGACGGTGCCGCTCCGTGTTGTCGGGGCTGTGTGTGTGTGTGTGTGTGTGTGTGTTGGCTTTTCTGTCCCCTCCTCCTTGTCTGACTGTGTCCCCCTCCTTGCTGGATCTTTCTGTGCCGCTCCGCTGCGGTCTGCTGCTGCCCAGCCCTGCCTCCTGCTGCAGCCTGCCGCCCGCCTGCTGCCTGCGGGAGCACCGCCTCTATCCATCCTCCAGACACTCAAACCTCACAGCAGCAGCAGTGGAGAATACAACATGATGGAAAGATAAATAAAATAAATAGATATTTTGATAGAAGTAAAAAAAAAAAAAAAACTGTTAGGAGTATTAAAACATTATATAGATACTGGGAAGAAACAGAGGCGTGCACAGAGGTTTAAAGGGGCCCTTTTCATGTCATATGCAAAATAGTCTTTTTCAGTTTTTGAACTCATTTGTTTTTTACTTGCATTCACTTGGACTATGATGCAAATCCTTATAGAAATATCCCTCTGTGGCCCCTCTGTGGCCCCTCAGGGCAAACCTCTAACCTATCACAGCCAAAGACAGGCAGGATCCCTTCCCTTGTGCCTGTTAGTGTTTGTGAACGACAGGGGTCTAATTCACAATAAAACTGCATTATTATTATAAACTAAACATTATATCTATTAAATATTAACATCTATAAATGGTATATGGGAATTAATAGTGATATTTCTAAGAATAATTGTCTATTGCAGTAATAAAGGGCAGCTTTTCATTTAGAAATCATCAGTTTTAAAATAGCAATTAGACAGTTAGAGCCTGAACAATGATACATTGTTGAAGCAGATACTGATATTTAATTAGTTTTTTTATTGATAACAATGTATCAGCTAATGTCCATTTTAATATTAACATTTTTAATAAGGATCCATTTAATTTGTTTATTAGGAAACTTTTATCAAGATATGTGAGTGGACATTTTAAAGTTGAAAAATAACCCTAACACAGGAATAAGCTATTCAAAACAATATACTGGAAACACTTAAACAAACCTTTTGGCATTTCTGTATTTCATTACAGCAATTTCCTGTTTATCATCAGCTGGCATACTATAGATACCAATACTGATACATCTGCAATGAGCTAATATTGGCTCATTTATGGGCCCAGTTGATTTATCAATCTAGCTCTAAGAATAATTAATGATATGGTGAAGATTTTCTGAATAATGAAAACAAACATATGTCTGGTGTTGCAGAATAACTAGACTTCGACTAGTGATTGTCTTGGTTTGCAAAGCCTGCATGGGACAATATTAATGATAATGATACAAACAGGTATTGGATAGGTGGTTGATACTTACCTATGTTATTTACTTATAAATGCAAAGATAAGGACGAGTGGTAGAATGATATTATGCCAGACAGCATGTCAGACCGCATTAATATCAGTTTAAAAGAGGCCATTATCATCAGTACACTTGACTCAATCAGGACAGGGATGTGAAATGAGACAACATGAATACAGTTGATAGCTGGCATTTTAATAAAGCTCAAAGCAATAAAAAACAACAAAAATCCATGAACAGTTGAGCATATTTAGTAAACCGAAAAGAAAAGTTGGAAAAAATACTATGATTTTCTCAGTATACTTCATGGATTTCTACAAATCCACAATAAAGCCTCATTAAAGCTTTATTTACCTTGCCTCATCGGGACACTTTGCTTTCAACACTCTTGTCTTCAACAACTGTGCTGCTTCATTAGTACACACCAACAGGTAAATGTCATTACAAAAAAATACTTCTATATGCCAAAATATATCTGTACAGTGTCAACACATACTAAAGGAACACATGATAAAAAAAATGTAACAGTAATGTGAAAGCAAAGTAACAAGCGAGACAGTTCATAAGTGGAAACGAGTCAGCGACCGTGGACAGGGTCTATTATTCTGCTATTATTGGTGAATTCATTTATTTACAGTTGTGGACTACGTTGAGGGCAATCGAGATCTAAAAGTTAAGACAACATCCACATTAAAGTCATTTTGAATATGTGTTAGTTCCAACTGCAACATGATCAACAGTGAATATTTGAATGATTCTTTAATTGCACAGACTGATGACATAGTGTGGGATTTCCATCTATTCTACTACCGATAGTCTTATCAGTGATACTGTTGAGTGTTCACACTTTTCGCATTTGTAGCACAATAAAAGGCCCCAAACGACAACATACTGATACACGTGATGAATTATAAAAGCTACTACAAGCGGACTTGTTCATTTTTAATGGATCTGCCATCATATACAAATTAATTTAACTTATATACGTATAGTATATTATGTTTCTCTGAATAAAATCTAAGATGCCTTTTCAAATAACTTCAAAGCATTATCAAAATGAAATAAATTAAGAATCTATTGCAGGTACTTTCCAGAATTGCTTGATGGTACACCGTATGCTCAATAATCTCATCATTTCACACTTTTGGAAAGTAATTGCAATCACCTTACTGAGGTATATTCCTCACTCTTCTTGGCACTTCACTATACACACACATACACAAATTTGAACTGTTTTTTTCAGTCACATGTAAAAACAAAAAAACATGCCTGTATAGCAGCAAAAACTCTCATCAAAAATGCTGCCTCTACCTGATCACAGATCAGACAGGCCAACAACCTGGGCTTGACGGGAGCGAAATCTGATCCCAGACCTGTGAGTATACACAACCTCTCCTGTATCACAACAGACTTTTTCCACAGGCGCTGACAAAATGACACCAACACTCACAGCGCATCCATATGACACAAAACAAGCATAAGGCCACACATGATCAACTTATAGAAACCAAACTGCCTCTTTCAGAGACGTGACATTCACTGCTTCAGTGGTTCAACTTGGTAAGGCAAAGGTCCGCCTATTATTTTCTCCTCTTTTTTTGGCACACAAGAACATTGATACACATGCTGACAAGTACACACTTCTGCCCCATTGAAGTAGTCCAGGGTGTAACAGTCAACTCTGTATTGAAACGACAATCTCTGTGAGACCCTTTTGTGTTCTACATTCCAGTTGTGATTTCTTACAGTGGGACCGTGTGTCCTTTTAATGAAACAGTAAAAATCCACAAGCTCTTCTGTGTTTGTCCCATTGAAGCAAGCGTGTCCAAATCTTGCCCAGATGTCTGGCACTACTTGGGGTGCAGTTTTTTGGGCGTCCCCTGCTTCTTGGTTTGCCACAGATGACTGGCAATGGTGATGGCGTCCACGCTGGCGGACATAGTTTTGGCTGGGATCTGGCTGAACTGTTTCCTGTCTGAGTTGTACTTGTACAAGTTCTCGATCATCTTGGTCGTGATGCTCCTTGGCCCGATGCCGGCCAGTTTGGTGATCTCCTCTGTCTCGGGGCAGTAAGTGTACACAGACCTGAATTGGCAACCGGCATCACGGAACAACACCAGGAAGTTATTGGCTTCGGATTTCTCCATTTCCTGCAGAAAATCACAGAGAAAAGTCATTGTTTAGTGCAGAACGTTATCCATTGCAGAAAGACGAAGACACATAACTGCAAAACATACATCCAGGATCTTGTTCTTCTGCCCTTCGTTGACCTTGCCAGCCAGGCAGCAGTGAGCCAGGGCATTCTGGATGATGTGTTTGTTGGACTTGGCACTTGGCTCCTTGTATAGTTTGGGTCCTGCGAGAAGAAAGCACATGTGTGAGATTGCAAAAACAAAGTTACAATGGATGTTTAAATGTCGATGAACTGTGTAAACAGTACAGGTGTATCTTATACCTGTGTACTCAGCGTTGGAGGGAGTGGATGAGGTGGTAGACTCATTTTCCCAATCCTTCTCTCCGTTCCGACTGCCAGTCGAAGGACAAGAGGAGAAACCTTCTGCAGAGTCTGGCCTGGAGATGGTCACATACAAACCAACAAATGATACACACAAACATAACAAAAACCCACACACGTAAAGGTTGATACACATAAGCATGTACGATGGATGATAGCATACACAGACAGATTGCACAAACAGACATGCCCACACACACACACACAACCAAATATATAAAACACACACAGAGAGATGTGGTAAAACAAGGTCAGACGCTGTGACACAATTCTCCAAACCCTGCCTGTTGTCTCGCATTACATCATACTGTACATACTCCAACGAAGCTGTGCAGCGAGGGACAGAAAGGCATGTTCAGCCAAGCAAAGCAAAGTCACAGTGCTGTCTTTATGGCTACTGTGAGAGATGAGCTCAAGTACTTGTGGAGGAAACAGCAAACACAGTAGTGAAGCGCAGGGCAGCCAACATAAAGGAGAGAGCAAACAACGGCCTGAGAGAAAGACAGAGAAAGGATAAAGAGCAGGAGAACTGAGGCGGAAACATCTCAGCCACGCAGCTCCCATGTACCTTAATGCAGAAGCAAAAAACTGCAGTAATGGAATATGCTGAATAATTTCACTGTTGACACATTATATGAGTCTGCGCTGAAAGAACGTCTAATGAAATGCAGCCTAGACCAAAATCAGATGGAGCTGTTTCTACATGGAGCCACATCTGTTGAAGCACCTCTTTTCGGAGCATTACTAACCTTCCCTTTCTTTCTTTGGGAGAGCTTAGAAAGAACGGGATATGGGCAGAAGCTAGTTTATTGCCTCTGAGGTGACGCAGGCAAAATAGAAAAAAAGGAGAGAGGGAAACGAGAGAAAAATAACCTCATCATCAGAACACCCCATGAAATTGAAATCACAGCAGAGTAAAGGATATCTGGGGTGTGACACAAGTGAAATATGGGGTGGGATTGTACATCACAGTGGTGGTAATAAATAAACGAATGGTCAAATGGACAAACCAATTGCAGAATTTGAAAAGGCAAAAAAAATTTATATTGATATACTAGTTGAACAGATTTTATAAACATACATACATACTAGTATGATAAAATACTTTTAGCCTTACTAAAAAAGGATTGTAAGGAGTTTGAAGAAAAGGGGCATGAAAATGAGATGTAAAGTCAGCTCGTAGTACCATAAGTTGTAACTTTGTAAATAACTTTGATTTGGGATGATGAGAGAACTGAGGTGTCATTTAGTTTATCATTTTATACAAACTTTCATAGACTTCAAATTTGTTGTAACTTGGTAAACTGGTACACGTTAGACAAACTGCCAGCTTCAACTGTGTATACACATCATCTTAGAATCAACCAGCAGTGCAAAAGTACCGTGTTGAAAAACTCAAGACAGTCATTTGTCTTTGGCTAAGCTGGGTTTTATTGAGAAAGACAAGGTAAGAGAAACTTCAGTGGGTCTTACCTGTTGTTCTTCTTGTTATTTGGCTGATCTCTGTCGTTGTCAGCCAGATTGAGAGACGCTAAAGAAACACTTGATACTGAGAAGCCTCGAGGACGCACCCCTGCAACACAACAACACAGACAAGTCGGGCATTGGATCTGTGGCTGTCATACAGGGATATTGAGTGTTTGTGCATATGATTTGAACGTCCCTCACCTGTTGCTCGCACAGGCGGAGTGGACGACTCCATGACGTCCCTGTGGATGGATTTAGGCCGTGGCTTCTTCTTGAGACTTCCAGATCGGGGCTTTATGACATCATCCATGTCCACCATCAGCTTGAGCTGCTGCTTCCTCAAATACTCATTCCTGATGTACTCCCTCCTTGCCTTCTCGTCATCCTTCTTCTCCTGATCCTCCTCAGCTTTCAACCTGGAGGGGGAGACCGAGATGAAGATTTATTGTATGACTGCACGCTCAAGTTCAAAAGACATGCTGTATGTATCGATGCTTTAAACCTGGGAACAGTGTTGGAATTAGCAAATAGACAGAAGGTAAGAGGGTCAGACTGACCGTGCAGCTTCCTTCTTCTGCTCCTGGTCCAGCTCCTGTTGCTGCTTCCTCTCCTGAGCCTCCTTCTCTCTCCTCAGCCTCTTCTCCAGCAGAGCGGCCTTCTTTGCTGCCATATCCTCTTCCCCTTTCACATCATCCTGGTGTTTGATGGGAACACACAAAATTCACAAGTCAGATTATGTAGAAAAGAACAGAATTCATTTGTTGTCATTGCTCGGAATACAACGAAATTTACTATTAGTTGATGAATTACTACATTGTGTTTTACGTTATTATGACAAACAAACTTTAGTGTGCACTTGTTTTGTCATATCTCCTCTCAAAAATCAATGTATCAAAGGAAAGATAAGTTAATACTTGTGGTGGTACTTGGTATTTAATGTGGCATTAGTGTAACTGCCTTCAAAGTCAACAAAGCTCTGACATTGCTCCATAATCAGAGCTCTATTGGTCTACCATGTGTCTGTGTTTTTGGCCTAGATTCATTCATGCATTGTTTTTGATCAGCTCATGGCTCAACAGGCACAGCCCTGCACATGTTGTGCCAGGCTCTCACAGTATGAGATTCTTCCTGTCGCTGCTACCTGCATATAGCAGCATAAGGCTGTAAGAACTGTATTATTAATGAAAAGTTGATTAACTGTGTATATTAGTTGGTATTACAGTTTTAGTGCAGTGGTTCCTGCCAAACACAGGAGCAATGAATAACATCATTAACTGCTGCAATACAAAAGATGCAAAGATGGTACTGGTGATGCATGTCAATCAAATCCAAAATAAGAAGAAGCTTATTTCACTGTCAGTGGAGCAAGAGACTCCTGTGTCTTTTGTCTATAAACTTTGGCATTTTGGCAGCAATTTGAAGTAAAGCAATAGTTCAGCATCTTGGAAAATATGTTCCTTCGCTTTCTGGCGGAAAGGTCTCAGTCTTTACTTCAGCAAAAATAGGCCCTAAAGCAGAATAGAAGTAATACAATGGAAACAGAATGCAGCCCAAACTTCTTGTTCTTAAGTCCATGGCTAAGGTTTATGGCTAAAGTTTATGGCTAACCCTGTGTACTATTTAGCCCATACCTACAGGTGTGTTACAGATAATATTTAGAGAAACTACTACATGGATTATTCTTGACATTAAGATTTGAAATGTTTTATGTGATTATAAAATGATCCTATATATAATCCTGTAGCTTCAGCTAACCTTGAAGAAGAATCCACAGCACATCTTTTGATCGTCTCCATAAGCTTCTCCTCCTGCCTCACCCTCCGCATCTCCTTCTCCCGCCACCTCCTGCCTGCTGGGTGTTCCTGCTGGAGGTTTCAGCCCAGACAAAGGCACCTCCACTAGGTCTTTTTTTTCCTGGCGGTCTCCCTTGACCAGGTTGCCTGTGGGCCCTTGGATCTCAGACACCGGTTGACACAACACCTCTGATGACCCTGTTTGATCGACTTCATCCTTTGACTGAGCCCGCTCTGCCTGTTTTCTTTCCTCCTGCCTCTCATCCTCGTTCTCTTTGGCTGCTTCTTTAGTAGAAGGCTGAGGAGCGCCAGCACTCTTCTTTGCCACTGTCTCTTCTTTGTCCTTATTGTTTTCTTCGTTGTCCTTGGCCTCTTGGTTCTTGCTCCCCCCTGGTCCCTCATCGTGGCTCAGGTAGGCAAACGAGCTGATCTGGGTTTGGCTGGGGGTGAAACGTCTCAGTCTGGGTAGGCTGTCCACGGAGGTGGGGGTGTTGAGCATTCGTCTGAAGGGTGTGACTTTCAGATCGTTTGGTCGTGGAGTCCGAGGTGTCCTGGCATGGAAGGAGGCTGGTCGCCGCTTAATGCCAGCAGGGGAGCTATTGGGAGCGTGGGGAGAGCCGGAAGAAGAAAGGATGGGTGACAAAGACCCGACCGAGCCTCGGCCTGATCCCCGGCCTGTTACACTGCTGCTACGCAACTCACGGAGCTGCCTGTGGGGACAATAAAATACACAAGCCTGTGTAAGTGTTCAAAGAAAATCATTTTAACAGTCAATTTATTAATCTATCATTAAGTGTTACCTGTGTGGAGATGGAGCAGGAGGAGGAATGACCCAAGCTTGTTGCTGTTGCTCTCTCATGGCCATAATCTTCTCCTGCTGCTGGGCCAAACGCTGCATCTCCGTCTGCAGGAAGCCCAACGACGTGTTCAGCCTCTCAATGGAGCGAGTGTAATCTGCGAGATCGATTTCTCCAGGAGTCACACCTGCATCATCACATTAAATGTCAGTCAAAAGTCAAAGTTAAAAGTCAGTCAGTCAATCACCAGTGTGATCAAAATCATTCCCAATGCCTCAACACTTTGTGGAAAATTCCCCCCAGGGAAATGCATCAGTCTATTTTTCTCATTTTGGGGTTTGTGAAAATGAACTCTAGTTGCGTCCCTACTGTGGTTACTCACCTCCGCCATCCTCACAGGGGGATTTCGGAGCTGCTCCGTCTGGCTTGCATCTCTCCGCCCGCTCCATGCTGCCCTGGCTGGTTTCCCTTGAGGGTGTGAGTGTCTCTGGAGAAGGTGTTTCTGCTCCCCCTGAGCTGGAGCTGAGGGGGGCAGTGACTCCTTTCCTTCTCACTACATTGAGAAAGGCTGTCCTGCCCATCTTCTGACGATGGCGGGTGAAAGCTGCTTCCACCTAGAAAATGGAAAGAGAACATCATGTCCCAAAAATTTATATTTAAGGCTACACTACTGGCTATCTTTCTGTATTTGCCTATATCTGTTTACCTTCTTCTTCTGGGCTTCAATTGCTCTCCGTTTCTCTTCAAGCTTCATCCGCAGCTGAATCATCTCTGAGGCAATCAGGTGGGATGGGTCTCGAGGGGAAGGCGTTACTGGAGAGGGAGATGTGATTGGCAAAGGAGGTGTAGAGATCTAGAAAAAAGTGCAAAGATCATTCACATTATTTCTGTTCCCAACAACATCTCATCGCATTTCTGCCTCTGCAACCAAAGTAGATTTTAAATAAAAGGGAGGGAATGAGAGACACACCATACAACACAAACCTGAGAAGAAATGCTTTTTGTGGGGTGTGTATACGGCACGTTGAGATCTGAACTCTCTGGTGTGGTTCCTCCACTACTCCGTCCCTCCAGCTTCCTGAACTTCTGCTCTGCAAAGCTCGTCATTCGGACCATGCCGCCTCCAGAGCCTCCAGACGACGAGGTGGGGCTGGCTGTGTGGGATCTGGGGAGTGTGGGAGCTGAACTGGGACAGGGGCTGCTCCTGTCACCTCCATCTACCCTCTCACCCTCAGGGTTAGCATCACTGACCCCTTTCTGTCCTCCTTCCCTGTTTCTCTCCCTCTCCGGCCGTTCAGACAGGGGGCACGACCGGGTCATGGCATCGCAGTCTGGGTCTATGTCTGAATAGTCTCTCAGAGAGGAGGAGTCTTCATCTAAGCTCTGGATGTCCTCTGTCCTCACATGGATGCCCGTGTCAACTTCATCAGTGGACACAGAGTTGGGGTCGTGGTCATTCAGCCGAGCCTTAGCCGAACCTGGGTCATCTCCTTCACCTTGGGCCCCTGGAGGGTCCGAAGGCTCCCCGCTGTGGAGAAAGAATCCATTGTCTCCATCGCCTAGGCTTGCATGGGGCCTTTCAGTGTCGTGGATAATCTTCAGGGCCTCCTCAATGCTTGGAGGAGTTGATGGGCTGATGTGCCCGCTGTGGTTGCCATGGTGATCGCTGGGGCTGTGGTCGCTGTCTGTGAGGACTCCATTTGAGTACCTAGGGACAGGTTTGTATAAATTAAGTGATGGTTATTTTAAGTAATAGTCAGCTTTGGGGGATTTTTACTTCACTTATCCAGAGTCAGATAAACTACTGGATGCCCATCTTGTTTGTGTGTCTCTTTATACAGTTTTGATATATTTTCAACTGTAAGATTAGCTCTGCTTAGCTTGATTCATTTACAGCAGATGAATTCAGCATTTAACCACTGTGCAAAATATTAGGTGTCTCAAAGGGGCCTAAAATACCTTAAATAACACATAGATAAAGAAAAACTTAAAAACCTACATACCGTAAAACTTCTAATAATAGCCCGGGCGTTTATTTGCTTAAATCAGTGAAAATCAAAACGACTTAAAACTTGCTCAAGCAAGAATCATCACCTGGTGGGTTTTAAGAGGTTTTATACATCAAGATAATTTCTATAAAATCCCTCTATTGGAGACCTGCGTTTATTTGTCAAAACGTGTAGCCATACAAGGCTTTTAGAAGAGACTTGCGTCTATTAGGGACCCTGCTTTTATTGGAAGTTTTATGGTAAATAAAAATTCTACTTTCCAACATATCTCACATAGCTGAGAACATATAGAACATAGCTTCACAAAGAGTTATAAAAAGCCACATATTAATTTATCTCATGTATGAATAATCCACCAATCCCCAACAACAAAACTATCCATTTAAAATGATTTAAGTGTAATTTAGAGGATAGAGGATACTAATGTTTTTAAAAATCACAAACTAGCATTTCCCTCTGCCTTACCTGCTTTGGTTCTTGACTGAGAATGTGTTGTTCCTCCCCAGGGGTTTGTGGGAGGTGAAGTCCTCCTCCTCCTCTGGTATGTGTCTGCTTTGACCGTTTACATTGACGGGCATGAGGGACAGGTGGCGCTTAATGCCCCCTCGAGATGCAAAGTGAACTTTGAAGCCAAGACCATCACTGCTGGCAGAGCGGGTCATACCGCGGAGGGAGGGAGCTTCGCAAGGCGGGTCTCCGTCCAGAGGAATCTCAAAGGAGATTCCACGAGAGGAGGAGCTGAGGGAGGAAGGACATGTATTGTCAGTTTAATAGGAAAACAACAGACCACTTCACATTTGTAAGTCAATGAATGTTGTAGGCTCTAGCAGGGCAACTGTGGAGTTAAGATACTAACCGTTTCTCTTTGGGCCAAGTTCCAATGCAGCCATCCACGTAGGACATGGAGGTAGATCTCTTCATTATACCTGTTACAGATACAGAGATGTTTGATTTATCAGTCAACAACAAATGTTGCAGTGGAGTGCTTTGGTTTCAGGAGCTGTGCACTTACACATGTACACAGAGTACCTGGCCCAGATTTTCTAAGCTATTCTGAAGATCTGAATCATCCAACCCACACCACAGCTTCTGGCTATTTATTCCTGGTTAGATTTTTCCTAGATTAATTATACTGTATAATTAATAACAGCATTTTTTCTAAGTATAGGGCTCAAATGCAATAGGAGAGTAGAATAATTGCTGCTTGGCTGTAAATCAGCCACTAGAGGGCCACTGGTTTCAAAACAAAACACATCCACACATAATTCCAGTTCCCTGTATTCATGCCCCAGGAAACTGCTAATAGTAGTGATTATATCTTTTTCTTTTTAAAACACCACAAAAGTATATATGGGCAAATTTAAAAAAGCAGAAGACCAACAAGAAACATAAAAGTGATACCGAAGCACCAGTTGTCATCTCCACCTGCATAATCAATGTGTGTGTGAGCAATTTTAAAATAACTAAGCCATTGCCTTGGTGGACACATACTGTATCTATATTTATCTGAACAGATTTGTGACATCCCCGATTGATAACGGATATTTACCCTCTGCAGGGATGTGCTCTGGGCTGTCAGGTCTGTCTGCATAGCTCTGTTTGACTGGACTGGACACAGGAGCCATATTTCTACAGGATGATACAGGCTCGCAGGCTGCAGAGGGACATATGACAACCACTCAACATTCAACTGCAACCTTGAGTTAGTTATTAGAGTTAATAAAAGCACAACATGGTCAAATTAATAACAGCATGCTGATATTATTGTGAAGTTGTACTGTACCGTTTGGGTTGAAGACTCTGGGCTGTACAAATGAAGGTTTAACCACTTCAAACCACCAGAAAAGTTCAGCCATAAACACCAGGTAATTACTCTGCAAAACCACACACACAAACACACACACACACACACAAACACACACACACACACACACAACACACACATTTGTGGTTAATGTTGCTGTCGTGTAAGTAGTTATTTATTAATGTTATTAGCACAACATTTCTCTCTTTGCTCCTTCCACCCATGTCTCAGTTAAGATGTTATGTAAGCGACAATCACAATATTATACAGAATTTTCATAGATCAATGAGGTCACGGCCTGCCAGCTGTTGCTAGGTAACAGGCTCAGGTGTTGTGTAGTTGAATATCAGTACATGTTTCATTGTCTAAGTGGTTTAATGTCATACGCCTCGTGAAAACTGCCAAAAACACCATCTGGAGTTCAGTTTAACTATGTCACATATGCACAAGTGGATGCACAAAGCAGCGAGTGAGTAAGGATAAATGCATCATGTTATAAACAGAAAGTCTCTGGAGGCCTGTACAGATGATTTCATATGTAGGAAACCTTTTGGCTAACACACACAGACCTTACTTTCCAGAAGGAATAGAAAGACAAGAACAAAAAACAAGCTGGGATTTTCCTGTTCTTTCCTATAAACTGGTTCTTCGTTTTAGACACAGCAGAGTCAAGTTCTTAATAGCCTAAACAACATTTCTCCTTGTGTTATATATTAAATAAATAGCCACATGCACACACACACTAGTTAAGATTCAGTGGGCAGTGAGTCCGCGGTGAATGGGCATTGCGCCAGTGTCTTTAACTGCTCTTCACGACCATTTTCTCTCCTCCTTTGCCTGCTTGGACAACTGTAGTACTATAAAGTCAAAAACACACTCACTATAAACAATGTAGTGACTGGGAGAGGAAGAGACAAATACAGAGCAAATAATTTACAAGTGTGAAAACCGTCTGCTGTGTTGTTTTGAAGAATGGAAAATCCTGGTCAGCTCGGCCCGTGACTTGAATCTGAATGTTTCTACCCACGCTCTCCGCATACTATTTACCCACACTGGCTATGCTGTATCTAAGGTCCGGATAGCACAGAGATGCTCTTAAAGCTGTACAGTAAGGCTTTCATTAATCAGAAACAAATGTGTGTGAAACGGGGAGATCTAAGCCTGAGGACCGACTGAATCAGCAGTGGTGGTCTCTTAAGTTCACACATACTATTATTTGATAAAAAACAGAAGGGATGTGGAAGGGGAGAGAACAAGAGAGGCAGGCAGAGATGGGTCTGGGTTCTGAATCTCCTCGGAGCAGAATCTGTCCTCTGTCTGAGTGGGGGGGGGGGGTATTTGGCCCCTAGTCTGTACTAGAAAAGCACCAACACACACACACACACACACACACACACACACACATCATATTCATTAAATCTGGCAGCCAAGCTATACTCACTGTAGCAAAATGATCTTTATATCCCTGCTAATACATCCACATGCACACACACACACACACACACAAACACACACACACACACACACACACACACCACACAACAACCCCTGCAAGAACTAAGTCTGCTTACACACACCAAACTTTTTCCTTGCATGACTCATTTTTGCCTATTTGTAATTTCCAGCTCTAACTCTCCTCATTCCCCAAAACACTTTTCTTTTCTCTCTTTCCTTAACTCAATCCTCATTATAAAAATAGCATCTTTCCACATCCTCCACACACATTTCTCATGTATTCATATACTTTAATGCCTGCATTCCTACCTTTATGGATGCATGTGCATAGAGCATGTCCTCCAGGCTGAAGTGGCAGCAGTGGTTGAGGTTGTTCCTGCAGAACTCCTGCACCAGCTGGAGGTTGTACAGACTGTCAGCCAAAGACATGGTCTCCTTGAGGCAGATATCTGCACAGCCAGGGGAGGGGTCAGGCACACACACAACGGAGGGGGCGATAGCAAAGGCCAAGCAGGAAGGCGAGGAAAAGATAAGGCATAGTTTATGTTTAAAAAAAGAACAGATGAGAGGAAAATTACCCTACTTTTCCCACTACTGTTTGTGCCATGCAGGAGCAGTAGCTGATTTTAATCCCTCCAATTCCTTGAAACAATTCATGACACAAGTTTTCAAACTGCCTTCAACTCCTTCTGGATGAATCATCAGGATTTTTATCCCCTGACGTTAGTGGAAGGCCAGCCCATGCATGTAAATAATATCGAACAAGTTCAGGGACAAAACATGATGTCATTCTTTACTTTACTGTACCTTTTTATTACTTTCAGACTAAATAAAGCTGCCAGCAAGCAGAACTAAATTAAGTTTAACTCGCTTCCACATCTGGCCCACATGTGTATGAGCTCCCTGTGAACTACATTCAATCCCGAGAGTCTCAGAGCAATGACACAAGAGTTGTTTATCTTTGAAATAGCAGCCAGATCCTCCTCTAACGGTTCTCCGTCACATACCCCTCGTGACCAATCACAACCCAACCCAGGGCATTTTTGGAAATGAGGGCGCGGGCGAGCTGAGAGGAAACAAGTCTTTGTTTCTCTTTGTCTCTTGCACTCATTTTCCTTGTTTGTCCTGAATCCTGTCTGCCTAGCAGTGTCCTTATTGGGGTCAATAACCTGAACAGGATCCTCCATTTATATCATTAAATGAAACAACAGCAAGCCAAAACAGGTCCTTTATCACTTTACTGTGTTGTTCTTTGAGATTAGGATTAGAGTTTAAGCAACTGAAAACTATAAAACATTTCCTAGAAAACTATCAGTTTGATTTTTATTTAATTTACTTACATTCTTATATATTAATATGGCAAAAATCCCTCATAAAACCACACTAATATATAATAAGTACACTCTTTGTTTGAAGCTCCCTCTTCAAATGTATGGTTATAGTTAGAGCAGTGAGAGCAGAAAAGAGCATCCTTTGTGCTGGGACGGAACCTCATTGTGGTTAGCTCATTGTATGCTATTTGAATGACACTGAACTGACTTTAGTCTGTTTACTGTAAGATTTATTAAAAGGGGGTGTGGCTAGTGAGGTCAGGTAGGTGTGGTTACAGATTGAGGGTTGGTCCCACCTTCCAGTCTGATGGCCTGTGAGCAGTAGAAGTGCAGCAGGGTGGTCAGGGCACAGCCGTCTGTGTTGTCCTTCAGCAGGTTCTCCACCAGGGGGAGCGATGGTGCGCTCCTCTGCTGAGCATGCTCCTTCCTGTAGCGAGCCTGAAACCATGGCAACAGCACAAAGACATCACCTATATGTGTCATCGGTGTGGATGTGTACAGTTGGCTCTCTGAGTTGGCGCAGACACACTTTTATCTGCATGCACCAGTGCGCACACACAACTCAATCACACCCACTCACAGACAAATAGGTGTTAATTTGAGGAATTTCAAGCATAGGGTGGGCTTCAAGCACAATTTAAATAATGCAGATTAAACTGATCATGCAAATAATCAGACACAACATCTAGAATTAGATAGTCATCTTATATATAAATGGATAAAAAAAGATGCAATCATAGCACTACTTTGCTCCCCTTTGATTTCTTGTGAGGAGTAGTTAGTTCTCTAGAAGGTGAAGGGGAACAAAATGCATGTAGCAAATTAATTGTTATCAGCTTCATACATCTGAGGGGGGGAATTATATAATCTTCCACTGTGCTATAGCAGACAATGCATGTAATTTAAATGTTAATAATAATATGCATTAGCACATCTGTCAAGGTTTTTTGAACGCCTCTCTGGGCCCGTAAAAACCACAGAGACAAAATTACTACATATATCTTCAGGTCACTCCCAGTTTGCCCATAAACACACAATGAGTGGTGTCACATATGCATTTTACAAGCAAAATAATGGAAGCTTTAATCACAGTGGCTCTGACTTTCTGACAGCCTCTCAGTTTGTGCATCAAGCTCTGGGGAACAAAATGTCGTCCATCGTTCATTTTGGTTTGTACAAAGAGGTAACACAGTACGTCTGTGACAGCAGCCAACTTAAACCCATTCAACAGGAGAAAAGCGCAACTTGCCCCTTGTTTTCAATGCATGACACAGACAACATGCCATATCAAACAAGGGAATGGGATGTCAACTGGGGCAGTGGCTTTAGTTTCTGATATGTTTATCAGTGTTACAAATGATACATTCTGGATATTTATATGATCATGCTACAGGACTGTGTTTGCTCTACCAGGTAGAGTTTCTATCACTCTGAGGGTGATGTAGTGTAAAATGACTACTATATCAGTTAATCAGATTCCTAGGAATGTGGAGACAAGGGCTGGGGGAAAGGAGAGGGTGGGAGTGGTCTGACCAATGCATGATGGGGCTCAGGGCCACATGCAATGACAAGATACTTTGGGGGGAAATGTGAATGGGTGTATCCTTGCAGGTTTGGGTTAGACAGAGAGGAGGTAGATGGTGGTGGTTGGAGAAGAGGAGTTCTTCAGAATGGATGGACTTACAGGTACTAATCTCCAGTACCATTTGCTAGGAGACTTGATGGTGGATGATGATTGGACAACAACAGGAGAGAGTGGGAGAGGCGTTAGGCCAACAGCAAGCAAAACGTTTTGCTACTTGGAGTATGGGGGACAAACCCTCTCCTGACACTAGAAAGAACTCCTACAGTGCATGTTATACCTCTGCAAAAGCTGAACAATATTCAAAATCTGGCATATTCTAAAAACATTTTTAATATACTGTATCTGGATCTGTATGAAAATACACTGAGAGACAATACTTGGATCGATCTGACAGAGTAGTTGTGGTAGTTGTTTAGTTTTCTCACTCACTTAAATTTGCCAGAAAATAACTTAACTTCGTACATTACATTACAAACAAAGAGCTGTGTCTTCCCTCCCAATTAAAGATTAACACAGAAGGTGCTTTCCTTAAACTCAAGTCTTTTATAATCACCCAACCACTAAAAGTCATTTAGAGAATTGCCCTTAAATCATCACATAGGAGCAATACAAATGGGCTTTGTCTTCAGTCTAGCAACAGTCTAAATCACATCACAAACACAGCCCTTCCTCTAAGTGGGTCCATTAACTTACCTGTTTCTGTATTTAATGGTTGTGTCACAGAGATCTTTGACTTTTGGTTAAGTTCCTCTCTCTCTGATAAGGCTCTACTACAGTTACACAGTTTGCTCTGAAAGTCTCAGATATTACATTATAATCTCTTTTGAAATATAAACAAGACACTAGGCTATGCTAGCGCCTCTGTGAGGCTGTACTTTGGGATAACCACTAACATCAAAACGCTCAAATATGCTCAACAACAATGCCAATATGCTGATGTTCAGCAGGTATAATGTTCACCATCTTAGTTTAGCTCATTAGCATGCTAGCATTTGCTAATAGCACTAAAACATAAAATATACAGATGTGGAATGGGAGTTTTATAGTATATTTATAGTAAGTAAGTATTGGAGAAAAATAAATGGTGCTAGAGGAAAACTAAGGGAGTCCCCAAAGTCTACAGTCCCAGAATCCTTTGGGGAACACAAATATCTGCACAAAATGTCATAGCAATCCATCCAATTATTGGATCTATCGTCATTGAGGTATTTCAGCAGGGACCAAAGCATTGGACCAACATTGCTATCCATAGAGCTACTCTGCTGAATAAATAAAATATATAAAATACAGATTTCATTTCACAAGTTCAGGGATGTCCATGCAAAATGTTCTAAGACTAAAACTTTCCAGTGAGTCACTGTTCAGACATGTTCACAAGCCTGTTCCATAGCACAGATTGTTTTTCAATTAAATTATATGCAGTAAAATAGCAAGAACATTCAAAACAATCTGTCTTATACTGTTAGGAAACCCTTTGCAAAACGTGGATCTGCACTAAAAGGTAATTACTAATTTCTTGGCCTCTGTCTAAACATTCCACAAAATTTTATTGAAATCTGTTGAAAAGTTTTTGAGATATGTTGCAATCTAATGAACAGATAAAAAAACAGGACCTAACCTCCATGATAGATGTAACAAAAGCTACAAAGAATTTTATGAGTGTAGGAGCTCCTGATTAATTAACACATCTGTTGTTCTGACTTTCCACTCAGTCTTATGCAAGTAAAACACCTATGTTAAGCACAAACACAGAATCCACACACAAAAATGCTGAGCATTGAGTCACAAGACCAGAGTTAAAGATTTTTCACACCGTCCCAGAATAGACAAGATCTACTGAGAAGTGTCTTGTACTCATCCATTAGTGTGTGTGTGTGTGTGTGTGTGTGTGTGTGTGTGTGTGTGTGTGTGTGTGTGTGTGTGTGTGTTCGCGTAGGCATGTGTGTGTGTGTGCGTATGTGTGAAATTATCTCCCGAGTTTGTACTAGTCAGTGAATAGACTTCTGTTGAAGCTGATAATGCAGAGAGGGAGCTGTGTGATGGAGCATGGAGTAGGAAAGCAGCTGACTGACACTGAGTGCTCAGAGTCTTCCTCACACTCTTTAAAAAGAACCCTCTTCTTCCCTCACTGTAACTGGTTGCCTTTGACAAAGTGGGTCTATGTGAGTCAGTTTGGGATATGTCACATACCCTATGTGTATTATCAGCTTACAGTTGGTCACTCTCACCACACCAACACAAAAACAGACAATGAGAGAAGATTTGCCAAGAAACTCCTACAGCAGATAAAAGCTCCTCCTAAACTTCTGAACATCCTGCAGCTCTTTAAGGTGACTCTGCTCCATATGAGGGAGCAGGGACACACTCGCCGCCATGAGGCATTTTATTCGCTGTTGTATGTAAACAGTTGAATCTATGATAAGGTGTTTTTGGTCAGCTTGCAATGTGTGGCAAATGTCAGTCTGTCCACCACTTTGGTTTAGTCTGAAATATCTCAAGAACTATTGGATGGATTGCTATTAAATATTTTTCATGGACAGGGGATGAATCTCACTCACTGCCTGATTTTTCCTATAGCACCTCTATGAGGTCGAAATTTGGTTTTGAGTGAAATGTCTCCACAACCATTGGATGGATTTCTATGAAATTAAGGGTACAGAAAATCACATCCCATCAGGATGATTTTTTAAAAAACTTTGGTAATACCAAGACTTTTCATCTTGCACCATCATCAGGTTACATTTTCAGTTTGTCCAACACTTTAGTTTATGACAAAATACCTATAAAACATACTGACACCTCCATCACAAACACTTAGCACTAATGTAGAAAATGTTAACACGCTAACAGGATGGTAAACATAAACATTACTGCTATCAGCATGTTAGCACTGTCACTGTGAGCATGTTGCCATGCTAGCGTAAGTACAATTTCACTAGACTCTTAAGCTGTGTTTCTGACCAGTACCAGCACCTTTTACTCCCAGGAACCATTGTTGTCTGTTTCCACTGCGGCCTAAAGACCCACGAAAATTAGGCAAATTGGCCCAGTAATGTTTAAAAAACGACAACTGTTTTTACTTGTTATTTTGGCAGGCAACTATACAATTACAATGCTTTGCTTTACTTTCTGTAACCGTTGGCGTGTGAAACCAAAATGAACAAAAAAATTGTTTAACAGCTGCAAATGTTTAAATATGGTAGCTGAAATAACTGCGAGTACTCGACCAATCAGATATGTTTAGTTCCATCCCCAAAGTTGTACTTTTCTAAAGTACACCCCCCCCTGAGCAGATACTTAATTTAGATCCTGGTCCCTGGGGTGGGAACACACTGAGTTGCTCCAAAGGTTCCTTAGTGCCCGGGGAAAGTTCCTGAGGTGGAAATGCCGTTTGTTGACTCAAGACAAAGGTTAGCTGAAGCTATCTTTGTTAACACACACGTTTACTCCATGGCAGTACTATCTGGTATTTACATTTTCAGAGTTTCAATCAGAGTTTACATCAGAGTTTACCTCTTTGAGTTGGTATTGAGTTGCATGCAGGAAGTTTACCTACTGATTCCCATTAGTTGAAAAGAGTGACATATTGTTTATTTTCCATCTTTTAACCTCTTGTCACTGCTGCAGAACACCGACCTGAGGCAAAGGTCGTGACCTGATAAGGCACAGTGCAGTAGCTTCATGGTTAAGCGGGTAAAGAGGACGGTAGCTGACTGCTGTATCCATGTGAACTGACTCGTTGTGTCACATGGACCTTACATAACTACGAGGCCTGCAGGATGACAACACTGTCTCTGTCTGTCACTGACTCTCTTTTGCTACAGCTGACAAAGTTCCTGAGTGTCTCTCTCCATGTCCTCCACCCTGGTCTCATTTGTCCCGTTCCCCTCTCTCTGATTATTCCTCCTCACTTTTCTTCTCTCTCTGTCTGTCACCCTTTCTCTCTTCCTCCGCCCCGCACATTTCTTTGTCTCCTCGAACAGCAGTGTCGCGACTCTTGCCAACATTTTCCTGCAGCTGGTCTGAGACTGAGCTCATCTGTTCCTCTGATTTACAGAGCTCTGTGTACTACGCTCTCTCTGTGTGTGTGTACATATCATGTGTGTCATGTGTGCGTTGTGTGAATGGAGACATGTGCTAATGCTTACAAGTAGGAAATATCTGAAATCTAATATTGACAGATGGGAGACAAAATAAAAAGTATGAGAAGCAGGACATAAAACTTAAAATAAAAGCAAATTAGATTAAGGCATTAAACGAATAGTTCAACATTTTGGGATATATACTTGTTTGCTTTCTTGCCAAGAATTATATGAGAAGATTGATGCTCATATACAGAGCTGGAGCCACCAAATTAACTTACCTTAGTCCCCTGGCTCTGTCCGAAGTTCAAACCTCCCAACACCTCAAAGCTCACTTATCAACATGCTGTATCTCTCTTTGTTTAATTCATATACAAGCCAAAATGTAAAAACAACAATTTGAGGGATGCGTTGTGTATTTATTTACTGACAAACAACAGACATCTGCCTGTGTAGCATCTCTGCTGGTTGCTTGGTGATGACAAGACTCAGGGAAGTCAGTTGTTCCCCAAGTAATACTAATCCCTTTAAAGCCACAATTGTTGTTTTAACACTGCTCTTGTTGAGGGAAATGAGAGATACAACCTGTTACTTAGTGAACTTTAGAGATGCTAGGTATATTTTCAATCTCTGGACAGACCAAGGATAACTGTTTACCCCTGATCCCGGTCTTTCTGCTAAGCTAAGCTAATATTCTCCTGGCTCTAGCTCTGTACTTATCCCACAGATATGAGAGTGTGGTATCAATCTTCTTCCATTTAACTCTTAGCAGGGAAGCAAATGAGTACAGTGATGTCATCACTGTAATTTGTGATTTTGGGGCTTAGGTACTGGGGTTATTTGTAAGCAAACAATAGCTGGGTGCAGTGACAGTAACTCTCTCTAAAACCACAAATTGTCCTTTTTACATTCCAGTTGGTGTGCAGATTGAATAAAGGGGATATTAAGTGTCAGTGAGATTTGGTGCTGCTAGGAAGATTTATTTATTTATTTTTTACTTAAAACACAGACAAAATGTTGTCCTTTAAACACCCTGTTATTTGGATGACAAATGAGAGTTTGCGTGAGAATAAATGGTAAATGGTAAACGGACCTGTACTTGTATAGCGCCTTTCTAGTCTTCCGACCACTCAAAGCGCTTTTACACTACGTGGCACATTCGCCCTTTCACACACATTCACTCAGTGATGGCAAAGCCCACTGAACAGAAACTAACTCATTCATACACATTCACACACCAATGCACAGCATCGGGAGCAATTTGGGGTTCAGTATCTTGCTCAAGGATACTTCGACATGTGGCACCAGGAGCTGGGGATTGAACCAACAACCTTCCAATTAGGGGACGACCCGCTCTAACTCTGCGCCACAGCCGCCCAGTGTGTGTGGTGTGTGTGTGTGTGTGTGTGTGTGTGTGTGTGTGTGTGTGTGTGTGTGTGTGTGTGTGTGTGTGTGTGTGTTCGTTCTTACTTTCTGTGTGTGTGTGTGTGTGTGTGTGTGTGTGTGTGTGTGTGTGTGTGTGTGTGTGTGTGTGTGTTCTTACTTTCTGTGTTGTTGCATTTGAGTCCTGGAAGGAAGCCTCTCTCAGCTTTTGCTCTTCGACAAGGATGTCCCTCAGGTGTTCATTCACCTGGAGAGAGAGAGAGAGAGAGAGAGAGAGAGAGAGAGAGAGAGAGAGATGAAGGTCAAATTTCAGACTAGCATTTTGTGCACACTGAGAGACTGAATGGTGAGTCTGTTGGAGAGAGGAGGAACTTGAACATGAAACAGAGGCTCCACACATCAAACAAAAAACTTTTCACCACCACTGCCCATTAGCCACTGATGCTAAATGTTATTGAAACTTAATATACAGCACTCAGCTGTCTTCCAACACAACGTAGAAAGAACTTGAAAGATTACTATAATGATAGTTTTTCTCTTTTTACAAAAAAAACCTTTTTTATGATTACTGCTCTGTCTTCAAAGGCTGTGTACAAACACTGATGTAACATTTTGTCCTGAGGATGCACAAGGTCACATCAGCCAGTCCCAACATGGCGTGCTATGTCTCAGAGCAATACAGAGAGACACAGGTTTTTTTTTCTAATGTGTGTGTCTGTAAATAAATCCTACATTGTTATCATCTTGCCTTCGGACAGGAAAATGAGCAGCAAGCACATGAGCTTGTTCAGCAAGGAATGTTAGTGATCATTGTACGTTTAATTGATTAATTCATGCCATGCTGGAACTTTCATTATTTTAAACAAAGTAAAATGAGGTCATGGTCGTGTTTTGAGGCAAAAAGTCTCCTGCAAGGTCAGTGAAAGCAACTTCAAGTGATTAAATAATCTGTAAGATAATGGAATAAAACTAAAGATGCAATCACAGAGACTTAACTACTGCCCTCTTAAAATCTTACAGCCCAATCGAGGTCTGACTTTACTCTCCCAATTCTCCCAAGTTATCTCTTGATAATCTCTGACATGATTACATATGGTTGGTGCCAGGTCTTCATCTAGCGAACATATTAGATCTTGAACCAGCAGTGGAGGAATTGAGCGCTGACACACTTTCCACCACCTTTCGTGTCTTCTATATCCGGAGTCAAACAAAGAACTGTGTGTCCTCCGTTGTAAAAGGCTCAAGTATTTGTACAATTGTTATCCCTCTAAAATGAGAGAGCACATGTCCTTGCGGTTGGCTTTGTGTGCACACGAACACGCTCCTGTGTGTATGTGTACCTTGTTGATCCAGGTGATGATTGCATCCTCGGTATCATAAGGCAGCTCCTGGATGTGTCCGTCACTATGTGAGGGTTCAGCGGAGGAGTACCTGTTGATGCAGGACATCACCCTCTCCACACTCACCATCTCCACAGTATACGCCATCATCAGGGTATCTATGAGCGCCAGGTGGGAACTCTGTGGAGAGATACAGCAGCGTTGTAAGGGTTGCCATTTACTCTCCCACTTCTTTCCAAAAGCAACAAACTGACAACTAAAGGCCTAACTTTATATTTTCATGTTAGTGCGTCTCTGCTTCTGCAGTGTTTTTGAAGTGCAAAGTTGCCAAAAATGGTTGAAACAAATGGTTTCATTCAAGAAAAAAATACTCTTATATATAACTCTTGTAAGCAAAGGGCCACAGGTGGGACTCAAACCCCCTGCAGCAAAGACTCAGCCTTGGTACACGGGCCTCCAGCTCTACAAGGAGAGCTACCATCGCGCCCTGAGCAGGGGTTCTAAAAGAAAAATACGTAGCAACCTATAATGAAGGGAAATTCTTGGTGCACTGGAGGGAAATCAGAAGCATTACCTAAAGGATCAAAGTTGGGAAACATGATGTTACATAATGTGAATAGAATTTTGTCTATAATCAGATTTTGCCATGTGATGTTTCTTCAATTTTAAAACAGTAAAAAGATTACAGAAAATTAAGGGGGGACAGAGGAACAATATGCAACAAAGGTATCCAGCTGTACTCAAACTGGGGACTCGGTGGGCTTGAGGAGGTTTGATACATCCAAATAATTTCTATAAAATCCAGACCAGGCCTCTAATGGAGACCTGCATATATTTGTCAAAACATGTAGCCGCATCAGGACCTGCATCTATTTGGGATCCTGCTTGTATTTATTTAACAGTATATGTTATAATACAGGGTTTTACCCATATTGTCCACTATTAAAGACAAACAGCCTGCAATCTTCTTCTCACACCTCCTTGGTTTCCCATGGTGTCACACTAACTTAAATCTGTGTGGATTTGTGTTTATTAACTTCATCCAGAGCTCAGTAAAGCCATCATGCTTCAGACCTCTTGTTTTTGTCGTTATGTCACCTGAGGAAGTTTTGTGGATACCAGGAAGAATCAAAGTATGTTATCACCAACTCAGCCCCTCTTGCCACCTGACAGCTGAAAGCACTTTACACACTTATAAGTCTTTACAGAACTACTTTCATACTGCACACATGACCTAATGACGAGTCCTTCACTATATGTGAGTGTTTTTAACCGCCATCAACACCTACACAAAGCTTGACATTCTCCTGGCCTTTCTAATCCCATTCCAGGCCGGTCAGACCAACAGACCTCCCCTTCCCTTTCCTGTCACACCACAGGTCCACTCAAAAACATTTATGCACTGTGTGTGTACTTGCGTGTGCTTGTTGCTTACCTAAACATCTCTCTTCAAGTCCAAGCTGACTGAACAAACTCCTTAAGTCAGGTGCTCCATGATCCAGGAGACTCAAACCAACAGACACAAACAAGCACAGACTTCTATTCATAACCGCCTCGTGTAACGGCCAGTGTGACCAAGTGTTTCCCCAAGAAACCAACAAGTGATCCAGCGCTACGACTCCGTACTGCCACTGGTGCTCAACGTCAGCACCACATGTTCTTCTGCCAGTCAAAACAGACAGCGTGTACAGAAGAAACATGGCTGTTAGAAACAAACTCCTCATGAAAATAAGTGCTGAGAAACTTATATAAACTGGAGTGTCAGCTGATGTCAGCATATGTCATTCATCCATCTTGAATCATGTCAGTTAAAAAGAAACACAGCAAACTAGATTTTTTTCTGAAAGGAATGTAATATTGTTGCACTCTTTAGACCCAACGCTCATCCTTCTGATCTGACTAAGACTATAATTAACGACTATTCTCATTACTGATTAATCTGTTGTGCCCTTCGCAATTTCCCAGAGACCAAGGTAATGTGTTCAAATTGTCAATTGTGTCTATTAAAAACACATTTGAGAAGATGGAACCAGAAAATATTTGGTATTTTAGCTTCAAAGAGAGTAAAAAGATTAATCAATTCTCAACATTGTTCTAGATTGTTTTGTTTTTTTGCTGGATAAGCAATTAATCAGCTAATTGTAACTAATGTAAGCTGAACAGATGTTGTAGACTGGTACTGACTGGTACTGACCTGTATAGTGACGTATGCTACACTGAATGCTCCAGCTGTAGTGTATTACAAGGGTAAACAGGATTGTTTGGATTGGTGCTGGAACACGGAACTGCCACACTGCCTGATATTGAATATTGTCTATGAAACAGTCTGCAGACACTGTCTTGAATTCCTGCATCTTCAGGATATTGTCAGATATTTGGCATTGCATGCATTCTCCTCCAGAGGCACAGTAGCCGGTCTGGCTGACAGCTGGACTGACTGACAGAGAGACAGGCAGAGGGTGAGACAGGCCAGAGCAGCTTAGACTGGAGCTGGCGATCCAGAAAACATGATCTTCATGAAAACCCATGGAGCTTTCTCTATGATTGAGGCTTTTCTGAACACATTTACATAAAACCCCTAAATCTTGAATGTCTTTAAGAAGCTTGCGTAGGTGTGTAAGTGTGTGTGTGTCACATGAATTTAAATGGTGAAAAATAATACTGGTCTTAATTTATGTTTCATTAGGACATTTGTCTACATTCAAACATCTGCACTAAAAAAAATTATATCATTATAGAAACATAGATCACAATTTGGTATGCCTATATAGCGAAAAAAAAGCTACTATTATAGCAGTAGTATAATAATAGTATTGTATAGTATTTACGTGTAACTCTCTGTAGAATCACAACATATTGTTTTTACATTTCTGTTTATGTACAGATTAAACAAGCAAGATATACCATGTTAATTAGTGAGCTTTAAAGCTGCTAGTAGGTGGATCTCTTAACTTTGGATAGAGCCACATCATTTCCATTTTGCTAAGCTAGCTAGTAATTAAAAACACAGACATGAGTGGCATAATTATTCTAATCTGAATGAAAAAAAAAGTGAAACATGATCTTCAGCTTCTCTCTAGAAGCATATAATTTCCATACAGTGAAAAGACGTGTTATTATTATTTTTGTTAATTATTATTATAAAATCTTGACAATAGTCAGAGGACTGAAACTTACATATGTTGTTTTTTACCAGGTACCAGACAGACAGTACATGGAGCCGCTGCTTTCATATCTACAGACTGTTCTCGTATCCACCACTGTTGACACTACAGCATGGATTTAAAAGCCATGTGCTGTCTATTATCCCTACACAAAGTCCTTTGGGGTGTGTGTGCATGTGTGTGCACAGACGCAAGTCTAAACCACTCACGGTGACAGACACGCCTTATAAGGCTGTGGAAATGGCACACACTGGTCATAAAGACCTGCAGTACACTCGTGCACACTATCTAACAGAAGCATCAGTATTCATACTCACTACTGTTGTACGGCTGCATGAGTTTGTGTGTGTGTGTGTGTGTGTGTGTGTGTGTGTGTGTGTGTGTGTGTGTGTGTGTGTGCCCTTGATCAAAGGCATCTATAGGAAAGCACAATACAGCTGAGCAAACAGATAATCAAAGTAACCTCTTTCTGGACAAACATCACAAGTGTCCGTTCAACACAGGTACACAATCAGAAATGGCCTACATCTGAGCAACACAAGTGTTTTTATTGTGCAACTTTACACCTTCATGTCTGGCTCTATTGAGACATTAGTGTGTGCTGACAGTTATGGTGCAATTGTCCAAAATGCCAGTAAAAATAATGACCACTCTCACTATCTCTCTCTCACACACATCCATAAAATCCGGCAAATCTTTCAGCAAAATTTGGCAGAGAGCTTTCAGACGAAGGCACACGCCCCTCTGCAGGAAAATTCAATTACCGCTACGACTCTCTCTCTGTCCTCCGCCACTTTCTTGTCTCTGTTTCAACACTCAGAGGGCAGCGCGTGCGAGCATGTGCGAGACTTAAAAAAAAAAGTAAAAGAGAAACAGGAAGGTAGAGCTAGAAAAGGACACACAGGTCTTGTGCACACTGCTGGAGGTCTGACAGCTCTTTGGAGGTGTGTGTGTGTGTGTGTGTGTGTGTGTGTGTGTGTTAGAAGAGGGGGTAATAAGGAGAAAGAGTGGGAGTGGGAGTGGGGGGGGGCACTCATTTGTGCACCAGACGTGCTTTGACTCACTGTGAGACCCCACCCTCCACTGTGCTGCAGTAGAGCACATCACGTCTTCCTCCTCTCCTCAACCCTCCCTGCTCTCCATGTACTCCGCTCTTCTCCTCCCCCGTCATTCCCCCCCCTTCCAGATGGCCACATTAGCAGACCCGCCTGCCAAAAAGGCAATACCTTACCCCTTCTCTCCTCTCTTCTCTATCTTTCCATCCATTCCTACTTCTTACAGACTTCCACACTCACCCTTTTCCTCTCTTCTCTCGCTCTACTTTCCTGCTTCCTCCTGGATCGCCGCCAAATGGCAGCCCCTAAACTCCATCTTTCCCCCTCCTTCTCTCTCTACATCCATTCGCCCTCTGACAGACTGCCACGCTCCTCCTCCTCCCTGACATGAGTTATTCTTCTGTTGCACAGCATTTGGAAAACCATGAGGTAATCATTTTCTCTACAGATATACCATAACCCAAAATGAAAAGCCTTTACTTTTAGCGTGACTGAAATGATCCTGCTGAGTCCACAAATACTCACACACACACACAGTTCTTCTACTTTACAGAACCAATCTAGTGAATTCAGACGGGCAGAGAGCAACAATAAGGATGGACAGATTAACAAATTGCCTGCATGTGTGTTACACAAATGAAGGTCAATAGGCGCCGAGGGTCCAGGGGCTATATGCTCCATTTGTCTACTTAACACTGTCACTAAATCACCTGCTATACGGAAACACAGAGACAAAGAGAGAGACTACACACGCACTTTTATAGCTATGAAAGGGCATGGGATAATTAAGCGTTGCACCCAATCACCACCCATCAGTCTCACCTTCATGACATAATCAATCAATGAGTTATGTGGAGAGCACAATCAACCGTATAACATAAAAATGTGAGTTTTCGTCTAGAGCTGTAAAAAGTGAGAGCACAAGCAGAGGGCAAATAAACCTGAGAGAAAGAGACAAAGATGTGGGGGTACTGTCGGGCTTGATGGAATATGTTTAAGCTTCAATTAAATATTCGGGAGATAACAATGTCCCGGGTTCATTTAATCCAAAAAGATAGGAGTTTGGATGAGATGGAGGAATGGTAGCAAAGGCTAAAAAAGATACCACGGCAGGAAGAGAGAAGGATGGAGACAGAAGGAGGAACAAACAGAGAGAGAGACAAGAGACTTAAGGTAAGAAACAGTAAGACAGACAGAGTGAGAGCAGGAGTGGGAGGTAGGGAGGGAGGAGGGAGAGAGGGTACACTGCAATGCAGACACCTTTTGGCGTCAGCAGAAGTGCCCGGTCTCCAGCCATGCGTGTGCTAGCTGTGTGTCTGGATCAAGCTGCCACAGACTCACTGTCCTTTCATAACTAAAGCATCATAAATGAAAGTTACTCAAGCTCAGAATCGATACTCACACCCAGCGAAAGGGAAAAAGGTGTGTTATGTTCTAGAGCTGAAACGATGAGCTAATTAATTGATATGTCAAAAAAAAAAAAAGGAAAATAATGACAGTTATGGTTGTTGTTTAAGTCATTCCTTAAGCAAAAATGCCCCAAATTAACTTGTTCCAGCCTTTCAGATGTGAGGATACTCATTCATATAACGGAATATCTTTGGGTTTGGATTTTAGGTTGGACAAAAAATAATTAATTACAGATGAATATCAACCAATAATGAAAATAACTACTGTATGTTGCAGCCTTATTATGTTCCACAGTATTGACAACATACTACTGGAACATCTCTTGGTGGTGTGAGCTATGGCATGTTTGCCCCGCGCTGTCTAATGACACAGAGACTGAACAGTGAGTAATGGGTTGCTATAGGAAACCCGTCATTAGCGGTTGTTTTTCTCTCAACAGGACAGATCGTGGAGGACGTACGGAACGGTGCACACAAACACACTATCCTATAACTCGCTTATTCTCAGCGAGGGGAAGACACAGCGAAGCACACAGCTACTGTTATCATAGTGCTGAAATAAGTAGTTGATTAATAAGTTAGTTATAATAAATAGATTTAAGTCATTTAATAAGTAATTCGCTGGTTCCAGCCTGTATTTGCTGTTTTATATCATTGCAATTTTTTTATATGTTCATTAACAATTTGAAGACATAATCTTGGGCTATGGGAAATTGTGATGGCCATTTCCTGCTAGTTTTCGATATTTAATAGACAATGAATGAAAATGAATCCTTAATTGTAGCCTGGTTACTAAGAGTGAGCATGTACATTTATGCACAGTACAAAAAGTGTATACAGAAAAAACATAAACTAGACTAAACTGCAAAATGGAAATGCTGCAAATAAATCAGGATGTTTTCAATCACATACTCTCCACTCACCATGTGTATAGGCGTGCTGGTCAGATCTCTCTCAGTGACCAGTCGGTCCTGGTCAGTTACGTACAGGCCTTTCTGGGCCAGGGCCTGGATGACAGCGTTGTGTCCCAGTAAAGGTTTGACAGCATCACTGCGGAGGATCAGGCTCCCTGCCCGGCAGTAGAGCTCTGCAGACTGGAGCAGGCAGGCCACTGGAGGCTTCAGGTGCTCCTGGTTGTACTGGTCCTTGTATAGAGGTTCAGCCAGCTCCTCTGGCACTGAGTCTGAGGGGAGAGAAAGGCACAGAAAGGGAGAGAGGTGGGTAAGAGCTGGTTTAAAGCAGCTCCTGTGCTCCAGCTTCATCTCTGCTGAGAGACAGAAGAAAACAGTGACAGGCATGTAGGCAATAAAAAGCTATGCTACTATTATTTCTATATTTTACTGCCTTTGTTGTTGTTGCTATGGCTTCACAACAGCACACTGTAGAGCAGAGCCTCGCCTTCATGACCACAACCAGCTCAAAGCTTGTGGCACACACCCAGAAAAGATGGTATACGCCACAAAACCTCCTGAACATCATCAGTGAAAAGTCCATTTGCACAAGTTACAAGGTCAGTTAGTGGTTAAAGGCAGTTTCCAGAAAGAGTCTTCTCCATTACAATAACAAGCACACCAATGTCACGTGTTTATTTGTTGGTGCTTATCTTAGTGAAGATCCAGACAGGACATCTTGTGAGCACAAAGACAGTGTGTGTGTGTGTGTGTGTGTGTGTGTGTGTGTGTGTGTGTGTCTGTCTGTCTGTCTGTCTGTGTGTGCGCACGCATGTGTGTGTGTGTGTGTGTGTGTGTGTGTGTGTGTCAAATATATTTCAGCCATGTGTGTAGGTGTATGTTACAAAGCATTGAGTACCTTCTAATCCTGTTACCTCATCCAGTAAATCTGATTTGAAGAAAATAGCTGGACACACACACCTACACACACACACACACACACACACACACACACACACACACACACACACACACACACACTTCCAGGACTCACTTACTCTTCTTTTCTATTTCTTTCCTCACCATGTTGTTGTTAACCACACTTTGTGACTCAGAGTTATAATATACTAGTCATCCATCTGTCACTCAATGACATGCATACCCTTGTATAGGGATATATATATATATATATATGTGTGTGTGTGTGTGTGTGTGTGTGTGTGTGTGTGTTAGCTTTATTACACTGTGCTCCGGTATGAGTGTGTATTCCTGGTGTGAGGGGTCATTTCCTCTCTGCCTGCCTCTGAATCACACCGAAGGAAACAAAAGAAAACTAAGGGAATCTATCTTAAAGGTACAGGTTTGTGCTCTTCTATCCTCCAAAATAAGATCACTGCACGGGAAAAAGAGCTCAGCAAAACAACATAATAAAATTAAACATTTAAAGCTCAGTGTAGAAAAAATCTATTCAGCATGTGATCAAACCTCGGCAGTTTTCCAGTGGCTGTGGTTAGTGTAGACCCCCCATAACCCCGCGCTGGGTGATGAAAAGAGATATTTAAAGCAACAGGCAGATGTTACACCACATCAACATCTACTTCATAACAAGCCCTCCTGCGTCTAGTCATAGCTTTTAAATCAATCCAACTTTTGTCAGAATGTCTATAAAGCTGATTAATGGAGCTGCACTTGAATGATTCAGCCTCTGAGAAAGTAATTATTCTGCTTTTGTTAGAAATGGTTACAGTACACAATTTGAAGAGCAGTAACTCAAACTATTAACAAAGATACAAGCTTTCTTTTTAGATCATGTAAACTTTGAGGTTAATCACATAGTTTAAAACAAAAACAAAAAAAAGAAGAGCAAGCTACAATAACACAGTGAGCAAGTTTTTCTAGAGTTCATGAAAATCTGCCTCGTCAAGTAAAAACCCTCTCCTTTGTGTTGGCCATCAAAGAGGAAACAGACAGGAAGTGGCTGCCACAGGAAGTCCAGGCACGAAGAAGACTGCTCCCCTGGAGACTGCTGGGATCACAGCTCAGCATACACAACATCACGGTCAGCAGAGTTTATCTCTGCTGGCTGACTGCTCTTTGTTAACTGATAATGATGTCTTAAGTTTTTACAGGGATTAGATTATTAGCTTTGGCTCATATGTTTGTTGGCTTCTTCATTTTATACATTATCATCATGAGATAGACTAGACAAAATACTTTAAGCTTGCAATGACAGATGGCAAACTTGGCTACTTGGGAAACAAGCTGTGAACACAACACTACATATTATCAGCTTTTAAGCTAATACATCAAACAGTTTCCAATTTACACATCTCCCAGACATGGAGCAACATTATCATCCATTTGGAGTTGTGTTTTTGGCCATCCGATGAATGTGTGTCCAATTTTCTCGATCTTTTAGCTAAAATAACTCTATGAGAGGGAACCACAGCAGTAAAGTTGTGGGCCATAAAACCAAAACAATGACCTGAAAGAGGTTAAAACGCTGAGGGGAACTTCAGAGTGGACTGATAATAACTCCACGTGCACTGTATATGATAGGTGTCATACAATAAAAACCCATACATGTACTCATGTCCATTGTAAACACAAATATATTGACTGTTACGTCCAAAACAATGTGCATATTTTTCCTGCGTATAAACACGTATGTTACATAGAAGACTGGTGGCATATGTATCCATGTACTGGATATCCAAGACATTTCTTTTTTTTCTCTTTTTTTTCATTCCTACATGCTAAGTTAGTGGACAGCAACATGAGCTAGTTTCTAATTTTAAAGCAGTGTAACATATGAAACACAGAGCACAAAGCCATAATAATCAGAGTATGCATGTCGTCATTCAAGCCAATACACCATCTGATTTCACTGATCAGCTTTAGAAGCAAAGCGGCACTCATTCCGCCAAGGCTGGAGAGGATACTCTCTCAGCTCTCCATGGTCGTCTTTGTTTTTTTTCACTGACGAATTGTATTTCCATCCATCCAAGGGTATTTAGTGTTGGTGACCTGCAGTGATGCTAGTGGTTACAGAGTGTACAGCCAGAATCATTGTGCTGCTGCATTTGATAAAGTGATTCAACCCTTTGGTGTAAACTCACCATCAAATGATAGATCAGGTTTTTGTCTGGCAAGCCGATGGCTGACTGCGATTTACAGGACTAGATTTGATTAAATATAATAAATTTAAAACCAGAAACTGCTGTTGAGTGCGGTTAAACTGAACCAGCACGGAGGTAAACAAATGCCAGACAGTGACCAGTAACCACCAGCTACATTAGTCCCAAGAGAAATTTACAAAAAAATCAATGATGTTCATGCATTGATTTGTAAAGTCCTCCTCCACTCAATTGTGGTCTTCATATTGTTACTCCCTTTGGAGGTTTGAGCTCCACTGTGCATGATGGATGTGCTTACTTAAATCTTAAATCTGAGTTTAACACGTGGACATAGGAGCGGGATTTTGGGAATTCACAATAGTTTGGAAGCCAACAGTGTTTCAACATGCACCTTCATTTTGCAACATAATATCAGCACATTCATAGATTGTGGATCTTTCAATAAGAGTGAAGGAGTAGATGTAATATGTTGGTAAACCCGTATCAGACACAAATAACTATTCAAAGCAGAGTAGTTGTATGTGTCTTAAAGCATGTGTGGTGGTGATCTTTAACAATACTCAAACACATTATGCTAGCACTTAAGCACTGTTGTTAAAGTCTGAGCCGACCTCTGTTTGGTCCTTTGCTGCCATGTGTTTTAAGATCACATGATGCCAACATGGAGACACATCAGGACAAAAGTATGGAGACAGTAAAGCTGCGCTCTGACATTTACAACACACCCACTCATAAAACTCCATGCGTACAAATGTCAGTCCACATCTTTACAAAGCCTCTTAAATCCCATTTGTTTTCTTTGGCTTTCTTTTAATTACATACCTTTCACATAAAGGTGCTTGTTTTTATAAACTGCCATCTCTCTGAAAGGTGCTATATGAACATGCGCTTCATGAGTATGTATGTGTAAGTTTCAGCACAAACTTTCAGCTGATGAGAAAGTTGTTACATCTAAGCATCACCAGATTCAAACCATCACTCATCTGTCCAAACTAGGCCAAACAAGACTCTGAGGACTGGGTATGAATTGGGCCACAGTTCTCGGCTGCGCCGGGAGCTGAAACTGTGTCACCAGAGGAATGGGGAAAAAACACGGCGGCAACTTTCTCATATGTTGCTGTCCTCTACCTTGTGTAAGTCTCTCCACCATTTCATGCTCTCTGAGGGCAAAACAAGAGTCATGTGCAGCCCTATTTGGCACTTGCTGCTGGATCAATGGGTGTGATTCATATGTCTGTCTTTTGATCTGTCTCTTTCTAGGTTTGTCTGTCTGTGTGTGTAGCATCAGAGTAGTGTACATGGAGGAGGAGCTGTTAAAAGCATTCATTAGGAGCTAGAGTAAACCTCTGGGCTGAGAGCAGGCTGGAATTACTCTTTATGAGGGCAGGCCGCCAGAGCTGCTTCCAGACCACACTGAGGACAGGAGACAGGCCAGAGCTGGGATACATGTAGTTACGTATAAAGAATAATTACTGACACCATATGAAAACATGGGAGGTGTTACTTTCAGAAACTTAACTGGTAACTATTCTGACAATCAGTAACATTAATAATGGATTATGTGAACATTATCAAGCTTCTCAAGGGTAGAGATTTGCTGTTCTTCCTTGTCTTGTGTGTGTGAAACGGAATATCTTTTGGATTATTGACTTTAGGTTGGAAAAAAACAAGACATTTTTGGAGACATCCTTTTGGGCTTTAGGAAAGTGTGACGGGCATCGTTCATCGGACATTTTATAAACCAAGAGATAAACCGTTTTTCCAGAAAAAATGCCAAACATTCCCTGTTACCATGTGTGAGTTGCTTCTTTTTAGTTTTATGTGATAGTAAACTGAATATATTTGGAGTTTGGACGGACAGAAGATGTGTGATGGGCATTAATCACTTTTATCTGAAATTTTTTGGACCAAAATATTGGAAAAAACATCAAACACTCACTGTTTCCAATTTTTCAGTTGCAAAGATTTGCCCCTTTTCCTCATCTAATGTGATTGTAAACTGATGATTTTTTTGGTTTTAGGCTGTTGGACTGTAGGAAAACAATTGTAAACAAGTGTGATGAGCATATATTTTGATATTTTAGAACATCTAAATTGATTGAAAGTAAGACAAATAGTAAGAAGTCATTATGGGAACAGTCAAAGGATCAGTGATGGTCAGTTTACTGTGATTACAGAAACACAAATGCATTTGTACTTTTTGTACTTGCACCATCTTTGTGGTGTTGGAAACTGCTGATATGTTACAGATTGGCCACCGCCATCAACACTGAATTGTGCATCTAAACTTTCTTTTAACATTATAATATTTTGTATTTTTATATTGTTTTTAAGGGTTGATGTCAGCTGTACTCCTACATTTAAGTTACAACACGGATGTCAAGTCCTTGCATCAAAATGCCATCAAATGCCATCAAACTGTAAAGGCTGACAGTTAAGAGACAGAGCGTTACATAATAGGTTTGACCTGACTTATGCAGTGGGGAGTAATTGGCATTAGGCATGTAACAGGTTAAATCACTGACACTGTGACATGAGCAGTGTTGTAGAGGATCTGACCTACGAGCTGCAGGTAGAGATAGAGATGTAAACAGAAATACAAAGATTAACCTAGAATAGAATATAGTTAACATCAGTCTTTCTATTTTGGGTGAATATTTCTATTCAATTTCTTATTTATAGAATAAAAAAAGAAGAAATATTTCTGTTTCTATATAACAAAACAAAGGAGGAACATTAAAGAGAGTAGTTTAACTGGGTTTGTCTCTAACAGTGGGGTTGTTATTTACAAAATAGTCCCGCCAGTAAACCGCCCCTGGTCCAACTCAACATCAGTCCACATTATTACACGTTAGATGATTATCTTAACAATGTTTTCCACTAATCTAATCCAGAGATGAAGACGATTAGGAGGCGCCACCTACCCGAGCCGAAAGCCTTGGCCACCAGCCACGTCAGGCTGCATGATATCTTGGCCCTGGTAAAGTCATAGTGATCGAAGCTCTTGATGGCAGGGACGATGAAGGTCCGTCTCATCCCTCTGTCTTCTGCCGCATCTCCCATCTTTCCTCTCTCTCGGGATCCCGCTAAGGGGCTTCACTGCAGCGGGAGGATCAGTCAGCTTGAGGAATTCCTCCTGACTGCGGATGACATCCCGTCCAGAGGAATTCAATGCAGCAAAAATTTCCCCCTTCTCCAGAAAAAAAAAAAAAAAAACTTTGAGCGTGGCCTTGATTGTTGGAGAGCACGACGAGTTGGGTTAACAAAAAAAAAAGAAAAAGGGCGCTACATGAGCACCATCCTCCAGTTTTAAACGTTTCAGGAATATCCTTAAACCGTGACAGCACAGCGCAGTTCAGAAGCAGGATTTCTGAAGATTTCCTCCATTCCCTGACATTATTATCCTCAGGTTGTCCGACATAACGGAGCAGCTGTGCGGCGGAGGAGGACAGCTACAGCCCCGAGCACCGGAGCACGGCTTCACACATCAGCGAAAGACGCCGTTCGTGTCCATGTTGTTCTTCCTTTTCTTTTCCCAACTGTTTTCTCTCTCTCCCCCTGTATCTCTCCGCGGCGTCTTCTCTGCGCTTTTCCTGCCGCACTGGTCGGAGGATAGAGCGTGCCACTGCGCACGCGCGATCCACCCACCCAGTCTATTCAGTCCTGACAGGAGTCACCGTGTAATACAAACCGAGGTGGAGTTCACTGGTAGGAGAGTTTCTGACTAACTCCCAGATGTTGTTTCCACGAAGAGCTGCAGACAGAAATACTTTCACAGAATATATCTGGATATAAGGGAGAAGAAGAGTTAGTTACTGTACAGATATGATATGTTTTATATCACTTCATAATTATTATTGATTCCTTGACAGCAGTAACCAATAAAAACAAAGTCAGAAGTACCATAAAGTGTCTGTAACGTTTGTATTCAATTTTATTGATTTACTTGGTCATTTATCATTTTTAATTATTTTACATTTTTTAGTATTCTGACATGAAACGTTAACAAGGTAGGCACTGATTATTATAATATTACTAATTATTGTACATTGATTCTGTCAAATGTGTTAAAGAAAAGGAAATAAATGTTGATTTTAGACTTAAGCAAAATGTCTGTATTGTATCTATTGTAAGACTCGTTTACACCAGGGAGATACTGTATGTACTCCACTATAGTTTTCTGGTAGAACTCTTGTATCTCCAAACTGTCAACGTTTAATGAATCCAGTCTCGATTTTGCTTCATCACATTGTATTTACGAGCTAGAGGCAAGAGGTACATTTTCTTAAAAGATGTGGCGAGCATGGACTGAGCAGGAGACAAAATGATAAAAGGACCCCAGGGGTGTTAGGCTGAATTAGGGCACACACACACACACACACACAAATAAAATAGTCCGTCTAGGTTGTTAACCTGGTTGATGTAGAAACAGCTCTGAATGTTTTCATGACAATCTGGGATAAATGAAGCATATCTGTGGACCCTCAGATGAAAAAAGTGAGGGGTATGACACAAATATACTTAATTATTTACCCTCTCACACCATGACATTCAAGTGCTCCTCTGATGTGAGGTTAGGCCAAAAATGAAACATCCTTTTAAAGCACAGACCTAAGCTGGTCATCTAAATCCTGGAGCTACTGTACAGTGACAATATGACACATTTAAACAGCCAAACCTGGATTCACTTATTCACGATTAAGAACATTCAAATACACTTCTACACCTAATCACTAAAATAAAGTTAACTAGTCAATTATTTTAATTTGAATTCCAAGTACTTTTAATTTCAGTACTTGTTCAATTTAACTTTGACTGCAGGATGCATTGTCATTGTGGTATTGCTACATCCACTTAAGTTAAAGATTTGAATACAACAACGTTCATGGAGGCCATCACTTATAGCGTTATTCTGCGTACGGATGAGACAACAGTAAGAATCAGAAAAAAATATTTATAAAGCACCGCCAAAAACAAGGTTACCAAGTGCATCAGAAAACATCAGAAAAACTACCGATACAAAAATATTTGCAAAAATGAACACATGCTAATGAGGGGATGAAAAGAAGAGTAAAAACTACAGAAAATGAAATGCTATAGAAGTGTTTTTACCTGATCTCCTCAGGTAGTTTGTTTCACTGCTTGAGCTATTAAAAGCAACGTGTCTGAGAAGCTCAGTGTGCAGTTTGGCTCTTAGACAAAATGTTAGAAATATGTGAATAGTTCCCTGTTAACCATCAACCTGAGCTGACCAATAAAATCTTACAATTGATTTGATCATTTACAATCAAGTGGCAATCAGTGATGCTCATGTCTTCAACACTGCGTTAACAGACTGCTGCTGTTGTAGTCAGATTTACAATTATTGTTATACCAAACTGTACCTTCACATAAGGATTTAAACACCATGAACACTTGGAAACAAAAGGAAAATATCAAATTAAGATTGCATCTCTTTTAGCTCTCAGATACCAGAGCAGTAGTGCTATTGAACGACACTGAAGAAGTTCCTGTGAAGGGCAATGAGGAGCAATGAGGAGCAATGAGAAGCGTATAACAGCACTGCCCCCTAGTGCCTGAAGTGGGTTCCTACAGCTCATGAGATCAGAGGAGTATGTATCACATATCGGTCAGTAGATGGCAGTCCTCTGCTAAATATGAATTTGAAACACTGTCCTTCTGCTCAACAGACACTTAATTGCTCCTGTGACAGTTTTATTGAATTGTCTTTCCCCAACAGTGAAACAATCTGCAGTGAAAACCCCTCAGTGGTTGTTACATTTTAGTGTTCAGAAAACATGATTATTTCTCTCAGCTTCTACAAATAAATTGACTGATAAATTGAATTTTTTTTTTTTTTTTTTTTTTAGAGAGAGAGAGGGAGTTTAGGGCTCATCATCATCTCTGTCTGCACCTCCACTCAAGTCCACAGTCATTTGAGAGTCATTACCGATCATAATGTACTTAGCATGTTCAATATGAATATTTGGTTGTTGTTGCCACCAAGCCCTGCCGTCAGCACCGTCCTGTTCTGTAGGCACATTGGGACGGAGAAGAAGTTTTTGTGCCACTAAAAGCCCGAGGTTCTCTCTCTCCAGTGACTCTGCTGCTTTACACTCCTTGAGCATCTGCTTTTGGTGCTGGTTTAAATGCTTTAGTCTCTCCTGTTTCTCTTTCTGCCTTTTCACCTCCTGCTCTTCAAGCCAGTGTTTCTTCAGTTTTTTAATCCTTGCTGGAGTCAAGAACTTTTGTATTTTTCTCTCAAAACTCTTGCTCTCCGTGAGTGGAACTATCCCCTGCAAAACCAAAGGGATGCTCTGTCTGGGCATGCAATTCTCCTGTGGCAGCAGAGGGATAACAGTGTTGTGCTTGTGTTTTTTGTTTATGGAGTTGATAAGAGCAGAGTTTGTCTCTATCTCTTGCATGTGATTGTTGAAGTTGTGGGTGAGCAGCAGAATAGTAAAGGCTGTGTTGTTGATAGCATCCGCCACACAAGTCAGACTGCACTTCCCAGGGGTGGCAAATTCCTCAGAGAAAGTTGCCCCTTCGTCACCAATGACCTTTGACAGTTTTTCCGTAATGCTCTCAGCCATCTCTGCATCCTCTGGCGCGTGCAAGATAACAAATGGATAAAATGTGGCCTCCTCCTCGTCTTCTTCTGCACCATTACTCACATGCATTTCATTTGCAACAGGCATCCTGGGTAGGACAATGTTTGTTGCAGTAGGTAGTGCAAAATTTGATTCAGTAGTTGGTTTGGTGGTTCGGATTGGAGTCTCATTCAGAGTGATATGACTGTCCAACTTACTGGTATCTGCAGCAGATGTTTCCTCCATCCTTGCGTGTTTCTTTGCTCCAAACATAGGAGGTTCATTGGATTTCAGCTGAGGCTCCTGAGATTTCTGAGATTGCCCAGGTGCATTTTTTGCTCCACTCGCATGGGTGTCGGATTTTTCTGGAGTTCTTTTGTCATCTGGAAATAAGTCCGTTGGAGGTAAACTTATCTCTAGATGAGTAGGGTATGAGAGCATTGAGGAGGACGCTTGCAGTGGGCTGGGCAGACTGTGAGCTCTGTCTGACTGATCCTGGGTCGCTTTTAAAGTTGTGTTGCCTTCACTCAGGCTGCTATCAAGGTCACGGTAAGACTCTGACTTGAGATCTGTGGGGGTGCACATCCACTCTACAAACTGTGGCCCACAAACAACTTTAGCTTCCTCACTGAGTCGATCATACTCCAGATCCTCACAACTGCTTGCTTTTTGGTCGTCACTGGAAAGAGCTCTCTTATATGCCAGGTTTCTCAGAAGTGGATCACACAGCCTCTGTTTTGATAAAACCTTGAAAATACGAGCCAACGCTGCCAAAGATTCTCCTGTAAACTCTTGGAAATTACCACAATGAATGGCAAAATCTTCTAGTTTACCTCCACTCATCTGACATATTTCAGCCAGATGTTTAGCGAGGTAGTTGTCCCTCAGCAACTGGAGTTTGTTCAGGGCCTGTGCCTCCTTCTGGAGAATGATCAGACACAAGGCGTGTATGATATTATCTTCAGGAGACTCACCCAGCTGGAATGTCAGGCTAAGCAGTCGCTCCTGAGGTGCTTTACCTAGTATGTCAAAGACGTCTCTCAGTCCCGTCCCCTGAGTTTCTTGTCCTCTGTGACTCATTTTCTGTTTTACTTGCAACTCAACCTCCAGCCGATGAAAAGAGCTGATAGGATCACATGTGATTTGCCAACATATTCGTCTTCATTTCTTCAAGAACTTGAGTTGTTGGAGAGAGAAGCGCACAATTCCATGGACATTCTTGTATCTGTAAAGCACATCAGAAGTTATGTACGATGGTATATTACAACATCAACATGTATGGTCACAACATGATGAGACTACGTGTTTAAAAAGTTGTACATTTGCTTGCATATGCAGCCAAAATGACATTTAATAGATCACACTTTGTATCGTTCCACCAAGATCAAACTGACCTTTAAACTGATTTCATTTGAAACACTAAATCAATAAAAAACTTTAAGATAGTGACTCACTACCCAGGTGTTCTAGGCGCCATAACATTAAATTGTGTGCTTCCAGCTCAAACAAGGAAGTTACTCAGACTCTCCAGTTCAGTTTAACCAGAAGAAAACTACTTTCCCCTTAACTTAGTGCAATTCTGACATCGACCACAGAACACGACAGAGTGTGGAGAGTCTGGTCAAACTTTTGGTATAAAGTTCATCAGTAACCGTACCTGGGTCAGCTGTAGGCCCCTGCTACCACGGAACACTTCTGCTCAGCATAATGATGATGTCACAGTGTGTGAAGTAAGGGAGCCCATGAGGGACAAAAGGCAAAAGCAGGAAGAACCATTCATGACTAAAAACTTAGTTCTCCACATAACCAAATATGTTAAGAAATGCTATAAGTAATAAAAACATTCACCAGAATTGCTGCTAACCTCTTAAACATGTTCTTTGTGACACTCTTTCAACTCTAATGTACTTAAATTTCTCACAACATTGCAAATCTGCCAAAAAATACTTGTGATGAGTGTGGGAGTCTTTAGCTCCTCGTGCACAATAGGCGCAGGAGAGAGAAGAATTCTGGCTTTTCTCCCTCTCTGCTGAGAGGCAAGTGTATTTTTATCCACGGAGGAAACCTCCAACCCTGTATTTACCCGGGGTGGGGTCACAGCAGGCAGAGTGCAAGCCAACATCAAATCCCTCAATGCAGTTTAGACAGAGAGTCTCTCTGTTCTTAGTACTGAGCGCAGTCTGATATGTTTACTGTATGACCACTTTTGAAGGATTACAGTAACTCTAGCTTATAGGAAGTGTGGTCTCTATGCCTGTTGTAGCATTGGTATGTATTTGCCTTTACAGAATAAAGTATCACCATTCAGTTAAGCTTTATAGCACATGGCATTAAGACCGCAGCTCTGTTGCTTTAAACATAACCCCATCTATAGCCAACAGTACTGAGCCATAAGGGACTGTATGAAAATGATCTCAGAGAAGGGACATTACAAGTTTTCTTTTGGCTAAAATGACCTGAGCAGAGAGTAGTATTTTTTTCACCCCAGATTTATATTTTATTTCAGTCTTGCTTTTATATAGTTCATATATACATGACTATAGCAGGACATTCGTGTTTGGGACTGCATTGATTATATGACCAGAGATGGGGCTCAATATAATTTAATTGAATCTGAATTCAGTTTCAAACCTTTTTAAATCCCTGATAAAATATTTTTTCAATTTTATTTTATTTGTAAAGCGACAATGTACATTATTAAACATTAATGCTACTGTTTGATGTATCGTACCAGGGTTAGTTTAAAGCTGTGATCTGCAGTCCAGATTAAAGGTAGTTTTAGGTAGTTTTGTCTGGTGGGGAATCAATACATCTCTTAGTTAACAAAAAATGTGTTTTGTTTTTATTTCAGAATCATATCTAAACCACAGAGTTCCACTGTGCTGAAAGGGTGTAGGGGTTTCACCACATATTTTGTTGCTGCTCTGTGACATTTAGTAACGCTGTCCTGACTCATTTCTCCTTTAGCTGTGAGGAAAACTAGTGTGTGCTCCTCACTGGGGGGGGGCACAGAAGCAACAACAGTGGAAACATCAACATTATCATTCAGCAAATAAGAACTAAATAGACTTTTCTGCATGCACTTAATGTATGTTTATGATACATTATGTTTATGATGTTTGCATAAATGTGTTAATTTCCAGATTTTGGGTTTTATTTGATTCCATGACTGAGCAAGTTGCACCAGTTCAATACTGTGCAATATTATTTTTTTGAATACTGGGAAGAAGGGTGTTGTTGTTTTTAAACATACAATATGTAATTTCTGCCGGTAGAGGGTCTCTCATGTGAAAATAATAACAAAAGACGAAGTTTGATGACATTATTGTAGCGCTGGATAATGGCAGCAGTTGTCTTTACCACCATTTCCGTCATTGCACTTACTTTCTCCCAGTTAGGATTCCTTCAGTGTACCTTGTTCTGGAGAGTATTACCATGAGCAAGTTATCCACAGAGGTCTCCTCCTTACCAAAACAAACAGACCTGGTGATTAAAACCTGTAAAAACACTGAATAAAGCAGTATAACATTAAAAAGTGTTTTTCTGACGCCAGCAGACAAAGGGGCCCGCCAGCCGAGCTGCAGCTAGTATGCTCAGCTTCTTTCTTTGATAAGCTCCAGACGTCCAATGACTAAAATCCTTCATCCAAGTAAAATATATAGTTAAAAATGACCAAGTTCTAAAAAGAGTATCCTAAAAATGTGGCCTGAAACTGGATAAAAAGATCATTTGTCACAGCTTCTGGCAGACAGCAATGCTGATACATGCACAAAGGGAATATGATTCCATATCCCCATAGAACCGCACCGTTACCGGAATAACATTACAGATCTCTCTGTGCTTGAACATTGTTTGAAACATTTGGAATTATGTTGTGCATGACTTAACAAAATATATAACATAGGTTAGACAATTTAGTGTTACATATTATATCTTTAAGTCAGGGCAAGGGTGCTAAGAAAATATTATTGAGGAGGGCCTTCCTTTTTCAAAAAGATTAAATATAAGACTCAGACCTTACCCAATATATTTTTGTACGATCCTTAACTAGCCATGATGTGCATATGAATTTTCTTATAAACACTCTCACATTGTATGCTATGGTATACCCCCCTAACACATACACACATGCAAGCAGATGCACACATGAAAGCACTCACACAAAAAAACAACACACACATCCACACAGCCTCGGGATCATCCTCAGTTAGTTACATAACGTACTGCCAAACGTCCATCTTTATTGAGGTCAGTTCTTTTAACGAGAGACACGCTCTCCCAGCAGCTGTGTTAGTCAGCCTGGCGGTAAATTTGCCTTCACCTTCAGGCAAAACATATAGTAAGATGCTCTGTCAGTTCGTGGCTTTGTACAGCTTCAGTAATGGTGTTTGGAGCAAATGCATTCTGACCTCTGCTTGTTTTTTTGGTTGAAATATTACGTTGTTTCAACACAAACACGTGCAACTCTTTCTTTACATGGTTTTATAACCATAAACTGCACAGATGTGTGCGTCTGTGTTTGAGAGTGTGGTTTCTGGCCGTGGGAGAGAGCCCTGAGGGAGAGACAGAGGGGTCACATATAAGAGGCTTTAGGGCAGACAAGTGAAAAGGAGGCCCTTTCTTGGACAGAGACTACGGATTAGGATGAAAGACGTATGAGTGGGGGGATGCTCTCTCTTTTTTATCTGTCTCACAAGCTTGCCGCATCTCTCTCCCACATTCTGCATCATGTCTATTCAAAATGAGCAAGATATGAAGAAGATACAAAGACAGACACAGCGGAAGACACAGAGATGGAGATACAAAGCCATATAGATAAGATAGCCGGATAGGGGCAGGGCAAAATAAAAACTGAGACCTTGACAGATCGATGGCCTCTTTAGAATTCAGTTTGTGAGAGGCCGAGAGAGGCCATGGAACGCCCTGCTCTTTTCCCAGCCACTTGATTCGTCACACACGCTAAGAGAATTTAACACACTCGCTTCTGGCAGGCAAATATATGCTTCACACACATGTACATGTGAAGACATACACCGATACAAGGCCATGCACTCATTCAATTGAGCGCCCACGCCCCCAGTTTTAAACACTGAATGAAACACCTGCACTTCAGCCACTACTGCACTCAGAAGAGAAGTTCTGCACAGTTTTGCGAAGAAATCACAAAGTACCATATAGCTTTAAAATCTTATGCAACAGTGAATTTTGTTTGAATAGGACAGAGGTTATGTATGGATGGTTGCAGCTTTAGGTAGCCTTCATACATTGAGTCCAACTCAGCCCATGCATGTGCAAAAATAACCCTAGCTATCACATACTGAGGCTAGTTTATGTTGTTGACAAAGCGGGCCAACAGATCTGAGTTAATGTGACAGTTAACTAGCATTAATTCAGGAGCAAAGGTAAATGAAGCGGGCCTGCGGACACGACAGGGGAGTGCAGTGTGGATGGGAAGACGTGTGTACTGTACCACACTGAACCATGCTTGGGTGAGCATGTAGGCCATGCCAACAACAATGCATAATACAGCCTCTGGTGATGGGGGATGCATATGCACACGCACAAAACCCCCACCTCAGCTCACATATACACACACACATAGACATACACTCACACAAACACACACACAAACTCACACGCATGCACAGACATTGACGGTGATGGGGCATGGAGCAGTTTATGCTCATATCAAGAGAAAGTCTTTGATCGGTGTGACAGCAAGGGCACTCGCCCCAAAGGAATTAGCTAACTCTTGCCTCGCAAAAGCACATCCACAATAAATCAGGCATGTTTGCATTTGCAACAGAGGGGAGAAAATGTCTTTAACGTCATTAATATGCTAAATGTATGAATATGATTTGTTCCAGTTCAACATCCAGAGTAGAATGTCCAAGAGAGGCATGATAACCATAAGGGGAAGAATATGCAGAAATTCAGGTTGCATGTATAATCCTCTCAGTTTAATAGGTTGTTAAGCTGCACAAGCAATTTACATATGGCTTTTAAATTAGCACAATCGTCAGTTTTATTTCTCCTGTAAAAATATAAAAATTACACAGCATTTCTGACATGATGAGGACTATTTAATGGATTTAAGATCTTGTTCATTTTTGCCTTTGTAATCTGAAGTTACAGCACTTTATCACAGATACAACTGAAACCATTCAAGGTTTTACGTTTAATATTTATTTAATAGTATATTTATAATGTATCCAGCTAAAGGAATACTTTTATATTTCGGGAAATGTGTTGCTTTCTTGCAGATAGTTAGATAAGAGGATTTTACCACCCTCATCATTTAATCTGTCCGTTAAATATAAAGCTACAGCCAGCAGCTGATTAACATAGCTTAGCATAAAGACTGGAATCAGGTTTTTTTGTTTGTTTGTACAGGTTAAACAAACAAGATATAATGTGTTAAATAGTAAACTTTAGTGGTACAAGTGCTAGCTGTTTTCCCATATTTTCTATCTTTGTGTTAAAGTAAGCTAACCATCACTGTAGCTTCATATTACCCTGAAGACTTGAGAGTCGTATCGATCCTCTCATCTGACAATTGGCAAGAAAGGGAATGAACTCATTTCCCAAAATATTATTATGAACTATTATTGTTGTCATTGTGTATCTCCATATTCCAATTCCACTGCTACTTCTCCCTATTGTACTTTATATATCTGCTGAATTACATGTCTGTCCATCCTGGAAGAAGGCCCCCCTTCCTTTCATTTCTCAATTTTTCCCTCATTAAACATTTTGTTTAGTTTTGTGGTGGGTTTAATCAATGGTCTGAGGATTGAGTTGTTCAACTTGTAAAGCTCTTTAAAACAAATCTGTGACTCTAAGTCTCTAAATGGATACATTTGATTTGATATGTGTAACTTGGATCTCATTTTGGCCAGAGAGAAAGGTTATTAAAGGTTCTAAGTCATCCACTCATTTATAGATTTGTAAAGAAGAGGAGAAAAGAAGTGACGGAACAAGAGCACAGAGCAGAAGAGGAGATAAATTAAAACCAGCATTGTATCAGAAATGAACAGAACTAAAAGAATAAATGGGCCCAATCTGGCTGCACTTGCCGTTAGAATAGCTGCCCATCCAAAAGCCCATGCCCAATCCCCCATGTCACTTTTGTCCGTCTCCAAACCCTGCGGATGCTCCGCTTGTATAGCAGATGCACATAACCAAAGGATGTGAGGCATGAAAGCAATGGGAAATTCATTACATATTCCTACCCCCCTCCGTTCACCATAATCACCACAATTAGCAGACATCTGCAGTGACTCCAAAGCTGGGAGTGTATTCAGGCAATCAGAGCAGCTTCACCGACAGCACTGACTGCAGCCCCCTCTGTGATGGGCCTCATCCTGAAGGGAAGCATTCCATTAGAAACTCAGTGATTAATTGAGATGGAGAATTTGCTCCTGGCATTGAGCAAGAATGAAACCCGACAGGAGGCATCCATGATGGCAGAGTTGTACGCAGGGTTGGTGGAGGTGGTCTGGAGTTGGCGGGGACTGTGGCATACTGTTGATGATGTGAGATAAGGCGCTCACAATGTGGTTTCGCAATTAGTTGTATGAGAACAGTTACCAGCCAACAGCTATATGAAGGTTTTCTGACCCATCAAATAAACAAAACCTGTGTGTGTCTAATGATAATCCAGATTTTATTGCTTTTACGTTTGGAGGCAAAAAAAAAAGCGATTGGTGGTGATCACTATTGTTAAAATTCCCAGTTCTCTTTCAGACACCTATTATACTATAAACCTATTGTTCATGTGCACTTTAAGGTTTAACTTTAAAGGAGTAGTTTGACATCTTGGAAAATACGCACATTTTATTTTCTTTCTCAAGCTGTTTCCCCCTGTTTCCAGTCTTTGTGCTAGCTAAACTAACTGACAGTTGGAGCTGTCGAACTATCGACAAGAAAGTGAATAAGCATATCTCCTAAAATGTAAACGTATTATTTCAAAAACATTTCTGACTGGATAATTCTCTAAATTCTCAAAGTGTAGAGTGTCCTACTGTATGTACTCCATCTGTAGAGGATGACAGCATGTTAGACAGCTCATTACTGAAGCAGTTGGAGATGTCACTCTTACTAGGCACAGTATGGCACAGCCATGGTTTTAAGCCTCAGCTTAATACGTTGTCATGGAAATCAACAGTAGCACATCGGACACTTTCCATTTGTGTTGCGTCCGGGGCTGGCTTTGAGTCTGGTTCACACATATGGACATAAGAGTAAATATGCACATCAGTCTAGCTTACACAGGGACGGCTGCACATGAGCCTTATGCAAAAAACATCAACTTTAAGCACACATGTTTTCAGATTGATGAGAACATATTTTCTACTTTCATATCTACATATTTTACTTTATAATAAGAACTGACTGAAAAATCAGTTTCATAATAAGATCTGAAGTTTGCTAACATTAGCCACCATAAGCTATTGGTCATACCAGACCAAGCAAAACCCCTGAATGTATTGAATTAAGCAAGGGTATGTTTTATTGCAAAGTAATTGAATGCTGGAGGCCAGCTGGTGAATATCCTTTAGTCTTTGTAATAATGCAGTTATAAATGTTAGTAATCCATTGATAAATGCTTTGGTTTCTTCAGATTCTTATCATGTCTGGAGTAATAAAGGTTAATAAGTGGTTGGTTAATAAATGGATCCTCTGTAATATTAAGTAGTATAAAGTGGTCCATTGAACAGTAAACACCAGCAAAAGGGCTTTTTCGCAACCTGGCAAGTAGTTCATATTAATGGCTTATAACTGAAAGACTTAATAAAGGATTAATTAACCATTTAAAAGTTATAACTTGTAGATCTAAGTCTGCCTTATCAAAAAGCTGTGCCAAAATCTTTAAACCCTATGGAGAACCAAGTGACCCTTCTATTAAAATTAAAACACTGAATATGGAATTATAAGGTTTTTGCATGATAGCAGTCACACATATAAACTCCCACACGGTTAGATTTGTGAAAGAGCTGTGATTGAAGCTGCAGCTAAATTAAGAGGAAAGAGAGATTAGAAGCTTAAAGGAAATCAAGCCAAGGCTGTTGCTCTCATTTGGATGTTTGAAATTAGACTGAATACTGAATAACTCTAGGTGCTATACTTCTGAGAGCATCATTCCCACCAGTTATGCAAATGAGCCTTCAAATCCTCACAATAATCAAATGATGTGCGGCTTTGTTGGGATTTGAGCGTGCTATTTTATCGGTTTAACAGAGACAAGAGCAGAGCGTCTTCCAAAAAAGAGCTAATTTGTGGTCGACGGCCTCTTGACTGTCGTAAAATTGTAGAGTCACAATGAAATGGGTGTGATCCTCCACTTGGTGCTTCCTTCCTTCCAGTCCAAGGGTCTGGGCCTAATAAAGGCCTGTGTGGTGCAGCACAGACAGACCGCCTTTTTGCTGTGTGGAGAAATGTGTTGAATCACCATGGCTACCGGTCAGAGAAGAGCCCCTGCTGTGGTTATTAGGATTTCTCTGTCTGCTCACACACCGGCTCAGTATGCAGGTTAACAACTTGCAGTTTGTATTATGGATGTGAATCTGTGTGTGTATGCTCGGGAGGCCTGTAGGTCAAGGGTGATTTAGTATTGTAATTACCCCTCAACCAATGGAGTGGTAGAGTTTTTTAATTTTTTTAATCAAAGCATCATCTCTAGAAAAAAAAAAGCCTAAAATGGACTGCCCCGGACGGACTCCATGGCCTCCTAACAGTAGCACCGATGTGAGAGAAAGGGGAACATGAGAAAGCTTTGAGCAGTATTGATTCAGCCGAGTACTCTCCGAGCGACTACCAGAGGATCTGAAGAGAGAATTATCCATGCACCATTTCCTCCCCTACTCCAGTGTGGAAAATTCTGCAGTTCCAGCTTTCTCGTAGCCTACATACAGCAGAAACACACACACAGGACCCCATACACACTCTAACACAGACACACACATGCAAAGATAGATAGAAAGTCCCACACACACACACACACACACACACACACACAGACTTTCCTGAGGTTTGATTATCCAAAACGATAATTGTTTGATGTATTTATAGTTGTTCCCTTCCATCTGGTTGATTCATCATATTTTTTTTATATTTGTGAAATTGTAATCTTAAAATAGGACAAACGGAGACAGACAAGCTAAAAAGAGAATCACACTGCAGTAATGGTGGAAATTTAAGTGTTTTCTCTATGTCACATCATTTTTTCCTATAGGAAATTGCCATTGTGGAGTTATTACAGTGATCCCAGAGACTATATTAAGCACTCTGAGGTCATTATACTCTAATAGCTACCACAGACACTCTTGGGTTAACATAAGTGCTCCAATTTGACTGTTGGTCCATATGAAGAGATTATTGCAACCCATAAACTGTGGTGGATGAGTCCACCAATGAAATCTGAATATCTGAGACACAGGGCATTGTCTGCATATGCCGCTTTGCCCCGAGTATCCTCCTCCTCCTCCACTCCCCACCCGGTTTCTCCTGAATAATACACGACACCCCGTCCCCTCCCATCCCCGCTTACCCCGCCGTCCAATGGCAGACGGGCATTTTATCAAGCTATCTCCTCTGAGCCAATCCCGGGCCTCCCGGTGATCCCTGTAAACCGGATGCCCTCCCTCCTGCCTCTCAAACAGACGTAATCTGTGGATCGGAGAGGCAGGCAGGCGCTCAGTCGGTGGAGAGTCGGTCTCGGACGGAAGTGATGAGAGTGAAAATACCCGCTGTGGCAGACTTGAAGAAACCGCATCAGTCCACCTCGAGTAAAACAGGAGGAGAAAGGAAGGGGAAAAAATGTTGTAAGTAGGCCTATGCCATTATGTAAAATGCATAAACTATAAATGATGTGAAATCTGTGCAAACTGTTTTTTTAGTCCAGAAGGATATGATGCTTCTTTTTTATACATTCATTTATTTGAGGAAAAGTGTGGATATTGAGCTGAACAGTGTGTGATGGGGTCCGGGGGTCGGGGGACCTCTATCAGGCGGCTTCGCGTCTCCAAATCCGGCGCGTGTGAAACATGCAGCGCGGAGAGAAAAGCGTGTCTTTTCATCGGTCATTTCATAAGGGCATCCGTGTGACTGGAGAGAGAGAGAGAGAGAGAGAGAGAGAGAGAGAGAGAGAGAAACGCGATTTCCGATTGGTCTGTGCGGGCTTTTTTTTATGCACACTTCAACTTTTGTCATGCTCCGATGGTACACAGTGTACAGACAAATGCTGTTTCCGTCGCTCGGAAAGTTTTAATGACACGTTTAAACAGCCAGTGCAGCCCGAAAGAATCCTGGTGGGAGCCTCCCAAACAATATAACTTTGATTCATTTCACTCACCAGACAGTCTCCTGTTTCCATTGGGCCCGAAAGTCGGCGAACACTGATAAATGGTGGCTATTATTTTTCAGCTGAACAATGCGCGCCGGCTTTGTGTGGACCATCTGTCATTGTATCGACATTACAAGCAGCCCTCCTGCCCCCCCAAAAGAATCCGAGTGAGACACCTGAAGAGCAGAAAACAGACAGCGATCATTCAGAGCCGCCACCCGTCTCTCGCCAAGCCGTGACTCATGATGTGATCCGTCTGTGTGGATGGGGTGCGTAACGAAGCCAGCAAATAAATACTCACCGGGAACAAAACCGGGTGCAATTAAAATATTTAATGTTTCGTGGAGAGGTGCGGGGAAACATAATGCATACGTTGCTTGTTTTGTTGTTTTTCAAATGCAGGAATTGAAATGAGTGCAAGTAGGCTACAGGCATGGCTTTGCGCATCCTGAATTCTCGGAAACAGTCTTTGCGCATCTGACTTCCTCCCGGAATTTGGGCCTCCGGCACATGGCAAATCAGCCAGACTGCCATTTTCAGGGTGGGCACTCTGAGAGGATGCACACTGACCAAATAAACACACTTCACCACGAGCGTTTCGTACTTAAGTTTTTCGGCACGATATGGCGCAATGTGCCACTCAGTGGTTTGACCCTCCAGGTGGTTAAATGCAGCTGAGACAGGCTTTCTTTAAGGAGAAGCTGCCGTGTTTAGTCTGCCAAGCACTAATATGCCTTAAGGTTAATGAGGCAGTCTCCATAAATTCTCCTGCCATTTGGATATAGTAGGTCTAGACGCTTAGTGCAGCACTACATTTTACTGGCTATGGATTGTGTACACAGCGTGCTTTAATAAAAAAAAATAAAATAAAAAAAACACTTTTTACTGAAAAACAAACATTTACCTAATGCTGACTGGAGGCAGTTAACTGCTTTTATTTACATTTCTTGCACATATTCCAAAAAAAGTTATGTTAATAGAGAGATGCACAGTGAATGAACAGTGCTGAGGAGTGCTGATGTTCTGTGAAAGCCTCACTTCCGTCCCTCTCAGAGCTGAGTTACATATAATTCACTTTGTCCCTCATGAGGAGAAAGAGCAGCAGCCTCACAGCAGAGAGCAGCGAATGTCCGAGTGCATATCTCTTGTAGGGCTTTAATTCAGTTTGGAGCTGCTCTCAGAGAGTTATCAGGATGGGCTGGGTGAACAGAGCAAAGCAGATGTCTTCCTGCTACTGTTATGTAGGCAGAGGGGTGGTTGGATGCTGGCTTTTCTTATCTCCTGCTGGTGCTATGATCATCATTCCCGTATAGCTCATTATCACACGTGATGAGTTTCATCAGCTTCAACCCGCAATTATGTCGAGAAGCAACCTGCTATCACGGCAGAGGCTCTCTACCACAGATCACTGTGGATCCTCCATTGTCGCCTCGTTCTCAACTGAATTCATACGACAACTCGAATGAATAAATAATGTTTGTATAGTTTTTGTTAGTCAGTGAAAGTGTAATGCTGTTAGCACCAGGGAGTCCCATCTCACTTCTCCCACCGTCACATGACTCCCAGCAGACACCCAGCTATTTTCCCTGCTGCCATCAAACATTGAACACACAAATGAGGAGGGAGGGATAAAAAATGCTTCCACACTAGCTTCCACCTCCTTCCTGTCAATCATTAAAATACAACATGCAAACTTTTTAATATTTCTGAGTCATCTGGAAGTCATAAAAAGCACAGATGTCCAGTGGATACTAATGAACTACATTCGCAGAGTAAGAGTTAGCCCTAATGCCTGTTTTTTTTCTTCTTTTTTCCACCTTAGACTTTATTGTACATCTATGGATCCAAAGCAGCCAATCTTGTAGCAGCTGTTCACCACACACACACTTGCGCTATATTCAGTAAGTTACGGGTTGAGTGAGTTCACAGCAGCAGGAACCTGCAGCCATATGTGTGTGTTTGTGCTTCTCTGTGTGTGCAGTGTTGGGTAAATGGAAAGGTTAGGTAGTGCACCCTGCCTCAGGCACCACGACATACTGCCTATCAAGATGAGTGGATGACCTCTGACCTCCTGTCTAGCCAAAGGCCCAGGTCTGCTCGGGTCAAGCCAGGTGGCTTTCAAGAACCCATTGGCTCTTTCAGGATGCATGTGACACTTGAACTCTCTCCACTCCAGTACTAAACCAGTTCTTTTGCTTAATTAAGAAACTCTTATGGCGGATGTTTGAGTGTGTTTAGTTGTGTGTGTTATCTGTGTTACAGGTAAAATTATAGATTCGAAAACGCAGATTAAGAGGTGAGGGAAGCTTGTTAAAATCATTAGATTTTAGCCCTCCTGTATACTTAATAAAGTTATACATTTTTCCAAACACTTTGATGCTTCAGAAGCACCTTTTTTAAGTCCACACTCTTCACAAGATTTTTTGCAACATCCTCGATATGACAGATATCCCAGTGAGTTGTCAAAGACAGATTCAGAGATTCATTCATGAGATGTTAAAGTTGTTGTGAGGCCGCTTTAATCATGAAGTACAGTTAAACAAATACATTGCATTAGTCCCAATCGTTTCACAGCTGAGAGAAACAGACTGTCTCAATTCTGTCACAACATGCTTTCTATTGTATCGCCAAGCAAGAAACTCCCCATGGAAATTTTGGAATCTTTCCCATTGTTCCTAAAGGAAAAGGAGGCTTTCATATGGAAGTGGGGAACGCCAGGAAATGACAGGCATTCTTTGTGGACTATTTGAAAATAAACTTGTGGGTTCTCGCTTTCCTCTCGACAGCTAAGCAAAAACTAGAAATAAGAAGAGAGGATTATGGTCTTAACAATCCCTCAATGGCATTTTCACTTTCTTGCGAGTTTCCTGCTGCAATTTGTCCCGAAAGTATATTTTCTTATTCAGCGTACTGGAGACATGCCATCAGAGTTTCAGCTAAAGAGCTTTTGTCTAGGGCTTTTCACTCCTTTCTCTACACTTTCCTGAATGGGTGCATTCTTATTTTCCTTCGTATTTGTCCTTATTTTGCCTTATCTTTCCCCCTGGCTTTTAAACACAACCCTGCTGCTCTCGAGCTCTGCTTTATGAGCTGCGACAGTGAGGTCTGGTTGTCGAGGCAGGCCGTGTGGACTGGAACGTAAAGCTTTACATTCAGCCGGCTGCGGTCAGGGTTTGGGGAGGACTTAAACTTGCTTCACCCCTATACAGTACCTCGTATACAGGAACTGCCTTCATTCTGCTGAGCTGGCATGAAAGTGCAGAACTGGAAGGAGGAAAAAAGAAAGAAAAAGCCACCTTTCTTAACCTTTGAGTTGGTAATTGCCCACTTACAGTTGTAACCTTTTTTAATAAGGGAAAAAAGAGGAGCATCAACTGAAAATGGAAAGATTCATGATTTAAGTCTCTAACATGTATATAACATGTTTTTTTAGTGTCAGCAAGTCTAACATCTTTTTTAAGTGTAGTTTTGTACCAGGTGTGCATAGTTCTCTGCAGCTTGGTGCAACTTCCTCCTCCTTCCTTTTGAGATTTAATAACAGGTTTTATTTAACAGCCACTTCTGTCTTAGCTGGTCAGTCTCGCCGCACCTCAGATTAACACTCACACCTTATCCCCCACTCCTCTCTCTTTCTGTCTCTCTTCCTCCTCCTCCTCTTGTTGTTTTTCCCACCAGGCCAGTGGTAGTTCCCAGGTATTTGACCAGTGTAGCGTAGCCGGGAGGCTGGCTGTTCTGTCCTCTGTGAGACAAAGGCAGCGTGCCTCAAGGAGAGGGATGAAAGGAAACGGGGCTGTGCAGCCACTCCTTTTTACAATGGGAAACCTCCTTAGTTAGGTTGTAGAGCAAATAATCATCTTCTGTCTTCCTTTTTTTAACTAGCACTGAGACTATGAGAGTGTGTCTATCTTTTTGTGGTAGGAAGAGCAGTGCTGTGTGTATAGATCTGAGTTTGTGTGTGCATGCAAGGAGGGATGGGGTATCCTTTATGTCTACGTGGAATGTTTTTTATGTCCACATAGAACGGTTCTCAGCTTTCTCTTACTTACACCTGCTTAGTTTGAGCCGACAGATGGTGCCTCTCTTGTTAAAGATGCTTCCTGCGTTAAGGGTTTTTTTGTGTGTGGTTTTAAACTGTAAAGAGAGGGTTAGAAATTGAGAGAAAAAAGCATAAAAGAAAGCTTTTGATGATGTGAATGATTCTGGAGCAGTCCAGTTTCATCAACATGATCAAAAGTAATTTAGCGATGAAATTATTTATTATAATACTATTCAAATCATTTACTTATGTAATGTTGGCAGTACTACACTGTAAAATGTACCGCTTTTGTAGAACCTCAATTAGTATTAGCAGTAAAATGTTAAGTAGAAATGTTAATGTTCTGATGCATTAAGTATATTTGAAACTCTATATGTGGTTCAGCTGGCAGTGAATCTGATTACTTAACACACATTCACTATATTTTATGGGCTTATTATGTGTTTTGTATATAAAAGACAAATATTGTCTGCTAAAATATTGAGCAAGTATCTACGAGATGAAAAGGGGTAGTACCTCAGAAATCTACTTAAGAACAGTACTCAAAAGCACTACCTTACTAAAAGTATTTGGTTACTTTCCATCACTAGTGTTCTCAGGGATTTACATAGTTATTATTAAATCATTAGTTATTATTTCATGTTTACATAAGAGATGAATTTTACACATACATTGCATTTTCTGTGTCTCTCGGCTGCTCCAACACACTGGCGCTCAGTCTGGTGTTATCATCTCGGGTGGTAGTCAGGGGGAGGGAGCGGAAGCCGCAGGAGTCTTTTATGGCTCCAGCTCCAGAGACAACCTGTTCTCAGGCACCTCTCTTCTGGCACTTTTTTATGACATCATAAATTCCTCCATTTCCTCTGACCAGCCCTAGGTGGGTATAAAGGACATACCTGGCCAGTAATTGTCTGTCTGGCCCTCTCATCTGTCAGTCTCCTTCTGCTGCTGGTGACTTCCTCCAGAGCCAGACTCTCAGACTGCCTGAAGATACTGAGATCTCTTAGATCTGGATGGTGGACCAATAAAAACAGTGGTTTATTTGATGAGTGATAGGGAAAAGAAGGCTTTTTTTGGAGTGTGGTTTTCTTAGACTCCTTTTTACTGCATCTTTGTTGGTCATTCAGGTCGGCGAGGAGAGTCGGCCTGGCACCCTCGTTAGTGGCCTTTCTACGTGCACGTGCACTTCAGATCGACAACGACAGCGCACTCTCAGACCTGTTGATACCTTTTGTTTGTTGAAGTCTTAGGATGAAGAGCAGAAAAGAAAAGGATTAGGGGAAGAAATAGGGTTTTTTTGGGGGGGGTGGTGGTGGAGGAGAAGCCCTCAGGAACATTCAGCATTCCCATTCATCTGATGCTCGGCTGGGGCTCCTCGGGGAGGCTGGAACAATACGCGCACCAGCACGACAACATTCCTCGGGGTTAAAAAGGTCAAGGGTCGCCCAACGACCCCACCCTGCCAATCAGTCCCAAGGCACTAACTCTGTGCCTTTTGTTTTTGGTTTATGTCTGCGCACTTGTTGAACAGACTCTGCACCTTGTGTTACAACGTGCCCTTTGCTCTCTAATGGACTAGATTGGCATGGAGCACATTTACTGTTTTATAATGCTCGCTAGGTCAGTTTTTTGGCTTAGGTAGTGATAGTCTAAATCTAAGATGTGGCCGTTGTGAGGATGGAGCTTATATTTTTTCTATCATTGTATAATTTTAAGCAAAAGTTGTGCTACATAAGAAAAGAAAATACCTTAGCTTGAAGCTGCAAAGACATCGAAATTAAGTTGCCTGACAATATACTTTTTAAAAATAATGTCACATATAATATCCCAGCCAGATGTTTGGCCAGCCCAGATTTATATATATACTAGAAAAAGAATCACCACAAAGCAGCCAGAATGTAATTACCCACATTTTGTTTTAAATGCTCACTTTATATAATCAAACCACAGGGGTCAAATATTGCGCCGAGGGCACTGCAGGTCCTCAAAGACGAATTTTTCCTCCCTTATGAAAAATCCGGAGTTTTTTTTGTGAACACCACAGCACGCTTCAAATAAAGTCTGAAGGCTGCCATTAAAGTGGAGCATATGCATGTGTAGGCATGGAGTGGCGTGTGAGGCCCCTACAGGCAGACTGCATGTCTGTTAGTCATTAGTACAATGTACAGTATACACTGGAGTGGACATGCAGCTACATTAAAGCCTCGCCCACGGCCACATCAGACCACCCCAGAGATACACCACTGGCACTTCCTCCACCCGCCTCCATCACTCAGCCTTGGGGGAAGCGCATTTTGGGATTTCCGGAGGATGCACTGGACGTTAATAGTCTGTTGATTAGGAAAGTTTCTAGTGAAAATCTGATTAGTTGTGAATTTATATAATAGATGGTTAGATTCCCAGAAAAGTGGTGCTTTTTGTAAAAAGTGATCAGTACATTTCTTTGCCTCTAACTGTTTGTGTGTATATGTGCTTTTGTCTTTTATCTATAGGTGTTTATATTGTGTCTCTTGATGCTGACTTTAGTGAATCCATGAAGATAATTTCCATCAGGTATATTTCACATCATCATTTAAACATTTTCATAAAATCCCTACTTTCTCTATTACTGGATATTCACTATGTGTCACATTCTTTTGTCCTCTTTCTCGGTGGAGCAGCATCAGAGAGAGATGACTAAAAAAACTCTTGCATTTGATCCTGCGCTCTAAATCGGCTTACAGTAGAGGAAGGAGACATTGCTCTCTATTAGTCCACAGTCAGAAATGAAAGCCTATCTGGCTGCAGCTGTGGAGGAGCTCCAAAGATGGGCACATTTATTGTCGGGAACAAATAGAGGCCTTTTAATTTTGTCTAGCAGCTGACGCCTCTCCCCTCCCACTCCTCCAAAACCGCTTTTGTCAGTAATGTAGAGCGGCCTGCTCAGGCAAGAGCGAGCAACTATGAGAGTTTGATAGCAGGAAAAAAATAAACTGCAAGGTTTGTTGGTGATAGGCTCAGGGAGGAAAGGCCCGGCTGTTTGCCATATGATGTAATTATCTGCTATTTCAAAAGATTATCTCCCTCCATCAATATAGTGTTTAAGGGTGTGTGTGTGTGTGTGTGTGTGTGTGTGTGTGTGTGTGTGTGTGTGTGTGTGTGTGTGTGTGTGTGTGTGTGTGTGTGTGTGTGTGTGTGTGTGTGTGTGTGTGTGTGTGATTTGATCTCTGGTTTGTACCCCTGGTGTAATGTTGAGACTCTGTGGCCTGCAGCTTGGCCCCCCATTTAAGCTGGGTTAGCTATGATCTCCCCCCTCTAACCCCAATCCCTCCCACCTCTGTGATCCCTCCCTCCCCACACACACACACACACACACACACACACACAGACTCTCAACACAAAAGAAATATTCAGCTGTAGAGAGGGGGTCCCTCAGAGGGCGCGACATTGAACTGGGGGGGATTAAGAAGAAATGGCTGGCTGACACAGGGGTTGCCATGGCAAAGCCCCCTTTTCTCCTCTCCCTAGACCCTCCGCCTATTTTTCATTTTAGGTCTCATTGTGGGGTGAGGTGTAAGTGTGTGTATGTGTGTGTGTTTGTGTGTGTGTGACTGTGATGGAGTTGGGTAGATGTAATATGGCTTATGAATTTAGTCTCTTATCTGAGCTGGTCTGCTTCACTCTGAGAGAGAAGAGACTTCTAGTTCACATGCTGCAGTTAAAACCAGACAAAAGTAAGCAGAAAAAAGTCTAAAAAGCTCTAAAACTCCCTTTTTTATTCTGCATTATAGAGTTTTATGTTATTTACTTAGTGGTTTAAAATATTATACTACATTATGTGACTACATACTGGCTAGCATATTTTTTTGTGATCATACAAATTAATATGTACATTTTGACATATTCATAAAGGAAAGCATGTTATGAAAGAATGCAGAGGCAATCATTCAGAGACCCACCATACTCACGAGACAAAAACCAAATTGTCTATTTTATGACCTTGTGAATTATAGCGGCAATAACGTGACGCATTACTCATCCATTGTAGCCAGTGTGTTATCATGCTAGCCTGACGTCGGCCTCCCTCAGCAGAGTAATGGATGCAGGTCTAGCCTACTCAATGACATCAGCACCCTAAGCCGATGAAATGGGGCGATGAATGACTATAGATTAGCATTTACCGTCCAGACGTCAGGCCCCGGTCGGTGCAGCAGCGCAGTGACACTGTCGGCAGTTGTTCCCCGGCTATGGCCTGCTTCTGACAATAGGAGCTCTCAGCCTGTGACTGGGCGATGGCTGGGGAATAAAAAGCTTCGCTGCACAGTAGGACATCACAGCATTGTTCCCTGGACTAGATGTCCATAAGAACCGTGGAAGGCCTGAATATAGTCCTCTAATATTGTTCTGAGCATTGTCAAACTACAGAGCGAAGGTTTTTGGGGATTTATGTGAAATGTTTATATTATCGATTTCTGGTAAAACTTCTTCCCATCTGACTGAAGGGTATGTTCACCCAAATTACAACATTTTACCACTTAATTCTTGTGTATTTTTGGTTTCATTTGTCTTTATTCACCCAAAATAATGGTGGTGTTTGGATCCCAAACAAAGTGAAGTCCCTATCAAGGTGGTTGTGGCGAATTTAAAATAGCAGTGACTTTGCTCTTGGAAAAGACAAGTTAGATACTTCAAAAGGAAATTTGTGATTGTAATTTTAGGTGAACTGCTCCTTTAAAGACAAAATACTGTGCAATATCAGGGCTAACAACTTCCTCTTCATCTGTGTTTCAGATGCTGTTGCGGCCTATTTTGAACTGGAGATGAAAGCCTTTGAATTCCTCTGATTAATGAGATGGTGGTAATGCAATAAAGCAGATCCTCTCAGTTTATGTTCCAACTTAAACGCACCACATGATCATGTGTAACGTAATCAGAACCATCTTTGCCCTGTGGACAGTGGACTCATTCTGCCACTGTCCTGCGTCATTATGTCCCTCTGCTGTGCGACCTGACCTCCGTGGTTTGAGCGATGTCCTCTGCTCTGTCCCTGTCCCCCGCTTGTCTGTCCTCCCTCCTCCACTCTTCCCCTCCCCCTCCCCTGCTGCCTTTCTGTCAACTCGGCTCCCGCTCACAGCCGCTGTCCCGCTTGCCTCGGTGAACATTCAACGCTGTCGGTGAGTTTGGTATGGATCACATAAAAACCATCGACCGTTGACTGTGCCCCGCGGCTTGCTCTGACGACGTCAGGAACGAGCGAAAAATGAACAAAAGGGCAAGTGGGCGCATGCAAATCTCAGAGACGAAGACACACATGCACAAAAGTGACACTCTGTTTCCACTGTACCCAAAGACCAAAGGTCACAATCAACATTCATTGCTGTCGCTGGGTTGGACTGTGTAGAAAAGCTCACTGAACAATGAGTGCAACTGTGGCCCAGATCTGCCTGACTCGTGTCTCAGCCAATCAGCCGACCGGATGTGAAACACTCTGATTTCTTTATTTATATACTTCTTGTTTTTCACTTCTATTTTCTTCTCTCTTCCTCCCTCCCTGGCGCTAGGAGTCTTCAGGGGGAAGAGAGAGAGAGAGAGAAAGAGAGAGAAAGAGAGAGAGAGAGAGATAGAGATAGAGACACAAATAGACTTCTGGCTGCTTGCTTGTCCTCATCCTCCTCTTTTCTCCTCTAATTGGTGGTTATGTGTGCAGCAAGGGGGAAGGAAGCGGAGTGAATGTGTAATCATTTGGAGTCTTCTCCTTTAGATGTTTCATCCCTCTCTTTTTTGTTTGTCTAATTATACACTGAGCCCAGTTAACTCTGTGTTAACTGTGCGTCTGTGCTGGCAAGAATGAACAAGTGACAAAGAGAGGGAGAACATGGGGAAACGAAAAAGGTAAAAAGATTATAGCAAAATTATTTTCTAGTTTTTAGAATATCTTGTATAATAATTCTTCCTGGTGGCGCTGCAAAAGTGTTAGGATATGAGCAATTTTCAAATGCAGAAGGAAGATTGTTTTCACCTTTCAGACTGAGCACTTCTCATTATCTGTGTTTGAGTTTCATGAGAGAATGTCTGGTTTCCTGTCTGCCTCTGTGTGTGTGTGCGTGTGCGCACGTATGCTATGACAGAGGACCTGTCTGCTGATCTCAGAGTGCAATATGTTATTTTCTTTCTATACTAAAGCAGCCTGCTCCCTCATGGGAAAACACAGTCTATAACCTTGTCTTCCTTCAGACAGTCTGGGACTGGCCATGCCGCTGCCATTTCTCATTGCACCCGTCTGTAACAACTCTCTGACACTGTGCCCCGTATCTGTAATTCATGTAATGTAAACACACAGTTGATATACAGCATATGTAGGAATGTGTTTTATGTTCTCATGAAGTGCTGACGCTCGAAAAAAGATTAATTCATTCATTCAATAAAGTTAAATCAGGATCCATGCATTAGTGTCTGATGTGGTTATTTACTATCATTACACATATAACTCATATTCTCATGTTTCTCTCCAGAATATCCCTCCAATTCAAATCTTTAGTCTCTATCACCCTTTTCTAACCTTAAGTACTCCCTCTTTCATTTAGTAACCAAGCCCCATGTCCATGTCCCTCTCTCCCTGGTCTCTCTGTATTATTCATAGAAAAGCACTCTGTACAGTGGTGCAGAACAGTGGAGGTGATGTAATAGTGGCTGCGAGCGTGGCTCCAGACTGTCATTTGGGATGGATTCATGCGACAGGAGAAAACACTCATTTGTTCGCTTTTTCAGCTTTGTTGGTGTTGCCAACAGCTACAGCTGATGGCCTAGACTTTAATATAAAGTGACATCCATGATAATATTAAAATTTTTAGTCGAAAAAAAAAGACCCCAAAATCCACTCATGATGAGCAGATGTTAAGTTGTGTAAATGTGGTGGTGTTTAAAGAGAATGAAGTTGTGTGCAGACGCGGCTAAAAGTCCACATCACTGTGTGATCTAGCACCGAACATTGTCATGGTGTGAGAGGACACATTTTCACTCACAGTAGCACTGAAACAGCAAAACTATAGACGTGTTGCTGACATTTTTCGAGGGCACAGCATGTCTTCTTTGAAGTGATTCTACCGCCATCTAGTGTTCAGAGAGGTTTGAGACAACCTCATATACGAGAGGATCGTTCAGACTAATTATTGTGGAAATGGACATGAAGTTGTTTTCACAGAAAGTAAATAACAGTAATCAGGTCATTATTTATTTTTACAGCATTTTATTTATTTATTGACTTTGATTTAGAATTTAGATTTGTATAATCTCTTTTGAATATTTGGTTTTGAATATTTAAAGTGTTTTAAGAACTACCAGTTTATTAAGATGGAGATATTCAGTAACAGAATCCATTAATCATGTTATCAAAGAGAAATATGAATATGTTTGAAGGTGGATAGAAACAGGATTTAATCATTAATACACCAAAGTCCTTAAATACTCTTTAGGTGTATTATTCTCTTTTTACCTATTAGTCCTGAATAGGTTCTGAAACCACCGACTTTATCAGAATACGTAATAGGAATTTATTATTACATCCTGCCTGCAATTTATTTATTTATTTTTTTTAATTTTAATTTTTAGTTATCATGAAAGTTTCTACCAGGGCTACAAGCGGCACATTATTATCATAATTTTATTTTTTTCATTTTTTTTCAAGAATCTGAATTTATATTGACAAGCTGCATAACTTCACCTCAGTAGCACCCTGACATACAGCTTAGTTTCAAAAGGATTAATAGGAGGACTATTGATTGTTTTTTGGTGGTGCTTAATGTTACTGCTTCCTGTCTCATCTGCAAGTAGAAAGCTGCCCTTTCATGTAATCTCAAGCTGCACTGCTCTTTTATACAGTTACACACAGAGAGATGAGAGGAAGTTGCTCAGTTTCAAACTGTATAAAGTTGAAAACAATTCATTGTTTTTTAAAATCAAATGTTCAGGTGGTTCCCCTGTGCTAATGACTTTATCTCCAGAACATACATTTAAAAGTCCTGTCAAGTGTTGAGCAATGTAGCCTAACTTTTAAAATAACAAATAATACATTCTATATTTTGCAAATAAAAACATACCACGTCTCACTCAGTGTAGTTCACTCTGTGGTTTTGATGCTATAGACTTGTTTGTTCTGGTATAACTGTTAGTTTATGTTGGCTTCTACGTGTGCTTATTTTGTACTCTGCTATTATTATTGTTTAATCATTTACCATTATTTCATTATTGTCACACGTGGCCAAGTTTAATACTCTAACTCTAAGCTTTCAAAATAAGACAAGATTGAGTCTTTTCATTGGTTGTCTTTTTTGCGTCATTACTTTAATTTCTCGGGGGAAAAAAATCCAAGATTTTCCAAAAAACAAACAAATATGTCACGATGGGCTATGGGAAAATGTGTTTGAATAATGCAAAACATCTTTCTTTTTTAAAAACCATTTGATGTAATGGTGCAAACAAAAATATGACACCTTGGATTTGAATATTTAAATCATTGTGAGTATCATATGTGGTAGCCTAACAAATCATGGGGAATATATTTTACTTTAAAATTAAGTGGAAGTTTAGGAGATCAATATTTTTAAAAACACTTGAAATTGTTTTTCAGGAGCTGATACTTCCTCAGTGATAGGACATACTGACACACCTTGACCTCTAAAACAAAACGCATTACACTTCATTACAGCTGATGTCAGCTTAGTGTCAGCATTGAAAAACCTGTTCTACTACCTGCTTCAAATATACAGTTCTCCCATAACTTCCTCTTGATGATCTCACAGGAGTTTCACCACTCGGTGTTTAATTATTTGCCAGATTTAAACCATGGGACACAAAACTTCCAGAGCTGGAAGTTTCCCCCGTGAGAGTGTAAACAAGGAAGTTAAGATAACGTAGTGGAATGCTGTCGAGGAAATTTACACGTGTGGAATTCACAGTTCAACAGAGGAGTGTTTTTATTATGAGACTCAGCTCATATTAAAATTCCCATTTAATGTGAGGCCACAAAAGCATTCATTAGACAACTGATTCTTTTCATAACAAAACTTTAATCAATTAATTACAAGATAACAATATATACAAATACAAGATCTTATATAAAAACAATATAAAAAAATAGACACAGGCAAAGAGACATATAAAACATAAGGAAACATCTTTTTTTTTTCTTTTGCTGCAGGTTTTCTCCACCGTCTCTCTTCAAAAAGCAGAATAACTCTATTTGTGCGCTTGCGAGGTCTCCCGGTGAACCTTTTGTGCTTTATTCCTGCAATGAAAATTGATCAAGTTATAGTTTTAGCCACACTCTCGTAAAAATACATTTCACAGCCTACAGAATTATACTGTTTGTTTGGTATGTTGCACAATTTCTTTTCTATAAATCTTACCTTAAGCGGTTGACATAGGTCATCACCCAGTCCAAACCAGGATTGGTGCATGCTGGACCCCTCCTTGTGTGGAAACTATAAAAAGAAAAGAAATTTAAAAAATGATTCACTTAACTTATGTGTTATTTATTCTCTACTAGAAAAATATTAACATCATGCTACTGATACTCACATGATGGCACTGATGGGACAGATCCCTGTGACAGTCTGAACTGAGTACCCCTTGATTGCAGAAAATGGTATTTTGCCTTTCGAGTAACTTAGACAACATCCGCCACGGGCTGTGAAACAAGAGAAAAATTTGATTATAAAATTAAAATAAAAGTCAAGTGAGAGAAATGCATCTGGCTATGACCTGATTTGTATGGATGTATGAAGCTAAATCAACAAACCAAAAAAAAAAAAAAAAAAGAATTAAAAAGAAAGAGATGGACTTAAGAGAGGAACCCAGTAGACTACATACCTGCTGATGTGTCTGTGATCAGCAGACAAAAGGTGAGGAGCGTGATCCCCATCACTGTAGCTTTGATTGACACCATGTCTCCCTCTGTGTTGTGCAGTGACTCTGAGCTGAGCTGTTGTCTCGTCTGTCCTCAGGTGGAGCTAAAGAGGTTGTGGTGACAAGCTTGTGATCACAGCAGCCTTTTATATTCCTCAAACAGGAAATTTCCACTCGGAAGAGGCAAAAATCTGCCCACACAAGAAGTATAACACCAGAAAATCCCCCTCCCTTTCCCCAATCATAGAAAAAGGAGAAGGGCAGAGTTCATCTTTAAAGTTAAAATTAAAATAAAAATTTGCATGTGCGTTTATTATAACATAACAAGATCATATCAATTTGAAAAACTCGAACTACGTAGAAATGTAGTTAAAGATCAAGTTGCAGTGGAAGAAAATAAAAATAACCAGGATAATCATTCAGTGTTGTCATTTCAAGGAATTTTCTGTCAATATAAATTAGATTATGTCACTGAATCCTTATCCTTTATCATTAAATAAATAACCATGATTCTTGTAATATGCTTCAGCACATGAACAAAATACAATAACACAGAATATAACAAGAAATCAGTGTATCCCTTGGCATGTTGACCAAAAAATAAAAAGTCAAACATCTAATTAATTAATTCAGTAGACAAATATGGGTGTTGGGTCACACGTGTTAGTCCCGTAAAGCCAGTGCAACATGGGAAGTTACGAAGGTGTGGTTCCTTTGTTAATGACACTCACCATGCACATGCTACGGTTAATGGCCCAATACCTTGCATTAAAGCAAACAATTTAAAATAAGTTTCAGAAAAAGACTTCACAAAGGATGAGGTTTCACTAAAGAACTCAGTGTTCACTGACTTGTGAGCTGCAACAAGTAGGTTGCTTTGAGGTTATACGGAGGTTCTTTTCTGGGTCAGAGGAAGACTTGTTATATACTTGAGAACTAACATCACAGGAAAAAAGTACACAGAGACCACTAAAATAGGTCACGATACAGTTAATGTCAGTCTAATTGTTCATCATGAACTTTCCACCAAAACCACATTGCGTTTAAAGCACATAACTATTTAATTTCCTGCAATGTTTCAAGTTTGTAACTCAGCTTATATAATTATTGAACTTTTATTCCTCTGTTGTACCTACAAAGTGATACAAATCTTGGTACTCACATGTCCACCAAAGGTACACCAATACCAAAAGAGGTATTGGTCACTGTAAATCGTCCTTCCTGTTCAGACTAGACGTAAACTGGTGGGCTCATTTAGCTGAAGTTACTATGAGTTGCAGTCTTTTCAATGTGGGCAAGGGAGTAATGCTTTAAATAAGACTGTATAAAATGTGAAGCTATCCTTTAGTGAAAGGAAACCAGGTTTCTGTAAGAACAAGACATCAAATGGACACCTACACACAGAAAGAAGAAGGGGGTTAGGCAGACCTTTCAATAGACCATTTTTTCGCAGCCCACTCAAAACCCAAGGGGCACAGCGTGGAGAAATATACAAATTAATCATCTGAAACAACAAAGACAGTCTGATACTTATTAAAATTTGATAGCGACTACTGAACATGTATAGAGTTCCTTTAGGACCCCTGTGCTTACAATAATCAGTCATTAAGGTTTGACTGTACAGTAGAGTCAGACCTGTAATTGACCTGTTTCACGGCAGACATTTGGACTTAGTAGGAAAGTGTGAACAATACCAGGACCTGGAACTGAAGTAGCTAAATGGAATTGAGCTATCACCAAGTTTAGTTTTATACCTTCCTGCTGTGTCAAGATGTCTTCTGTGAATGTGAAACAAGGACTTTGTTTCATAGATTGTATAGAATGATGCCCTTAATAAACATTTGAATGAAAAATAATACATAATGATAATAATGTGGACTGTAAACAAGGAGTGCCAACTGACAAATTATAAACTCAATATAGATGATAATAAGGACAATAAATACAATATGCAGTCATAATTCCAGACAAAAAGTATTTTCTATATTGCCTCATACTGTTGTCTGTATGCAGCAACAAGGTCAGCAGGATGTTACAGTGTGGTCTGAGGTTTACGTCAAACTATTATATTGTTGTGTACGATGCATAATTCTTGTTCTTGGGTCTCTCTTCGAAAAACTGAGACTACCCTATCAATAACAGTGCTGTATGTATATATTCAGATATTAAGGACTTAAGTACGAAAGTACTGGGTTCAAATTATAGTAAGTATAAGTATTCAACAACTATCATCAGTATAATATAGTTATCATAATAGGACTCATTATGAAGCAAAACACCTGTCAGTGTTATATTATTGTAAATTATATTATTATTATTGATACGTTTATGTGAAATCAGCATTTTAATGTTATAGTTGTAGGAGTAGCAAAGTGTAACCACTTTATGTGCAGTTGGGAGTTTCATTTTTGAAAATGTGTCATATTTTATAAGCTGATCACGTTTTGTGAGTTAAATTTGAATATGCAAAGTATCTAGCAACTACAGCTCTCAAATAAATATAGTGGAGTTGAATCATAAAGCACAGTGGTATCATAACATTTAAGCAATTCAAATGAAGTACAAATACCTAAAATTTTGTGTAGTACCTAGGTAAATGCACTTAGTTACATTCCACCGCTGCTTATTGAATACAGTTGAATTAATAATACACATATCATTGTAAAGGTGCTGACTCTGCCCATTAGTGTTTACATTCATTAATGTTTTATAGTATTTCTTCATCAGTATAACGTCATGCCAGGATCTTTTTTTAAAGATATGTGGCACACATTTGTTTCGTCATTCCCGCAAAAAGGGGTTTTTGTAGCACTGTGGGTAAAAGTACGCGGTGACATTTCCCATGTGACCTGAATTGGTGTTTCCAGTAGTTCCTGGTTTGTGTGGGACATTACCTTTTACAGAGTATTTAAACTTCACTGCCAGGAGTAAACGTTATCAATTCATTTCTTTTGAGTATCCAGATCAGAAAGTTGATTCACTGCAGAAGAGAAGCTGATGGCAAAGGTGGCTGTGTGTGTCTCCATCATGGTGCTCCTTGTGGCGCTGGGTGAAAGCAGTAAGTACATTTCCACAACTATTGGATAAGTTACAGGATTCTACATTTCACTATTGATTCAAGATAACACCAGTTGTTGCCTGTATTTGTCTAGAGACTACTGATTTCACAAGTCAGTAGTTCAAAAGAAGTACAATGTTACTAATGTTACTCTTTTTTTGTTGACATGTTTGTAATGTCTATTTTTTAAAGGTCCTGGGAGGTTTTGCTGCACACAGTACCATGAACATCCAGTCCCAGTGAAAGTGCTGAAAAGCTATCAAATCCAGAAGGACACAGGTTTCTGCAACATCAAGGCAGTAATGTAAGAAAATAAAATCAGTACATCTGAAAAAAACAGACACTATACTTTAACAAACAGAAAGGCCAACTCTGTCTTACCCTCTTCCCTCATCTAAATACAGTTTCAGGACTGCGAAAAAAAAACTTCTCTGTGCCGATCCTGACAAAAAGTGGGTGAAAGATGCCATGGAGTCTATAACACAGTAAGTTAATGACTCTATTGAACCACTGTCTGTGCTCAAAGAGACAACAGCCATCAGTACTGAGTCATACTGCAACAATCATATGTGATTTTAAATGTTTTCCTTTTTGTCTTTCTAAATAGAAGACACTGAGCAACGTGGAGATCATCTGAGGAAATCAGCTTCAAGACACAAAGACACACAAGATGAATTGAATGCATTTTTTTTACGGTCAATAAATAGAATATTTTTGTATCATTTTAAATTTATTGTTTAAATATATTTCTTTAATGGCAATAAATAAATTTATATATATATAATGACCTGTTTCTGTGTTTATCTATTCCTGGGTCTAATGGTTTTATAATGTATCTGTTTAGGATCTCAAGGATCCGAAGTAGAACAGTAAAGTAAGATTTTCATGTTTTTCAATCAGTTTAGGAATGAAAGAAGCAGGAAAGAGAATAAGGAACAATAATAGAGGAACTAAAAAGGCTTTCCATTGCATATTTCTCATTTGAAGTCTAAATTCACTGATATTTAAAACAATTAGGAGGATAAAATATTGGAAACATAATTTAGTTTATTGCTATACAAACTACATTGTATAAAATAGACTTAGACTTAGACTTCTCTTTATTGATCCCTTTGGGATGACTCCCGCAAGGAAATTGGATTTCCAGCAGCTTACAAGAACACTTGTATAGAAAATAGGAGAGGTATAAAAAAATACAGCATTAAAAATACAGTATAAGATAAACAATAAACTCTTAGCTAAATATAGAAAGTAAACAATAAACAATAAATAAATAAAATGCCTATAAAGTTTAATCAGTGCCTCTCTAAAACTGCATTTAAAAAAACTGAACATTGCAACCTTCATTAAGGTTATTGTAGGACTGTTGTACATACATGAATACTTTAATACTAAAGGAATGGCAGTGAACGCACCGTGTGTAGTTCAGGGAACCAACGGTAGGAGGCGGAAGTGTTCAACAGCACAGGAAGGATTCACTTTGTGAATGAGCTGCTGCTGGATGTCCAAGCGGAAGAGACTTTACGTTTTTCATACTCAGCAGGATGATATGTGCGGGTTTTATAAATATATATATAACTGTTAGTCATAACGAAATCTGTCATAAAGTATAAAACCTCCTGCTGAGTCTGAAACCATGACAAGATGAAGCGATATGGAGATGCCATATCAATTCATTACAAGCTAGCTGAAGCTAACGGTTAGCCGTGGTGTTATTATGAAGCTACGAGGGGAAAGATGCTTAAAAGAGGAAAAAAGGTAAGATACAGGAACATAGAAGAAAACACACACAATTACCCGTCCTGTTTGTAACATTACATTTTAATTTGGAGACATATTAATACAGCTTTTCTTCATATCCCCCTGTTATTACGGTTGTGTTAATAAGTGGCTACAGTAGTGCAACACTATGTCTATATATTGTAACATTAACATAGGAGATGAACTTATATTCTTTGATTCTATCATAAATAATACACACCTAACACATTTTCTTTTATGGTCACAGATAGGGTTAAACAGCTTTTTGCAGGTCTCTATGATTTCTGCACAAAACCACAAATATACACAAATCTCATGAACATAATGTCACTATTCTGTTTTCAGGTGCAGGTCAGGTGTGAAAGGTACTCGGCGGCAGTGAGGATGGTCACAGCTGGCTGAGATTCACCCGCTGACCCAGCAGGTACAATACAGGTTGAACAGAGGCAGGAGCCATGAAAGAAGAGGGCAGGGCAGCGTGTGGAGGTGAGGCTCTGTTTGAGGACCTGGACTTTCCCGCTGAGGACACGTCCCTGTTCTGTGACAGCTCCACGCCCATCGCCAGGCTGCAGGGAGACATCAGCTGGCGACGCCCACAGGTAAGGCCCAGTGCCATGGGTAAATGGGAAATAACGCTGTTAATTCCTTCTGTGTTGTCATGGGTTAAAAGCTTACATCATGGGAATTTTGAGCTTGCCATTCATTAACTTGCATCACTGGTCACAGGTTGGTCTGTTCAGCCAATCAAGAATTTTTCCTTATCAGGTGGTTGATTTGATTATGAAAGAGTCCCTACAAGTTGTTTAGTTTTACACAAAAAGCAAATATGTGTAATAAAATATGTCTATGAGTAATGTGTATGTGTCTGAACATCTTGAAACTTGACATAATGATAGTGTGACAAAACTATTGTGAAAGGTGACCTCCATGTTATCAACCTCTGGTTCTTATTGAGATCAAGATTCTACTTTCAGTTTAACCCTTTGGAGTTTTTTAACCTCCTAACACTGGGTTATTGCAAGTTGTCTTGAAATCAGAGCATCTCAATTGTCATTTTTATCTATTTCACAACTCCAGGAGATCTGCCAGTCACCAGCTCTCTTCCCTGACAACATCAGCCTGGGTCATGCAAAACAAGGTTTATTAGGAGATTGCTGGTTTCTCTGTGCCTGCACCTTCTTGCTCAAGAACAAACATCTACTGAACAAGGTAGAGCAACAAGCGGTCGGACTAATTTGTGAATTAGCATGTCATAAGCATGTTATTTACTGTATGTATGTATACACTGCTGTCCGTTACTCTCTGTAGGTGTTGCCTCCAGACCAGCCTCAGTGGGGTGACAGCGGGTACAGGGGCTCCTTTCAGTTTCGTTTGTGGCAGCAGGGACACTGGACAGAGGTGACCATCGACGACCGCCTGCCCTGTATCAATTCCACTCTGTGCTTCTCACGCTGCCACTCCCCCGCTGTCTTTTGGGTAGCACTGTTGGAGAAGGCATATGCCAAGTAAGAAACTTGTGCAACTTCCTTGTTTCATCTCTTAGTTTGACCTACTATGAGCTTTGATCTGAGAAATATTTTTTGGTGGTACGTTTGGTGGAAAGTTTTAGTAACCTTGTACTGCATTTCAAACAACATTTTTAGTGAAGTCTGGAAATCCCCTTCCCTGTCCCTTCCATTCTCTTTAGGCTTCACGGCTCATATGAGCAACTGTGGGCCGGCCAGGTGTCCGAGGCCCTGGTGGATTTGACCGGGGGCTTGGCGGAGCGCTGGAGCTTGGGAGACTTTCAGACTGAGGAGGAGCAGAGACCAGAACAGGACAGTGACCAGGTGAGGAGGAGAAGGCTGGACCTGAACCTTCTGTGCCGAGTGAAAGACCAGTGTGCCATCAGCTGCTCCACTCACAGCAGCCCTGGAGGTCAGAAAACAGACCTTTAGTGCAGATACAAGTGGTTTTGATCCTGTAGCACATCACCTGATGATTTTGGTGACTGTTCTAGGTGCCAGTGAGCTGGGTCAGTACCATGCACTGACTGTCATGGAGTGGTTGGATGTGAAGACGGTGTCAGGGAGCAAAGTACTGCTGCTCAGGATCAGAAACCCCTGGGGAAGATGCTGCTGGGGAGGGGCCTGGATCGGAAGGTAGGCATGTGTGTCTCCTTATGTGTGTCATAGTCACGAGTTTGTTTAACCTCAAAAGGAGTTTTGCTGGATCCAAATGTCCCGCCTCTGGGCTTGTGGACCGAAATGCTAACCCTAATTGCATCAAGCCTGAAAAGGTGCTGTGCGACAGTGGAATAAAATGTATTGTGAGACTGGTCTTCAGTCCTCAGTCATGTTTATGACCAAATATTATTATGAGTACATAGTAATATAATAATTAAATAAACGTATACATCAAGACTGCAGTCTGCACCCGAAGTTTGCTCTCTGGAAGTCTGTAGGAAGTCCAGAGAAAGTGCACAAAAGCACCTTGCAGATTTGATTTAGCGTGTATTTGGACAGCCATTATCATGTCCTTCCAAAGGGAATTCCTAGTCCCCATTCACAAGGTCTACCTCTACCTATCTACAGTGGTACCGGTTGGAGCTGCGTCGACCCTGCTTCTGCTTTGGACCTGCAAGCCAGGGTGGCCGAGGGCGAGTTCTGGTTGGATGAGACTGAATTCCTGTCCCAGTTTGATGATGTCACAGTGGGTTACCCCATCAGTGAAGAGGGGCACCTAAAGAGCATCTACACTGGTAATTCTCTCATTTTGATAATGAACATTTTAAACCTAGAGTGACTATGACCTCCATGGCTCTCTTTTTAATCCTCACAACTCTCCTCTCCGACAGGAAATCTGCTGACACACAACCAGCAGCTGGCTGGCCGCTGGATGAAAGGGCACTCGGCGGGTGGGAGCCGAAACAGCAGCATCTACGGCAGCAACCCTAAGTTTTGGCTCAAAGTGTGTGAGAGAGGAGAGGTGCTGGTATCCCTGCTACAGCATAGAAAATGGAGGAACACAGAGAAATACGCACAAATGCCACTTGAGGATAGCAAGAACACAAAGCACCAGCACTACCAGGCTATCGCTCTACACATGTGGAAGGTTTGTGGCATCACTTATAGGAAAACATTTTTTGTGTTTGTGTGTTTGCATCATGTTACGTATGTTTTTCTGTTGCTAGGTGGAGAAGAAGCGTTTTAATCTCTGCCGGATGTTGAACAAACCTCCTTGTGCTTCTACTCACTGCCACGCCTACGAGAGAGAAGTGGTCCTCCATGGACAGCTTGAGCCCGGATACTACCTACTGATCCCCAGCACCTACCAGCCAGGAGCTGAGGCCCACTTCCTCATCAGGGTCTTTTCTTCCTCTTCCACATCCCTCAGGTAAGGACCAGTTGATTTTAGGGAAATCTATGTAAAAATGTTGCTGGAAACAGCTTTATTTTTTATAATAACATTTGAACTTGAAGTTTAAAAGGGTTAATTCCATCTTTAAAAAGGTTAGGCACTTTAACAGGTGTTATGGAGAAACAAAAAAAAATCCCTCTCAAATCAATAAAACAAAAAATGTGTTTAACAATATGTTCTGCACAAATGAGCAGAACATATTGTTAAACACATTTTTAAGTGGTGTCAGAAATAACAGTCTCCTTCCAGAATCAGAGCAAAACTGCATTAGTTATTTTGCCCATTAAACAAAGTCATGTTGTCTTAATCATATGTTCAAAAGGTAATCAATATTGTTTAATGTTATATACATATGTACACAGTATTTATTACACTGATTCATTTGTTTCTGCACACAAACCTTAGTGCCATGACTTCCCATAAAAATGAATGACAGTAAATAAATGGTGACATCTGGTGGTCAATTTGAAAATCACCTTTTAAAAGAACCAACTAATAATTTAAACTTTTATCATTTTACACCGCAGTAAGGACTCTTCCAGCTGCTATCCCACATATTGTTTACAAAACATGGATTTTCCTACTTCCATGTTTCACGATGTAAAGTGCTGTGATCATAAAATTTGTTGTCATGCTTCCTCCTCAGTGCCCTGAAAAGCCCAGCACCTTCACTGCCATTAACAACTGATGGAGAGTGGGAGACCAGTTACTTCCGGGGCTCGTGGGTGGAGGGAAGGACGGCCGGAGGAAGCAGGAACTTCCTGTCTCACTGGCAGAACCCCTGCTTCCCTTTTACAGTGTGTGATGAGTCAGCAGTGACATCAGGAGTTAATGTCAGGATTACCCTGCACCAGAGCCGCCCTGACACTGATCTGCACCCTATTGGCTTCCACATTTATAAGGTCAGTCAAACATGAAGGGAGAACACCAGTGTTATCTAGATTTATGGGCCATTTACCTCAGTAATTTGCAGTTTAATCTGTAGTATGTAGTAGATCTTTGAAATGTTTACTCATTTTGTCCGTTTTAAAACTAACCTTAACCTTACAGGAATATGCTCATATAATAGAATCAAAGATTTATAAAATATGATAAACAACATCTCCAAAACTGCCAGTTCTTACTGCTTGCTGACCATGCAAGCACTACCACCGCTGTAAACAAAGGCTCACCTTAGACAGTTGGCACAAACTAAATTCTTAATAAACTATATATTATAATAAAATGGCTAATGAATGCAATTCTACAGTATATGAGCATTCAATGTTCACTGTGTATCCAGTTGCCAGAGGGGGAATCTGTGCAGACATTACCCAGGGACGAGGATCCTGTGGCCAGTTGTGTCCCTCACTGCTACACCCAGGATGTCAGTCTTGCCTGCTGTCTTTCTCCTGGAGCTTACACCATAGTGCCGTCCACTTATCAGCCTGACTGCTCTGCACACTTCACCCTCAGCCTGGCTCGCAGAATACACAGGTAGGCTCCGTTTCTTTTTCTTAATCAGAAGTTGATTGTGCAGCTAGTAGTAGCAGCTTCACATATCATTATTGCACCATGGTCTGAAATAATAATAGATGCGTGTCTCTTTCAGGAAAGTGGTGAAAAGCCAAGAGAGGCTGGGAAGAGCCATTCAGGAGGTCAGTTTACTGGACAACACGGCAACACTAGCTGATAAATCTTTATTTCCCCAATGGCACAGGGCCTTCATCATGGTGATTTACAGAATGTCACAAAATAAATCATAAAAATGAGTACAGAATATAAAACCTGGGAGGATATTTAAAAACTACTATTACAGTTAAAAAACTAAAAAACTTTGTAAGTGTTGAAAACCACAAAAAGTAGTTCTACAGAAAATGAATTTCCAATAATTTTAATAATCAATTAACAGCAAATACAAACCAGCAAAAATGGCAAGAATTTAGAGGATTTTCTTTTTTTCTGTTTTATTACATTTAATGTTTATGTTTTGTACCGTTAGACAAAACAAAGATGCCACTTTTTATCACAGTTTTCTGACACTTTATAGACTGTAGAAGTTTGAATCCATGAATCAAAAGCATAATCCACAGTTAAAATAACTGTTATTTGCAGCCTTAGTCTTATGTGACATTGTGCAGCGCCTTCTCTCAACAAATCAAATGTTTTTTGGAAGGTCAAATAGGGCAGACGGGGCAGCAGCCTGACAGCAGATCCTGCCTTGAGGGGACTTTATGTTTACCTTATATCTATATTTTTAAGCCTGTGGTTGTACTCAGAAGATGGCAGCACTGAATAATCGTCTCTGTTATGCTTTTGTGTCTTTCTGGGCGGCAGATCTCTCACATCTCTGTGATGCAAAGTTAGTTCTCTGGGACTGTTGCTGCTCCACTGACGTCGCCTCACCTCCCTGTTCCTCTTGGCCCATGATGAAAGAACCAGTTCTCCCATCCACCCTCACCATGGAGGCTGTATGTGTGTGCATGTATGTGTATGTATGCGTACCACCAGTGGCTGAGAAGGCAGGCAGGCGGGTAGATTTAGTGGGAATGTGTGTGTCGGGAATCCTAGAAACCCTTTTATCCTGAACCGCTGAGGCTCAGGGCTGATGGGCAGCCACACACTCATCGGCGATTAGGACATCAGAGGTTGTCGGTGGGCTGGGCTGCTAATGAAGTATGACGGGACTGGCTGGTGTAAACAAACAGCCGCCATTGAAGAGGGCCGCCGCTGCTCTTGCTCATTCACTCACTGGTGCGCCTGCCGGCCTGGAACAAAGGGCCCTCTCATGAAGGTCCTCACTGAGGCACAGGGGGCAAGGGGCGAGGGGATGGTCTCCGACAGCAGAGCCAACCAAACCACACCACACCATACCGTGCCATACCATGCCAGAGCTTTCCTCCCATCCCTAACCCCCAGACCCTCTGCTTCTTACCTAGCTTGCATTTGATTTGAGACACAGATAAAGGGTTTTCTTAGTCCCTCATCTCCAAAACCTGCTCATCATCCTGACTAAAACTAAAGTCAAGCTGGACCTAAAGAAGTCCACTTAGCTCCTGACTCCATCCTCACCGCCCCCGCTCCCTTTTTGTCCCCCCAGACTCGGTCCACAGCTCTGCTTGGACCTGAACAGAGTCATGGTTTGAACTTGCCGCAAGAACAGATGACAAGCGGACGGATGGAAGGGATGAATCGAGGGATGCGGCACATCAGAGGAGGCCGGTTGGTTCATATGAAGAAGCTGCCAGTCCTTTTTGTGTTGAAGCTGCGTGTGTGTGGTGGTGTGTGTCTGCCTGCTCGCACCCATGTCTGTGTGTCGAAGTCACAGGGTTTCTGATAAATCATTGGAGCCAGTGTTAACAGAGACTTTCACAAAGCTATAATTAACTGATTAGAGTGGTACTGTATTTATTATGTGTGTGTGTGTGTGGGGGGGTCAGCTCAGCTGGATGACATGTGATGAATAAAATGTTAAAACACAACTTGGAGCTGATGTGGCCATATTTTGGTTTCTCTTTGACTTTAGATGTGTATATCTTTGCATCATGCAAGTTTCCAGACAGTGTAAATGAATAAATGTGGTGGAAAGAGAGGAAAGCTATTCATGTATCACCCCTGAGCACTCCACGCACACCACCACCACCAACACACGGCGTGCGCGTACACGTGCTGTGCGCGCCGCCGTTCCTGCGGAATTCAGGAGGCTGTGGTCGGACTCCGAAAGGCTACCACCTAGAAAATAATGAACAACAAATTTGACGCGTGAGTAATCCAAAGTTTCTGTGAAATATCTGCCGGACAGTGTGCTTCCCGTCGTGGCTGCAAATTGACGGGGAAGCACAACGTTAATGAAAGCTGTTGCTTGTATAAAAAGAGAGGTGTGTCAGCTTTATTGCATGATCCTGCATGCTGAGTGTGTGCTTCTAAACTCACATGAAAGCGAGGTCCACACACACACATGCATTTACAACGAAGGGAAGTAACAACGGGCATTAAATAGTATTTTATAATATGGGATGTGCTGTGTTGCTAGCTGTAGTTAGCTTTGCGGAAGGCGGACAGGCCCCGGGTCCTCGGTGTGGTAGTTGTTGAGAGGCGGCGGAAGGTGCGCGCAGGGTCGGCTCAAACTGGACTCCCATAGTCCTGAAGTACGGGCAGATAGCTCACTGTGTGTTGTAGGCTATTCACGGCCAGAGTCGATTAAGTGGAGTTGGGGACGTGTGCATCATTAGCAGTCTACATGTTTACAGTTACTAGGGGAAAAAAGAAGTTGACACTTAATTATGTACCTGGCTAAAACTAATGCAGCAGCCCTACAATAAATCATGAATGTTATAAATATTAGAAACCCCCATCACTATAATACAGTACAGTAGCACAACACCACTAACTACAGCCTCCAAAACGACCATGAAGTTGACTCAACACCTTAGTTTTAGCTATGTGTACCCAGTTAACTGAGTTGTAAGTACCCCTCAATCACAATATAGTGGATGCTTGACACAGACGTTTTTGTTTTGCTGCCTGTGTTTTCCATCAAATCCAGTCTGAAAGATGATGACAGTGGAGACCACGACCAGGACCAAGGCTCACCGAAAGACAGTGAGAAGGAAAAAACTGAAGACGAGGACAAGGAACAGAACATCTCTAAGAAAAAGGTGAGCCCATTAAAGAGTGACTCATGTGTCTGCAGCAGCTTCGAAGTTAATTGTGGGGCTAAGTCACTGTCTTGTTTATTGCAGATGGTGGTGCCAGGGGCAGGGGAGCACCCTCTTCAATACAACTACACCTTCTGGTACTCCAGACGCACCCCGGGGAGACCGGCCAGTACTCAGAGCTACGAACAGAACATTAAACAGATCGGTAGCTTCGCCTCGGTATGACAGTCCTCACAACCTCTTTAGACAGTAGATCTCACCTTAACCAGACACAGCCCAAATTTATAAATACAAGCTCACGCTGACTCATAATCCCAGTTGTTGATCATTTCTTGTCCTTCCCAAGGTGGAGCAGTTCTGGCGTTTCTATAGTCACATGATCCGGCCAGGTGACCTGACAGGCCATAGTGACTTCCACCTCTTCAAGGAGGGTATTAAACCCATGTGGGAAGTAGGTACTTGTTTTATAATGCATTGATTGTTTTTATAAATAATGAGCCCATTCTGAAACTCGCCTGTGTTGTGTTTAGGATGATGCCAATAAGATGGGTGGGAAGTGGATCATCCGTCTAAGGAAAGGCCTGGCGTCTCGGTGCTGGGAGAACCTGATCCTGGCCATGCTTGGGGAGCAGTTCATGGTAGGAGAGGAGATCTGCGGGGCTGTGGTGTCGGTTCGCTTCCAGGTAAAACCCACAAACAGACGCACACCTGTTTCACCTACTCACGCACTGCCTACCTCAGTATAATCAGACATGCTTTCTTTGCCTCTCGATTCCAGGAGGACATCATCTCCATCTGGAACAAAACCGCCAGTGACCAGGCGACCACTGCCCGCATCAGAGACACGCTGCGTAGAGTCCTCAACCTGCCTCCCAACACCATCATGGAGTACAAGACTCACACAGACAGCATTAAGTATGTATGTCTCTTCGTTTTATTATTTTCTATTTTACCTTTCTCTCTTTCAACATTCACAAATGTATGCATGCTCACAAACATGTTGCATTTTCTTACCTAGAAGGCGGTGTGAGTTTATACGCTAACTATAATGCATGAGTGTTAGTTCAAAGAGCAGATTTATATACAACAGTGTTAATGTTTCTCACGACTGCAACTGATGGGATTATGAGCAACATCATAATCGGTGACGAAAATAATTGTTAGTTGCAGCGCTGCTTTGGAGTATAAGACTGGACTATTTTGCTTTTAGATTATAATTTACTAATTAAATTTCATGACAACATTCACAGCTATAAAAAAAGAATAAAATCATTTTTTTCATTGCTATTTGTTATATATGTTAAAAAAGAAAAGTAAAATATAGCCACTATATGCAAATCATGTTTTGTGTGCTTCTGCAGTAAAATGATGCATTTGTGATTTCCCTCATTGAAAATACCGTACATTTGCATATCAAGAATTTGTCTATTTTACTTTGAATGGTGAAGTGCTGCATCCTTCTTTTTGTTTGCAGAGCATGGGAAGACTTCCATGGTCTGGTGAATGCTAGCGGCGGACGTTAGCCCCTCACACAGAGAACCTCTGAAAGAGTAAGGACTGTCGCTGTATTAGTCGGGAGTGAGAATAATGACTCTGGTGCACTTTATCTCATGCTAACGTCAATTGTCTCTGTTTGTGGTGTGCAGGTGTGTGTATATGTCATGTGTTGGGGGATCCAGGATAGGATACCGCTGTGTGGACTGGCTCTGTGTAATATGAAGACTGGAAGAGAGGCAAGAAGACCATTCCTTCTATCTGTCAAATTGGAAATGAGCAGAAGAGCCTGTCAACAGAACGCTGAACCAAGCCGAAGAGAGACATATGCGTTATTTTTAATCAACCAGAGAAGAACGAAGCCTCCAGTTTTTGTTTTTTTCTTTTTGTTTTTAATGCAAGTTGCAACATCTGTTAACTTGCCACCAGAGGGAGGCCATGTGACTGGTGTGTGCTGATCTGGTCATTAGCTGTTAACAAAGTGTACTTGACAAAAAACAACAAAACCAATCTGTTAAAATACTATATCTGATTTTATTGCTAAACATAACATCACACAGTTCCTGCTGTTCATCTGTTTTATTGGGACTCAAACAGGATTGCAGGTAGATGTTATTTTATTACAGTGCTGTATTTTAACTACAATTCCTCTGGTCATTTCGAACTAGAATGATTACTATTATGTGTACGATATATTTGTAAATACAGTCCACTTCAAAGATCACTTAACTGAATCAGCAATGATTCTCCATCTTTGACTTGGAAGTTGAATCCCAAAGGATGAGGACCATCCTGTGCTGGGCAGAAGGTTGTATGACCGGCATCTTAAAAATGGACTGCCAAGCTGCCTAAATCACTGTGCCTGGCCTCGAGCCCGACCCGAACCAGTTTTCCCTTTTGTCTCTTTTGTTTTTACCCCGCCTTTAAAAGAATCCACGGGATGAGCTTTGCTTTAATGTCCTCAACAAAGTTGTATAGGAGTCCTGTAACACTGACCTTCACTCCTTTTCCATTTTGTAGTAAAAGAAATGAAAGTGGGCCCAGGGTCAGGGTCTGTTACAGTTTTTATCAGTTTCTCGGGAGCAGCTTTTTGGAACCATGTCGAGAAAGCACCTATAGTTTGTTGAAAAACTGTAATGCTGCCCATGTTTGCTGGTGGGATGATGGGTGCAGGTGTGTGTCAAAAGTGAAGGAACACTGTTGGATGTACACCTGATGGATTATAGCAATAAATGTCAAATATGCATCTGCTGCTAAAGCTGGTTCAGTGTATTTTTCTTTCATAAATGTGATATTGTTTATAAAGCAGGGTTCTTCCAATACATCCACCTCTACTGTTGTACAAATACAGTTCTATCTTACAGTCTGTTGTACCATAATGTGACTTAACTGGTGTCCCCCATTAGACTGCTTTCAACATTATCCATTTACTTATGATTGGTCCTTTTCGTTGATCAGCTCATTTCAAAGAACATGTGATTCTGTAGAGAAAACAAAATCAGACGAGTCAATCAATGAGGGGGTTCAATTAAATAAGCCTTTTTACAGCAGGCGTTTTGTGTCACAGTATACTGCTGTACTTTTTTTACACAAAAACATTAATTGATTGCTTAATTGATTGAGCCGCTTTTACTAGTAATTTTAAGTGGCACTGACTTAGCTTTGTAACTTACATATGATAAACTGATTCCTTTTTATTGGGTATTTTGTTTGCACAGTACAAATAGAAATTACAAAATTAAGTCATTCTCACTTTTACTACAATTACTAAAGCTACTTGATGAGGAATGTTATTTTTAACTTACAAAATTTAGTTTTACTTAAAAATGTTGATGTAATCAGTGTTACAGCAATGTCTTTGTTCTATGAAAGTGTCAAAAGCCTGTAAACCATGGCAGTGTGACAGCATGCAGAGACTGAAGCAGCTGAATTGAATACAGACATCCTTAATTGTGTTATTCCCAACCGTGCTTTGCTGTGAAAAATACATATTTTATCACAATACACAGTATCTTCTTGCAAAGGTTATAATGAAAACTAATATGCTTACCAACAAGAAAGTGGCTGCCAGCAGCAGCAGTTTAGTGTGTGATTCCATACTCCGTGGCACTGAAAGAGAGACATAGATTTAAAAATGGCACATTTGAAATGTGAATGGGGTATACAAGGCAGTGGGTACGTCAAAGGAAAACACAGGTGTAACTAATTTATTAAATACTGCATTCATTGCTGGATTGGAGCCATCATTAATTAAGTATCACACAGGTCATGATCTTCATGTTATCAAACTCAAACTTGGCGTTGTTTTGGCCTTCAAGGGGGACATGAGTTTGTGAAGAATTGGAAATCACATTTCCTTCTACAACTCACCTTCCAACCCAAAATACTCATGGTCCATGTTATGTTCGTCACCGAAACCAGGCCATTTCTTCCATATTGTGCCCATTTTCTCACCAATGTTGGAAACAATCTGCCGTGTGATTGAAAGTCACAAATACTGAATGAAATAAACATGTAGAAACACTTGTTTTATTTTGGGGTGCGTAAATATCTCTACCTGGAATTGCTGGTTGGAGAAGCAGCGACACGGACAGCAGGAGCCCTGGATTCTGACGGTCAATGCTCCCTCTGCATCACACACTTCCAGGAGAGGGGTGAACATGCTCCACCTGAAGCCACAGTCAACCAACACACAAGTTTGCACATTTCCTTACATAATCATGCAATAAGCAAGCTGGCAGATACACTGGCCAGTACTTCACACACTGGTGCAGACCAGCCTTGATGGTTGGTTGATCACATTTTCAGCTGTCATGATTCTGCAGCACCAAAACCATTGTTTGCTTGGTGTCGGAGGAGTTCAAATTGGGGCATGCTTTATTCGAGCACAACTGAGAGTATATTTATACCAAGTAGATCTATGGTCACCGAAAACTTCTGCCAGGTCAGTCTTAATTGGACACAACTTCATTGAGTGCTGCTTCTGAAGAACTCTAAATCTGACACACAAAGGCACCCCAGCTAACCCCGGAGTCAGATTTAGGCCAGATGAAGAAGGAGGTATTTCAGGAGACATGGGTGCTACCATTCCTCCCATTAGCCAACATTCCCATTAGGAAGGATGCCGCATTCCTTCCCTCCCAGCCCAGGGTAGCTCTGTCGGTGTGTCTCCGTGCAGACAGCTGTTTTGTGCATTAACTCTCCCAGGTTTAGACTACACCCTGGCTGGGTGGAACAGTAAAGGCTCTCACTGCTATTTACAGACAGGCCTGGACATCTACAGTCGCTCAGGGTGGCCAGAGGCTGGGAGGGACATGGAAAAAAGGCTCACATGACAAGCTGTTCAGTCTGAGAATTTTAAGTGAAGATTCTGATCGTGGGTGTCAAAGGGTTAAAAGGTTCATTCACCCAAATGACAGAAAACATGAAAAATTGCATTTAGAAATGTTGACAGCAACACCTGTGTTCAGAAAAGGTGTCCTGTTACTCTGGTTGACCCACAGAACGTGCTCAACAATTTTTCCATGGTTTTTTTTATTTTATTCTGAGTACCACAAACAAAATCTATTCACCACCACTATGTTTGGCACATATCTCAGAGACAGATAATGAAATTGGTAAATTAGTCAGAACAAACCAAAACCAGACAATACCTGTAGATAACCAGGGTATTTATTTTCCTAAATTATGTTTTTTGTGTTGAATATCAATTAAACTGATGTTTGTTTATTTATTATAAGAATGGTGCTTGTCTGTCTCAGCAAATGCTCAAATGCAGTTTTTTTAATATATATTATAAAATGAGATTATTATAATTATTGGTTAATGTTTAAGTTCGCTAATTTTAACCCCTTTGTTGGATAGTTTAATCTATTACTGATTATGCGTTTCACATGTAAAATCTTTACCAGCAAAGCAATTAGTAAATCTCGAATTTGAATAAATGTAGTGGAATTAAAAGTAAAATTTTTCCATCTAAAATGTAGTGGAGCAGGAGTTTAAAATAGCATAAAATACAATACTCTATATAAAATACTTGAGTAAATTTACTTTCGACTGTTCAAGTTAGATGAGAGCAACAGATTCTGACTGTACTACCTCTGGCATACAGTGCCAATGAGATGTTTTTGAGGTGTGTAGGCTCTCATTTCCATTAGGCAGCAGCCGAGGCAGCAGGCATCCACCCTAAGAGGCCTTTCAAAATAAAAGACCTGGCGTCCCTGACAGTCAAAGCCCTGCAATGAGCAGGCCCGAGCTGGACCGCAACACTGGAGGCACACACAGGAACTCTCTGACAGGAGGGAGAGATTGAGCAGAGACTGAGAATACAATGAAAAACACAAATCATTCATTTATATGAGATGCAGATGGGATGGTGTTCTCAGTTAAGACACATGTAGCTGAACAGGGATCAGTACCTTCCACTGCCACAAATAACTGTGACCTGCTGCCTCCTGTGGTGATGCTGTAGATCCTCCTGGGAACACACTGTGGACCTACAACGACCGAGCATCATTCTTTTGAAACAGACAAATGTCTCTCACAGAAACTTACAAATACACATAAGCAATCCCTCCTGCTCACCTTGCAGCTCCGGTCTGGCAGTGATTTGTATTTGACTGACTGTTTCCAGCGCAGACATAAAGTGGGATCCTGCTGCACCTCCGGGCCACTTTTCCTCAACCCCTGTCCTTCTCACTTTCCCTGGTGGCTGCTTGTTCTTCATCTGTGTCCCAGGAGCCAGACCTGACAGCTGCCCATCAGATTCCCAGTCAGGAGGTGTTTGGTGCAGTTTGGGTCCAGGTGAGTGAGTGTGGGACTCACAGGAAGGCCCACAGCGGTTCTGGAAAGCTCTGAAGATCATCTGGATGTGCCTCTCTCGCTCCAGTCGATCAAAGGGAAGAGGCTGACTGGTCACCGCTGACATGGTGCAGAACTGAAAATGTATTACACAACAATGACAAACAGACAAATGACTAGCTGTTTAAATTGTCCTTGTGAAACTTCTAGTCCAGCCAGTGTGTATTTCCTAAATATTACATTAGCAAATAAAGTCTGCACCTGACTAAAAATAGTCTCACTAGATCTGACAGCATGTATTTTACACCAGTGAAAGTTCCACACAACAGCAATTGTGGAATGAACTCTATCATAAAAAAATATTTTTAAGTAATCATGTAATTGTGGAGGTGTTTTTGGGGAGTTGGTGGACTGGATCAACCTTTTTGTGTATGACTTTTAATACAAAGTGATATCTACTTGCGACCCCTTGTCACAGTTGAATCATTTTTAGGTACCAAAAGAGGTAAACTGCACAGTTTTAGGAGTTTAAAAGTTCATTATTGATCTTTAAAAAAAATATAGTAATCACTTAAAGTATAGGAAATAAGCAAATACTAGAGAAAAGTCATAAAAATAACCGTAATTGTATTTGGAAAATGAAAGAAGAAATCCTCTCATGACCTCTTGACCCTGGTTGGAAAACACTGGAGTAGATAGCTAAAGAAATAATTCAACAATTTAAAACTATAAATAGTCGTATTTAGACTAAATGGAAAAGTGGTTTCTTTTCTATGAAATTAAGAAAAGGGAACTGAGTTACATCCTGAATGTCTGAGAAGGTTAAAAAAAAAAAATTCCCGTCAGATAGACATCCCCCTCTTAAAACAAAGTGATTTCATCACAGCAGCCAGCCAGAGCCTCCTTTTTATTCACATCACACACACTCAGCTTGCACAGTTTGGTCCCATTGTGCAGCTACACTGTATATTCCTCCACAACGAAGATGATCATAGTACCAAAATTAAGCCCTACCTTATGTCATGCATACCAACAGGGACCAACGGGAGCCCAAATGGTTAAAACATCTTCTTTAGCATTTTACACTTATTTTATTCAAATTAAAGTAGGTAATGTAAGAATGTAAAGACAGAAAATAGCACTCTAGAGCATTAAAAGTATCTTGCTTACCTTCTGTGGTCAACCTCCAGGTACCTACAGACTGATAAACTAACTACTAACTAAGCTACCAGGCAAACATCCATGAGTTGGCATGATCAAGCACAACCCTCTCTGTGTGTTTGTGTGAATATTCACGTAGTAATGTTTGGCTTTGTGAGCCTGGAGACATCACTCCCGCTCCTGTCCCCCTGGCTCTGTCTCACCCCCTGACTCTGTTTCCATCCCAACCAGCCGGATCTGCCTTTTGTTGGGTTAGAAGGGCACCACTCAGCCATGTAATTGAAATCCTGCTTCCAGTGGTGGGGGGCTGTGTAGTGGGCCTGTGTTTTGAGGGTTAGCCTGGGGGGTGTCAGTGCTCACAAAAGGTGTCAAACACAGGAGGATTAAGAAATTTGTGACAATGTGCAATCACAACATTACAAAAGTACTTTTATTGCTAAAAGGATTCATTTGACACATTTGGCTGTTGTTCTCTGTTTACATGTGTGATCAACAAATGTCTCATACATGGCCTTGAATTGTATTACGATTGCAGCAGGTGAAAAGGTCAGTTTACAGCAAACACTGAGATGGTAACAGGAACAGCCAAGGAATTTGGTCTTTTTATGCAAAAACATTCTCATCCTCAACAGTCGGTCACAGCCGACAGCAGGATCAAGCGTGGCATCCACACAACTGTGCAGTGGATCCTTCATCACCATGAACAAACATTTTTGACTTTGTGATAGGCCAAAGTCCCACATTACCAAATGAAAATACACAGACAGCTGTATCTTCTCCATCTTCTCTGTGCCCCGGTCATGAGTGAAAGATCACTGACGGACGCTGTCAGATTTCCACTTTCGAGATAAAATCAAGAGATTTTCTCCTTGTTCACCCCAGAAAGTTGGTCTCAGTTAGATCAGTGAGATTGTTTATTGGAGGGAGATACCTCTTGGGATCCCCGAGGAAAGGTGAGGAGGGAGGCTGGTTGAAATGGCCCATCAGGAAGATCCCGATTGTGCCAATAAAAAACACAGACACCATGACAATGAAACAGACCCTGTCAATCACCCGGGCGACCAGGAACCACTCTTCGTTTTCCTGGGGTTAAGAAAAATGAGAGATTACCACTGATGTTGATTTAAAACAATGAAAGCAAGCCAATGTAAAGATGCTTACATTCTGGAAGTCACTATGTTGCCTTGCAGTTTCAGCAATGTGTTTACAGGAGGCCACACACTTCTTCAGCTCTGGAGAGGCCTTTGCCAGACTGATACTGAGCTGCTCAGCTGTACCAGCCTCCAGCCCATCATCTGTGTACAAAGCAGACCAGATATCCATGCAGTTACAAAGGGAAACACACTTTAACAAATGCAAACTTGTTCAAACACTTACGTAGTTTCTCTAATACTGATTTCATCAATCCGTTTCTTTCTTTGAGTCTGGCAAACATGAGTTCAGACCGAGCAGTTTTCATCACATATTCCTCTGCCTTGGTGATGAGGGTCATGGAACTGCGGCGTCGGCAGGGGATCAGGAACACACCGTTCCCGCCTGTAGACAGAGTTTCACCGTTTCCAATTTCTGAGGCATTGCCGTTGTTTGGTGTCCAGGGTCGCATCTGCATCCTCAGCAGCCGAGGCAGGATGTTTAGGAGGATCTGAGGAGGACACAGGGTCAGAGGGCAATCCAGTGGCAAATAGACCCATGTTGCCTTTGCAGTGTGTTCAATCAGTCATGGAAATTGAATCTAGAAAAGGGTTTGGTCTGACCACAGTCTCACCTTTCGGACTTTGTCTGTCATTCTGTGAGTGTTCGGGGTTCTCAGGGAGACGTTGAGGACTATCACACAGTTCATCACTACCATGGTGGTCACTGACATCACAAACATCAAATACCTGCAGTCAAGGGTTCATATATCAGATCTTTTTTTAGACACTCTTCTAAAACAGCAGTGGTTGGGACTGAGATCTTAGAGCGATCATGTGAACTTACTTGCCAATAAGAGGCACTGCCCTTGATGTCTCTGGAACCTTCTTCGCAATGAGTAAGAGGAACACAGTCTGGCCCAGAAGAGTGGCAATAGACATGGTACACTTCTGACCACCGGCTGCAAAACACAAACCAACATTCAGTCAGTCGTGGTGAGGTTTTGTGTTAATGGAAACAGATATTAATGACTTATTTGAAACCCTTGTTGAGCCAGACTTCTGTCTTGTCAACCACATGAAAGTCCTGGGGAAAATCTTGATGAAACCCTGAGGCAGCAGTTGGATTGGAATTTCAAGAAATTGCACATCTAGTTACAGTATTAGCCACGACTTGGATGAGGAGGTTGATGTGACAAAGGTCTAACTACCTGAGATTATGCTTTTAGATACACAAAGTGAGGGAAAAGACCTTTGGCAGGTAAGTAGTAGACGAGGAGGCAGAGGGAGGAGAAGAGCACACAGGGAGCAATGATGTTGATGATGTAGAAGAGAGGCTTTCTCTGGATGATGAGGAAGAAGACCAGCTCCTGGTACCCCAGCTCATCCTTTGTGTACTGAGTGTTGATCACCTTCTTGGCCGGCCTGTGTTTAATGACCCACTCTCCATTTTCTATTATCAACAAAATTAGAGTCTTTCATTCTGTCTTAAGACATTTAGAGAATCATAATTATTCAAAATGTATTACTCAAATGCTGCTATACCTGTAAAAGCCTCCGGGTCAATATCCACCCACTCCAGCGTGTGGTTATCCTCCTCTTTGAGAACCAGTTCAATCTCATTGGCGCTGTAGGTCTGGGAACTGAAAGCAGAAAGAAGACATATGATCTGTCACCACAACAAACATCTATTCACTTTTACAAGACAGATCAGTGAAAAAGGACCATGAATGAAGCAGAACTGTTCCAGGTTTGGACAATGTAGATTCTATTTAAACACAAAGAGACCTGACATGTAAACTTAGACATATTTTTTATTTTCTGATTTTGTTTCCCCTAATTATATTAATTAATTTAATTCAACTAATTGATTATTATTAACTAATATTACATTTTCTTCCAGGTTATAACTCTTGAAGTTTCCTGTATTACATTTTATTTAAAGGTCCAGTGTGTAACATTTAGGAGAATCTATTGGCAGAAAGGGAATATACAATCACCTGAAAAGAAGAATCGTGTGTTTTTGTTACCTTAAAATGAGCCATTTTTCTCTACAGACAAAGTGAGTCACCTTTCATGGAGGCTGCCATGTTGAAGTGCTATGTTTCTACAGTAGCTCAGAAGGGACAAACAAAACACTGGCTGCAGATAGGGCCGTTCATGTTTTTTTTTGTGTGTTGCGTTTTGCCACTATAGTTTCTCCCTTGTGTTTGGAAAGAGAGGGTGAAACAAGTGATACACTGAGAGATGCCACTCGAACCTACATACTGGACCAGCTGAATAAATGCATACATTTGTAACATTACAACATTGTAACTCTACAAAAATACACCCGTGCGAGTCCTCCTTTATATAACAATACTACTCTACTGTTATTATTGTGCTGTAATATCATTATATTATTCTATTTAATTTCAATTGTATATGCCATATTATTGTATTATTACTATATAGTGTATAGTAATGTATATGTATATACATATATACACACACACATATTATATATAACATTATATAACTTATTGTATTATTATGTATATTTTACTTTGTATTTATACCCATACCTATAAACCTATACTATACATACAGTAGTTAAACATTCTGGAGGCTTTATTTCTTCTGCACAAATATTTGCACAATTCAAGTCTTAGGTATTGTATCTTGTGTATTACTTTTTAAAGTCATCTCTCTAATTTGTTAAGTCTCTTTTATTTATCTTATTTAAATTTTTATTGTTTAATTCAAAGAGTTCTTTATATATTCTTTCTGCACTGCTGTAACATGGTAAATATCCCTTTTGGGATCAATAAAGTCTTTTCTTATATCTGTCTAAATTACTGCAAAATTTGAAGAATACTGGGTCATTTAAGTTCTTGGTTGATAAGACAACAAATCTGAGAGATACATGAAAGATACATGACATGGTGAACCTGAAGTGTTCAAGTCAATATAGTTATAAATTGCATTTAGTTTGTACCACTCACTGGTAAATGAAATCCCAACAAATTTCCTTTCTACTCACCGGAATACCATGGTGCAGTTCTGCCAGTCAAAAGGAAAGTAGTTGACAGTGATGGCACAAGCACTGCGATAAATTGCAGGAGGCAGCCAGTACACACAGCCATCAGAAGACACCAGTGCATTGCAGTAAAGTGCTACCTCGAACTGTCCATCCACACTGTGCACAAGTTAGAGCAGAGGCAAACTGACATTTACTGGTGTATTCAAATACACACTGACACATTGTTTCTAGAGCATTGGTTATCATGAGAAAAGTTTAATCATTTGTAAAATTAATATATTTTAAATATATAATAAAACAGTTTAATCAAGGAATCCTAGACAATGTGACTATAATCTAATTCTAGATTTTTTCAAATGTAATCTGGGTTGATTATTGTTTCTTCTATCTGATTACGGAATATCTGATAAAATGTAGGCTAATCAGTTACTACCCAATACTGTACAGAACCTACAACATTAATGCTGCAGTAGCAAAAACCTAAATCTATGCAAAACCTTGCGCCAACATGCTCTCCAAATCACTTTTTATGATCTCAGAAGTGCAGTTATTGACATCTCATATTTTTCTGTGCTGAACTTTCTCAACTAGTTACTGCTTGCAGACATATGGGGATGCCAATGTCAAAAGCTGCTTAGTGAAGGTGTGAGTAGCTCAGTGGCTGAGACCAAATATTGTGTTAAAATGTGATGTTTGTTACACTCACTTGTTCTCCAGTATAACATCTGGCAGCCAGATGCTCTTGGAGGGAACCCGTAGCTGAGAGGTGATGTTCCCATACAGAGCTGACTTGGGAGGTTGGTCCCACCTGAGCCTGTAGTCACACCATTGCTATAAATAGAAAAACTATGCGTTTGACTTTTGACCATGTAAAATTTACCATCATTGCAAAGCAGTTAAAAAAATCCAGATGTGGTGTGTTTTAGGTTACCATTTCTATCCAGACGCTGGTTGTTAAGGCCTCCTCCTTTTCATTCTGAGGAGAGATAGTACAACAGTACAACAGCGTTAACTCTCTGGCCCGTGCAGCCACTGGCACTAATCAAAAACACCAGACTGAGCTTGACTCACCAGAGAGATGAGGTTGGTGAGCGTCATCTTGATGTCGACGTGAGTGATGTCACCACTCTTCTCCATGGGCCGGACATTCTTGTTGTAGCCCTTCATCAAATCTTTGAAAAGCTCCCCTTCAAGGTTGACTGCTGACGCTGCAGACAAACCACATAAATGTCAGCGCAAGGAAATCTGAAAGATTAAAGTACCTTTTGGACAAATACCATGCAATAACGTTTAAATTGACAAAACGAATGATTAAAACAGGATTTAGAGAATAAAAATTGATAGAAAATAGCAATAAAAGTAATCAAAAATACGATGATGAAATACTACACAAAATTATAGATTATAATAAAACAGTAAAATTTTAATAAAATAAAATATATAAATCTAATAAATAAAACTAATGATGACAAAAGGACTAATTTAAAGGGGCACTCCATCAGTCTTACATATTAAGTTCAATTTGCCCGTCATTAGAAGTAATATTTAGTCTGTTGAATAATGTCTCCTGTGGCTCCGGAGAGAGAGAAAATAACCCTGGTGGTGAATGATGTCAGCAAGGTCGTCTTGAGACTTAACATTGTTAAGAAAATCAACTGTATTAAAAACTGGACGTGTGAGGTTTGAAAGATGTGGGCATTTAAGAGGCACAGGGGTGTCTGATTAAAGATGCTATTGAACTGCATTATGGGACTAAAAGTAACAACACAGCCTCTGCTTCTTCAATTATGACCATTATTTATCAGCTAAGTACAGTATAAAACCACTGCAGGACCCTGTTAAGATACATTCCTATTCTATTTCAGTTTAATAAAATAATGTAAACAAGACTTCAGGCAGTGCAAGACAAACCTATTCTAAAGAGAGCAAACTAACTAAAGCAAACTGAATACCTCTGTAGGTGGATTTGATGTTGGTTTACCACAACCACAAACAAATGGTGTTAGTGTTTGGTTAATTAGTGTTACAGTAATTTCAACCCCTTTGTATTGGATATCACATCAAACACATGACGGTCCCCAAGTAAAATGAATGTGAAACTGAAATCAGCATTAAGTCTACAACAATTACTGTCTGATTTTCCAGACTAACAATGGATTGGACATCAGAACACACACAGTATGGTCCAGCACAGTTATTACAGCTGGAGTCATTTATGTTGCACTTTGTTCAACATGAAACTGAAAATCTGTCTTTACAAATTCACATCACACAATGCAAAATCATAGAAACTAACAAGATACTAATTGTCCTCAAATGTGGTGGCTGATAAGCCAGCGTTCCTACCTGTGGCAGAAATCATAAACACCCTTACGAAGAGTGACGGAGAGAACGGAGGTCCAGAATCCATTAGTGCGTGTGTCTGTGCTCTGAGACAAAGCTATGATCACTAATCTGATACACATGGACACTACTTGATGGAGCTACTGGCACTTGGCCTGTGTGTGTGTGTGTGTGTGTGTGTGTGTGTGTGTGTGTGTGTGTGTGTGTGTGTGTTTGTTCGTGTGTGTGTATTTCCCAGCAAAAGTCAGGGTTCAGGCTGATGGCTGATGGGAGGCTTGAGGTTTAGAGGATTGGTTGGGGGTTGCTGGGGGGAGTTGATGATTGTTAGGGTTAAATCCAAAAGTGTATTTCCAGTACTGCATAGCCAGCTGTCACAACACACACACACACACACACACACACACACACACACACACACACACACACACACACACACACACACACACACACACAGGGAACATGACATGCACATAGTTTAGGCATTGTATTCAGCACATGGCTGCCCCCAAGTGTTGAGGTACTCACTGTATTGTAAGTATGTTCACTGCACCTGGCTATTGTCATTCACATCCAAATGAACAAAGTAATATTACTCATGGATTCTTTTAGGACACATTTAGCACAGCAGTGATCTATAATAAGCTAGTTAACAGCTTTTTTCCATCAGAAGCCATGGTTAAATGTGTTTTTTTACAATAAAAGGATTATAGACAGACAGATTAGGCGATGAAGAGAGAGAGACAGGAGCAACACTGTGTGTGGCTGCGAGCCAGAAAGTTAAAAGAGCCGTACAGTGGACAAGAGAACAGGTGATAAGTCTCATCCATTTACAGCACACCCTCTGTGATGATTGACCAGGCTCTGTGGAGGTTGCTGGCACATTTGTGGCATGTCATTACTCTCTCTCTCTCTGTGTGTGTGTGTGTGTGTGTGTGTGTGTGTGTGTGTGTGTGTGTGTGTGTGTGTGTGTGTGTGTGTGTGTGTGTGTGTCCGTCACAAAAATACTTCCTGCCATGATTTGGCTCACTTCCCACCCACACATAAACACAAACGCCATAGGCATGAGTTGATGTGTTGCAACAGAAGTATGTGTGTCTTTGTGTTTTCTCAGCTGTTACACTCACAACCCTGTATGTCCCTTTTTTAGCACTTGGACTAAACTTTAGTTACTTTGGTTTATTTGGGCTCATTCAGCCCATCAGTGGCTGAGACATGGCAGCCACAGCGAGGTGCACAAAAGTCAACACACTTGTCTACGACTCAAGAGTGTCACTTCCTCAAGCAACAGTTGTCTTCACTTGCAATGTTGTGACTCATTACAGACAAGAAGAATATCTAAAGGTCAGCTTAGTTCTGTGTCCAGTTACAATTCCCCGTTCTGGAACTAAGGAGTAAAGACCGGGAGGAGGTGGGAAATACAGGTCACCACAGCACAGCAGCTGCTGTGTTGACGGGAAAGTGTACCCTTAAAGGGTCAGGGGACTGAGGTCAATCTGGGGTCTCAAGAGGAACCACTCAGCATTGGCAACCGGTCTCAAGAGGGTACGTTTGGTTCTCGGCAGAACTGCTGTACACCAGAAGCAAAATACTGCAGGATTAGCAGCATGACTGTCAGCTAATTTGAATATCTCACATCTAAAGTTCAAGTTGGCATTAGATAATTATAGATTACAACAACATTTAACACAACATGCCATACCATTAATAACAATTTTATTTATATATAGATTTATTTAATTTTTTTACAAAAATACAAATGCTTTTCACTATACAAATAAATATGGTAAGAATAAGGTAAGAATATGAATAATATATACAGTCAGCTTTACAAGAGGCTCAACCTTTGCAAAAGACAATATGAATAACTTATAATTTTGTACAGATTCATAAGTTAGACAAGGCTGCATCTCAAACCACATACAAAAATTCCTGTGGCATGATGGGTGGCCAATAGTTGGATGAATACATTCATGGCTGTGTTTTCATTTAGAGCCAAAGTCAGACTCTCAGATGGAGAAAACAAAATAATGCTTTTCATAGGAGACGGCAGAAGAAGTTAAGTTTGTGAGAAGTTTGTGTGCGTTTTATGTGCGTCTCTCTGTCCCATGAAGAGCTGTTCAAACTGGTCTCTTTGAGAGTCTTTGTGCAGCTCTCATTTGAATCTTTCTTTTATTTTTCTCACTTGCTGTTATGATAAAGTTAAGTCTTGAGTGCCTCCAGTGCCAAAGCAATTATCCTTGGCACACTGCGGTAGAATGACTCATTCTCCAAGCCAACGAGACTGTAGAAAGTCACAGGTCGTCCTCCCACTACGGCTCTGACCCGCGCCTGGTAAAGTCCTCGATCATTTTTGGAGCTCAAATCAACTAACACCTGGACAAAAAAAAGGCAAGCAAGGAGAGAGAGAGTGAGAAAAATTATCAAAACACAAGTTAAAAATGTTTCTTTTTACTAGTGCACTTTTCCTTCTCAAATGATAGTTTACCTCTTGGAAGTTCATGCGTAGGTTCTTGCTTGGGATGCCTAAGACCCATCTGTAAGAGTCTCTGACCTGGCTGACTTGCTGTGAGGACTCTCTCACTCCAGGACAAACTGGAACAAACAAAAAAACATTTAGTTTGAGAAATAACGTCTACCCATGAACAAATATTATTATATATTATCAAATATATGTTTTTAATTAAAGTTTTTTGAGATATGGGTGTGGCACATACTTTTCCCATTAGCCCCAGGTATCTGCCTCTTGCGAAGAAGGCTCCTGTATTTTCTGTGAAGACTTAAAGTCTTTACAGCAGGTACAGTTGTCTCTGTGTGAGCACCCTCAGTGACCAGCTGACCGTCAGTTGTTGACTGCACTGGGAGCGGTAACGCTGAAGGTTTTAATTCTGTTCTGTCTCCACTCTCAAAAAAAGTGAAATCCTCCGACGTGGTGCTCCAATTTGCATCAGGAGAAGCGACTCTGTTGGACGAGCTTTCATCTTCTGTCACTGAATCCTCTTGGCTCCTTAATTTCTGAATTTCCTTCATCAGAGCTGTTAGAAGTGACCAAGGCTGCTGGGATTCCTGGGAAGAGGTGGAGGAGAGGCCGGTGTGGACTGCTGCTCCACTGGAAGAAGTAGGAAAAGGGGGACTTCTGGGAGACTCCTGGACTGTGTCCAAGTGTAGGATGGGGGGAGCAGCTCTGGAGTCTAATTTGGAACGCAGAGCTGAGATAACAGATCGAAATTCTCCCTCCAGCTGATGCACTGAGGAGTCCTCTGTCTGGACATAACATGTAAAAACAAAATTGGAAATTAAGTTTAGCTTCAAATAAATCCACGCCAGAACATTACACTAAACTGCCATGCGTACATCTTCATCAGTCACTAGCATCCAACATTTCCCAGACTGTCTTTCAAAAAAGAAAGGTTAAAATCAGATAGCGAACAAAATGATGAAAATTAATCAATAAACCTCAGCTTTAAACCATTACTGACTTTCACAGTTGTTCAATTTTGAAAGGATTTCTGAATATTCAAACATCAGACATCAGAAATATTTCAAAATGATCTCTCCCAACATTCAGACATTTTAAAAATTCCACAAACAATCTACCTGTAAGAAAAGATTGTCCTCTTGTCTTGCTGGTGTGGAGTCTGTGGATGTGTCAGTGTGCTGTTTGTCCAGGTCCTCAGCCATGTTTCTCAGGTATTTCTCCCAGTCATCCACTGAGGGTCCCACCTCTCTGAATAAGGCTGGGGGAACTGGAGAAGGACCCTGCTCTGTGGGCACCACAGCTCCACCTAGCTGTTCTACAAGTAATAAAACACCTGTTAAAACGGTGACCAACAACACAAATTGTAATTAGTGCACTTTTTGTAATGAAAAACAGTGCAGGAAGTGAATGAGTGTAATCTACAGCTTGAAGATAGAATAATATAATCTGTCAGTCATACCTTCAATCTGTATGAGCCCATGGCTCAGGCCCAGGTCCCTCCGCTCTCTGGTGTGGGTGAAAGCTGTGCTGTAGATGTGCTCCACCAGTTGAGGCAGAGTCTGGGTGAAAAAGGTCAAATCGACTTTATCCCTGATGTAGTCCTCAGCCCTCTGAAGCAAGTCCAACAGAGTCTGCAGGAATGAACGCAACTCTAGATACCAGAGATCAGAACATAGCAACAGATCAGAAACCTCAGAGCAACAAACAGCAAAGAGTATATTTCGTTTTTGTTCTACATCCATCAAACTGAGCTTTTGAATAATAGTACTCACGGCATTTTTTGAAGCGGGTTAGGCACTTGTCCTCTGCCATTCGGCTGCAAGCGCTGGCAGACTGACCAGGGGGGCAGGTCAGGGTATAGAAGCGACAGAGGGAGCTGAACTCCGACCTCTGTTCCTCCTCCGTCATTTCCGTTGTCTTTAGAAGCTCTGGGCATGTTGGCTCCCTGCTTCCAAATGACTCTAAAAAAGATAAGCATAGACTATAATGTTGTAGGTAGTATTTCACACTAAAATTTATGTTGTACGTCAAAATATTTGAGTTTCTGTGGTGTTTAATTGTTGCTTGAAACTCACTTTGTATCTCAGCCTGAATCCAGTCAGAGAATGCAGACACCCGTGTGTAGACTCCAGGTTTGCCCTTCTCCCCACAGCCGTCTCCCCAGGAGGTAATGCCATAGAGCTGGAACCGACCTGAAATTCGGTCTTGGTAGATCAGGGGGCCTCCAGAATCTCCCTACAGATGACAGAGAATCCCCCAAAGATTGAAAAAAAAGCTAATATGTGGTTTTTCAGAAAAAGGCTAAGTTGCTAAAAAGTCAGAAGCAAAAGGAGCATCAGATCTTTTACAGTGAACTAAAGGTATGTGAGTTCAGTAACTGAAGACAATTCCCAAAATAAGACAAAATTGTGTTGTTCTGCCCACCTGACAGGAATCTATGCCTCCGGAGAGATAGCCAGCACACAGCATAGTATTGGTGACCAATTCTTTGCCAAGGGCACTCTTACAGGTGCTCTGAGGCAGCAGAGGCACCTTGGCCTCCATCACCACATCAGCAGAAGGACCGTCTGTAGAGAAAAATACACAGGAATGCACCCCGTTCTATGAGTATTTATAAATGTATGAAAATCACAGGCTTCATCAACAGCACCTCTCAAAAAGACTTTTGAGCTGGTTTGTAGAGAAGTGAAAATCCATGTAAATTATCTCCCACTCACCCTCATAGAGGGAGCCCCAGCCTGCCACCAGGCATGGACTGCCAGTAGGGGGCTCCATGCCAGAGGGGAGACACACTGGTGTGACACGGTCAGACAGGACCACTGGGGATGTCAGCTCCACCAGGGCTATATCGTTGTTAAACGTCTTTGGGTTGAACTGCAGGAGGTGGAGAAAGTTTGATTGACAAACTGATTTAGATGTTTGATTGGTTGACCAGGGAGGTGTAATGGGGGAGATAAAACTATATTATCACAATCCCGTTATATATATATATATATATATATATATATATATATATATATATATATATATATTCCATACTTTGGATTGTTACCTTTGGATGAGGGATAATGCGGTTCACTTTGAGAACCTGCTCATCAGGGTCAGTCTTGCTGATGTCAAACTCTCCCACCACAGCGGTCCAGTAGCTTTCACTACGGCTGCTGCGGAGGTAAGAACAATAAAAAAAAAAAAAAAATAGGGAGTGAGTGGGGAACTATAATAATCTCAAAGGCTATAGAAAAATCCAAGATTTTATTATAGTTGCAGAAAACAGTAATGCACACATGCACACTCACCCGGCAAAACAATGAGCAGCAGTGACCACCCAGGAGCTGTCCACCAGGACCCCTCCGCACATCAGGCCACCGTCTAGCTGGAGGTTAACCAGCCATGGCCAGCTGCCTGGAGGAGCAGGAGAGCCACCCACAATCCGGGATCGAGGCTGTGTGATGTTTTGTACTGTGGATGACCTTTGACCACACACTGCTGCTGGGACAAAGAGACACTGATGGTCAAAAAAAGCAGCAAATCTGCTTCTTGTAAACACACACTGAATAGGCCTACTGGAGCTGTGCAAATTAGCCTCCAGCTCTTAACTAACTTCACTGACAGAGACAGAGAGATAATTTGTATGAATGCATGAATACTTCTTTTTAAACACATGTATCCCCTCACCCTGTGCATGCGTCTGTGTAGCAGGTTCCAGGTTCTGCATTGTGTTAAGCAGGCTGCACTGGAGGACACGGGCGCTGCAACTCTCACCCATGATCCTGATGCAGCTCTCCTTGTCCAGTTCACCAGGTGGGCAGCGATGCTGATAGTATGCACAGGCCTGACTCAGAGCCCAACTCCGCTCAGCTTCAGCTTGAACCTTCTGGGCCTTACTGATGACATCACAGCTAGGCTCTGATAAGGCAGTGGCAGGAGACGCTGTCGGGAAGTGGAAACATGACTGTTATGGACATACAACAAGAGCATTCAGTAAAGATTCTGAATAATGTGACTCAAGATGTTTAAGAATGACAGGGGCAAGAAGAGTAATATTTTACTTACAGCAAGAGCCAGTCAACTGTCCACAGTCCTGAAACAAACAAGGAACACAGCCCCGGCAACCTGCTTCAGCCCGACTCCTCTCAGATGATGCACGCTCAAGAGCGGACAGGGCACTAGTCATGGCTGCCTCTAGAACCACAGTGCCACGATCTGACAGAGCTGCAGGGTATGACAAAAGACAGAAAAGAACATTAAAAAAAGAGAAAACAAAGAGCAAATATATAAAAATGCATTCGATGTGAGACAAGCTATGGAAGAAGAAAAGGAGATATGCCAAGAGAGAAAAAAAAGACATAGACAGAGCCAGATAGAGCAGATATAATGTATCGATTTGCAATGAGAAATTGCCATTGAAAGGCAAAGATGGGTCTGTGGTAATGTCTATAAGATATGATAAGATATGTACTGACCAGGAAGGTTGTAATGGCCACAACAACTTGTTAAATACATTTAAATTATTCTTTAAAAACATAATTGTATATGAAATAAATATTGACATCAGTGGCAGCTCAATGATGCTCAATATTGACATCAGTGGCAGCTCAATGTCAAGTGCATACTGGACTGATACCACATCTCTGAGTAATACATTTTTGATTAAAACTTTAACATTTACTCAGTTCTGACAAAATTACCAGAATTATGAAAGGGAAAAATTGTCAACAGACTAATAGGAAGGACCTCTAGGTCATTACAAGGCAGACTGTGATTTGCTGTGGGAACACCGTGTGTATATGAGCATTAGCATGAACTAGTGCAGCTTTCTGGTATGTGTGTGAGTAGACCCCTTTTTCTCATGCTGCTCTTTGAGCTCATTGGCAGCGTTTTAGGGGAGCTAGCTCACGCTCTGCGCGCTGGTGAGGCTTCTGCAGACACACATCAATCGGACTGCCGACCCGGCAACCCCCCTCTGTGCCGCACCACATCACAGGATAGGCCACTAACAACAACAATGCTGATTGAAGACTTAATTAGAAGGCCAGGGCTGAGCTGGCAGAGGCTGGCGGGCAAGGACAGGCCGTAGGGGCACAGGCTGGCAGCTCCGGGGCGGCTGGGATCCTGAGTCTCTTGTTCTAAACACTCCAAACACACACTGCCATCACCAGCCGTTTGTATGAAGGCTCTGCTGTACTCAGCACTTCAACCAGAGAGGGCCAGAGGTCCCTCACCACTGTGCTCTACTGCAGCATTGAACAACTTCCTCTGCAGTACCTCTGTGACAAGCCTGCCTTGGAAAGTGCAACCCAATGTAGGCTAAAGAAGAAAAAATCATGCAAGTAATAATATTTCTATTCTTAACTGACTTGAAGATGTTTATGAAGACTAGTGCTGAAATACACAGTGTAATAACATGTGTTGTATTGTATCAGCTGCTGCTGATCAGTACAACACTAAAGCATATTGTATACTGTATGTACTATACAAGCGCATCAACAATCATCCAACTGAAATAACAATAAATAATAAATATACAGATTTCTAGGATTTGAACAAGTGTCTGTTTATGACACTCACAAATTTACTCTAATAGTATTGGGCTATCTCTTGTACTATCATCAGATGTTTTGTCTGCTTCACTCCTAGAGAGATATTAATGCTTTTGAAGCACCACAGCATCACCAGTGTTGGTTTGCAGGGTTCTCACTATAATACATTAGATAAAAAAGATATGAAGAAAAAGATAAAAGAAAGATTTGTCTAGAAGATTTTAAGATTTGATGTTAAGATTTTAAGTACAGTATGTTCCACCTCCACTTCTGAGGAACATTTGTGCTTAAAATTCAGTTATCAGATATCCAACCTACAGTCACTGACGGGAACTGTTACTACTCTTAACAAAAAATGCCATTATTCAGAAACAATAAAAAACTAGTGTGAGTTTACAAAAATTACCTTTGAGCGCACTCTGGGGCATCCTGTAGACCTCTCGACCTGTCGGGGCTCCTAGCAAGCAGTCGAGTCCCATGAGCAGCAGTGATATCAGCAGCAGCATGGTGTCAGAACATCAGACCTCCACTCCACAGTGACAACAAGCAGACAGGCAGCAGACACAAGGAACGACTGAAGAGGATGCAGAGGTGCTGGAGATGAGGCTAGCCTGCAGTGTTTCCAGGTCCTTATAGTCTGGTTGCTCTCTGCAATCACTAAAACTATCTCCCTCCTCCTGACTCTTTGGGCTCTCTCCCACACTGTGGTGCAGGGCATCTGTCTGTAAGTTTACTTAGAGGAACAATAGGTGCCTGGAGTGGTCCCTGGTATATATAGAGTCCCCAGGGGAACACCAGTAAGAGGAGGAAGGGGGAGGTGGGGGGTTAGGAAAGAGAGAGGGAGAGGGAGGGAGAGATGCTCCCATGGCCAATACACAAACAGATGAATTCATTAAGACTGTGACAGCAAATCGGGCGCAACTTGCCAAGGCTGGACATTACAAAGAGGTTTGGTTCTATGAAAGGAGACAGAGGGAGGGAGAGAGAGATACAGATAGGGAGGGGGAAAACGGGAAGGCAGAGTGATTGGCTGGGCGGCAGGGAAGAGGGTGTTGTTTGAATTAATTAATGTGGGAGGAAGAGGGAGAAAGTTATGCAGATAAAGATATGGGCTGATGTGACACTGGAGTAGAGGAATGTAGAGCGAGAGAAGGACGTCAACAAGTGTCTGAACCAAAGAGTCACAGAGTGAGCGGGGCGAGCAGAGAGATGGAGAGAGGTTGAGTGTGTGAGAGAGAGAGAGAGAGAGAGAGAGAGAGAGAGAGAGAGAGAGAGGGAGAGAGAGGGAGAGGGAAGTGTCTGCCATTCTGCATGCCCCTCAAAGAGGGCATTGTCCCCGGCGTCCCTCTGAGGATGCCCACATCAAAGCCGTCCCCCGGGCATCACTTGGCCGCCGCCTCCATTGATCACTTACAGTCTTTTATCCCCCCCATTAAAATATTGTCAGTTCACATCACTTTTGTCTTTCTCTGCTGAACTCTGCGTTTGTTACATAAAGATACAGTAAAAAAGTCCTCATGAACATGGTGTATTTTTAAAGTTCGAAAGCAATCATTAACCAAACAAATCAGATTTTTTTTTGTTTTAGCGCCTTGCATTTCTTGCCAACTTTTTGGATGTGTCTTGCCACTGCTGAAGCAAAAAGTAAAATTAAATAAAACACATTTATATTGTTTTTACAGAAAAAAAAGAAAATGCCACAGAATACATGAACTGATACTGTGTGAGTATAAATCCTTACATCTAAAAAAGATTAAGTAGTTAGAATTTACAGCTCAAACAATAACATAAATAGTATGTGATACGACTACCCCTGTACAAAAATATCACAGTGACTATGTAAAGCATTGTGACCTTGTTTTATTAAAGCCAACTGAATTTATATTATTATTTATATGTGAGGACAAATTAAGATTGTTGACTGTGACATGGCTCATAGTCTACGTGGACACAGACAGAAGTTTGTGCTGACCAGTAACCCAAACGAGAAGCACAAATTGGAGTCAACTTTGAGCCAACTAACTGGCCGAACGATAAAAAGAGTGCCGGCCGAACCTAGCAGGGCATTATCAAAGAGAGCCGTCCACTGATACCACAAGCCAGCACTGAAGGCAGAGCTCACACTGACAACAACATACAGTACGTGTCAGAGAGTGTGTGATTGTGTGTTTATGTTTCAGTCAAAGATTGTGCAGCCAACTCTGGTGAATTCAAAAGCTTTGATGGTGAAAAAAACAGCAAGCAACTGCACATATGCAAGCATGACAAACAGAAACAGGCCTCAGAGACAGAGGTGCCAGAGTTTGAGTTAGACAAGACAGGAAAAATGACATGTCTTCTTTTTCGAGCCTTGCTTTCAGACATTTGTTAGTGTGTGTATGTTTTGTTGTGTGCATTGTGCCCCAGCCCCCTCCATGCACCCGTGCGGCACAATGGCCCTGAGATCTGAGAGCAGGCTCAGGCAGAGCGGAGCGGGAACGGCATGGGACAAACGGGCGGCACTCTTTCATTCCCTTCTCTCCCTCAATCCATTTGCCTTTGATGTCCTTTGATTAATTTGCCTTCTGCTCACTCTTCCTTCATCTATCCACCAAGCATGGAGCACTCTGCCTCTCTTTTCTCCTCTGCCTGCCTGTTTCTATCTCTATAAACAGTGATGTTCTACCTAATTTACTCTTTTCCAATGGCGGCAGCCTTTAATCATAGATATCTTATATTTTAGCTTTGTTGTTTACATCTAATATCTACAGGCAGCTGTAAATATATTGTAAATAATCTAAACTTGTGATGCATTAGTGAATAAAGAAATGTTCATAATCACTTATTGTATTTGAAAATGGCCTAGCACTAATTTATGTACCTGTGAAGGTCATTAAAATTACTTAAAAACCTCAGGCTGAAATACTTTTCTGATCTGCTTGATGAATATAAACTCAGCAGGTCTCTTCATTATTACTTCAGCTTCCCCAGGAAGCTGTCAATTCCTATTTTTCTGGAGTCAGAACCAATTAGGGTCAATCTGCTTTTAGCTACTATGCTGAACATAGATGGAATCAACTTCCTGATAATATTAAATGTACCACAATTTTAGCCTTTAATCAACTCTACTGTGCTTATATTTCCTTTATTGAATTTGGGGCATTGCTCCACTGTAACTGCACTATGATGGTATTTATGGTATTTTTAATCTTATTTTATACATTTTCTATCTTATTTTTTCTACTTTAAGTTATTTCATTTTCCGTTTTTTGCATTATTGTTGTGTTTCTAATTGTATTTAATGTTGTTGTAATGCATTTCTGTGCTTTATGTAAAGCATATTTAATTGCACCTTGTGTTATACAAATAAAGTTGCCTAAATGGGAAGTTCACATAACCGATTAGTAAGCAAGACAGTGTTTTGGAGATTGTACTCTCATTTGAATTCCACTGTACCGTAATACACACAACTGTGTGACATTACTTCGTGCAGGACAGTGTCAGTATGCAGCTAGCATCTAGCGGTGAAGTTGCAGATTGAACTTAATCAACTGAATACTGCTCACTTTCCAAGTAGGAGGAGAAACTATGTTGGCTGTGAAACTCGCAATAAATGCAAAAAGGTCTTATTTAGAGCCAGTGTTTGGTTTGTCGATGCTGGGCTACTGTAGAAACATGGCAGTTCAACATGATGGGCTCCCTAGAGGAGTACATGCTCCCTCTGTACATAGAAGGGCGCATTCTAAGGTAACAAAAACACAACAATAACTATTTTCATAATTATACACAATGAAAATATAACTATTAATATCATATTCCATTTATGCAATAGATCCTCCTTAATCTTACATGTTAGACCTTTAACAGTAAATGAAAAACATTTTCTATTTAAGCATAGTGCATAGCTTATCATCCCCAATTTCACATTTAAGATGACAACATTCTCAGTAAGTATCTGGAGTTTAAACAGTCAGTAACGAATGAGCAGCTCATATCCAAGATGATTTTGTTTTTTCTGCCCACGTGAGAGCTCAATTTCTCAATTTCTCAATTTCAAGTGAGCCACAAGAAGGACTGGTAAAATCATGTGAGAAGTTTGTTTGTGTTTAAAACGGCATTGATTGGACTAGCTAGGCTACAGAAATTCATGTGAATGCACAATCATCTGTTGAACCGTCTAGAAGAGATTTATTGTGGGGTGCACAGGCCCGGCTGCTGGCTGGCTGCTTGAGCAGGTTACATAAAGGAAACACACAATGCTTAGCACAAAATCACACCACAATGAGAACCTTAACAACAATCGTGTTGAATAACACCCAGGTATTGTGTTCAGTTATGAAACCATTTCTCCCATTGTCTCAGGCAGAAAACAATTGAAATCTAGGTCAGTGGGGTACGCAAGAGAGAAGAGGTTCCCAACATTTCAATACAGACAGACACTTGAACCCCCTGACAATAGTCAAGCAGAAGCAGCTCGTCTGCACAGGCCTGTATTGGGTCATTGTTAGACATGTTGTTAATTAGATCTATTATGACCTCAACAATCACATTAACTGCCATTAAATGCACATTCACCACCAACTGTTCAATAATGAAATATGCACTTTACCTAAATGGGGTGATAATGATGATGTGGTTGATTAAATTTATAGTAATGATAACAATTAAACTACACAGGCCCTTTGTCTTGTCATAAAATGTTACAGTGTTACTTAATAAAAGAAATTGGTAAAATTCAATCATTAAGAAATAGTTGAAGTTCAGTTTGTTATTGTATATTTATGAACCAAAAGAAGGGTCCTCTCTCTCCTCAGTCCAGTCATAACTTGGGGCACAGTGTATCTTTGAGCTAAGTATAGGGAGTGAGAAACTACACTTTATGTCCAAATTAGTCACATTTCCTTCTGTTATTTTGCTCTTTCTGGCTTTGGTTGAACACTGGAACATATAGTATTGGAACTACTCTACATCTGCAGGTGGATGTACCTTACCTGAAAATAGAAAACTGTTGCAATCTACAGAGATAACTGCAGATCGTAAGCAGACAGCAAATGAAAATCACAGTATTGTTCTTGAAGTGTGCCTAAACTACCAGTTAAATATACCCCCTGTTTGGACCACCAGACAGCTGAAAAGGCAGAAAAAGATTGATTTCCAGCTCAGTACTGGCATGCTTCACTTGAAAAGGCTGACATCTAGTGTCACAATATTGAAACTTCTTTTCATTGCATTGCAGTCTAATCTGAGAGTTATCGTCCTCTGCTAGAATGACAATGTTTTACATGATAGTAGTTCTTGAATGCATGGATGTTTAACAGAGTAAAAATGTTTGCAGACGTTGGTTCCTTTGACAGTTTAGCTCCCAGTCATTACTGAAGCAATGCAGGCATCATCATGGAGGCGAAAGCTGGAGGTGTTGGTAGGAAGAAGAGGAGAAAAGAAAGGAAAGAAAAATAGACAGAAGGAGATAAATAAGAAGAGAGATAAGGGAGGAAGGGTAGTTAGGTTAAAAGTTCAGTATGTCTCCTGACCTGTTTGCTTCTGGACATTTTACCACATCCACATCTCGTACTGCACATCCTCATTTCTTCAGCTTTGACTTGAACACAACTCCCTGAAACAACAGAAAAACACAACACAGGACAGTCAGGAAACACTTATTTTTCTACTGGGATTTATTTATATACCCTGATGAAGATGCAGAGCAAACAGCCTTTTGACTTCCTATTTAAATTAGTACTGGTAATGTATAGATCTTTATGTTCTGGATGTCTATTATGTACACAACTATTTATTCATTCAATTCAATTTTAATACATT